CCCCCCCCCCCCCCCCCCCCCCCCCCCCCCAAAAAAGGACTCACAGCTGACCTGACCTCGACAACCACCAGACGCCTCCAGGAGCTCTCGTCGACCCTCTCCCACACCCTCTCCTCGACGCTGCACACGCACCTCTTCCCCCACAGCACCATCGCCTTCAGCCTGCACGTCCTCTCGCAGGACGGCTCCCTGCTCGCCGCGCTCATCAACGCCGCGACCCTCGCCGCCGTCGACGCCGGCATCCCCATGACCGACTACGTCGCCGCCTGCACGGCGGGCAGCACGTCGACCTACGCCGCCGGCGACGAGGGCGCGGACCCCCTGCTCGACCTGAACCTGCAGGAGGAGCAGGAGCTGCCGAGCCTGACGGTCGCCACGCTCGGCGACACGGACCGCGTGGCCGTGCTCGTGTGCGAGAGCAGGGTGCAGGTCTCGCGCCTCGAGGGCATGCTGGCCGTCGGCGTGGACGGGTGCAAGCAGGTCAGGAGTATTCTCGACAAGGTCATACGCGAGGCTGGTGACAGGATGGTCAATGAGGGCACCGTGGACAAGGGTACGGGTCTGGACATGGATCTTGACGGTTGAGGTGTGGACATCTTTTCGTGATCGCGCACACGGGTTGTAATGAAAGGGGAGCGGCATGCGGCGACCGAAAAGGTAAGGTCCATATCTCATTTCTCATCGCTAAGTTTGTGACTACATGCTTGTTCATTTTTGTTTCAGTTTTTACATTTTTGACTGATCCGAAAGCAGACAACGCTCATCAACACCCGCCCTTGTCAAGAAATTAGCCGACTAAAGCTCATCGTGCTCGCTGGCGGTCTCAGTCTCGGGTGTCGGCTCAGTGGCCTGCGTGGCCTCGGTAGCTTCGGCGGTGGTTTCAGTGGCGGACTCCTCAACGGCAATGGCGATGAGACCCTCAGGCAGCTTCTTCTTGACACCCTCGCTCATGCGGATGGCATCAATCCAGCTCTCAATGCCCTCGTGGGTGAAGTCGCCGCCCTCGTAATGTCTCCACCACCCTCGGCGAGCGTTGATAGCAATGAGTTCGACATCGTTGGACAGGTCCAGGGCCTTGAGGAGAGGAGCGGCTCCGCTGTTCGAGTCGGGAACAGCAAAGAAGGGAAAGAGATGACGTTTGCTCTGAGCGTGCTTGAAGGCGAGCTCAGCGAGGTTATTCAAGGCGTTCTCGGCCTTGTCGTTGGTGGTTGCAGGAACGAAAGCAAGAACGCAAGTATGCGATTTCTCGTTGAGGCACTCCTTGATAAGCTTCTCGGGGGCGTGGATAGTCGGGATAGGCGGGGCGTTCTCGATGATGACGGGCGCCTTGACGGTCTCGGTAGACTCGGGCTCGTCAGCCTTGGTGGCCTCGTCATTCTCCGCGGGCTTGGCCTTGGACTCGGCCTTTTCCTTCTCCTTCTTCTCCGACTTCTTCTCGGTCTTCTTGTCCGCCTTCTTCTTGTCGGACGCGGGCGCAGGGTCGGGGTTGGGAGATGCCGCTTGCGAGAGAAACTTGACCATGGCGGCCTTCTTCATCTCGCCGTCATAGACCACGTTCTCCTTGTCACCGCCGGGAACGAGGACCAGGGTCGGGAACTTGTCGATGGCAAACTTCTCAACGGCCTTGGACTCCTTGTTACGTATCTGTGCCACTTCGATAGCTCCCAGGAAATCAATGGCAATACTCTTGAGCAATGCGCTCGTGGTGCCCTTCTCCGTGAACAGAATGGCCTTGGGCTTCTCCTTGTCCTCGTCCAGGAAGGCGTCCAGGTCCTTGTCCGCGACCCTCTTGACGTGGTTGTTGATCTTGTCGACGACGCTCTCGACGATGCCGGTCGCCGTCCGGGGCCCGTTGTAGTCCTCGACGATGGGCTTGCCCGACTTCTTGCCCGGGCGGACGATCTTGAGCGTGGGGAAGCCCTTGACGCCCATGCCGCCGCAGAAGGGCTTGTTGGCGTCGTCGTCGCAGTCCATGGCGGCGACCTTGGCGAGGCCATCGAGGTTCTTGGCCGCCTTTTCGTAGGCGGGCTTGAGGTTCTGGCAGTGGCCGCACCAGGGGGCGTAGAACTCGACGATCTGCGTCGCAGTTTTGTTGTCGTTAGCGAGGGCTGGCCTCATGTAATCGTTGCGTGCGCGTGTAAGCCCGTCTCTGGACAGAGGAGAAGAAGAAGAAGAAAGAAGACGTACCGAAGTGTAATTGGACTTGGCGATGAGCCGGTCGTAGCTCTTTGCGTCGACCTGGAGGACGGGCGAGCTCTTGGTGTACATGCCCGCGTGGGCGGCGGGCAGGGCCGACAGCAGAGCCACCGCGAGGGCGGAGAGGCTTGGCTGGTGATGCATGTTTGCTTGCTTGCCTTGCCTTGCCTTGCCTTGCTGGACTGGACTGGACTGGACTGGACAAGATGATCCCGGAGCTACTGTGGGGTTTTGGCGAGGAGGGAGGATGATCAAAGGGGAAATAGTTACGTGATGGCAATTGGACAAATATGGACACGATGCAAATTAGGTGAAAGAATCACAAGTATGAGCTCTGAGCAGGAGAGCAGGTCCTATTTAAATTGGAAGAGGGGGGAGAGAAGGGCGATGTGGTGAGATCACCAGATGTGCATTGCTGTTCAATTTGGAAAAAGGCCAGCGTGGAGCTCTTATCCTGCCACCTTTAGCGATAAGTGCAGGCACGAGAGACAGAGACATCAATGCGGGGGAACCTTGAGGTAAAGACTACAGCCAGGCTGGAAGCTCGAGCCACAGGTGGCTCGAGCTGCAGCAGGTGGGGGTGGATCGTTCTGGAAGCCTAGGCGTCTCACTGGGCGCTAATGCGTCACTCCCTCGAGCTCGATCCTTCAAGGTTGCTGCGTTCATTTGATCTGATCAAACGGCCCAATCTTCCCAGCCTTCACGTTGAGACCGGAACTATAACCACATCCAACTCGACTGCTCTTGTGTTGCAGCACCCCTCTAGGATCGCGAACGAGCATACGTCCTTGCAACTTTGCTCAACACCACATCTTCTCCTTTCCAGAGCCGATCGCGCTCTCGTGCGCATGCGCATCCGAGCTCACGATGGCCGACGAGATCCCCGCCAGCCTCAGGCAGGCCGATATCAGCCTCTTCAAATGCGCCCAGCGCGCTGCCCAGCTAGGCACCGTCAAACCCATCGTCGCGTATTGGTGTATGATCCATCCTCTCGATCCAGAAGTGTAGGCCGGCACTAACGCGCGGGCCAGGCGAGTACTTTGTCGTCAACCAGATCCTAGCCAAGCAGCTGCATAACAACGATGTCGACGTGTTGGAGTACACGACCAAGTTGATGGACAAGCTGGAGCAGGTGAGCCAGAGCGCCTTCATATCTACCTCGTAGCCGGCACTAATCACCGCGCGCGCTACTCCAATAGACGAAACAGGAATACCCAAACGAGGAGGCGATCATGGACGACACGGCGGCGCAGGCGTACATCGAGCAATTTGGACAAGAGACGCTCGACAGGGCGCAGCGCGTTGTCAAGGCGAACAAAGTGACGGTGTAGGGTCCTCTTATTGTCTAATATCTATGGTGGTTACGGTGTCTAATCCGGAGCGATTCTAGGCAAACCGCTGGTACTTTCGATGCCGCCGCGACCTTCTTCAACCTTGTCCACATCTGGGGCACTCCCGACCCAGAGAACCTGCAAAAGATCAAGTACGCGAAGTGGAACGCCGCCCGGATATACAAGGCCATCAAGGAAGGCAAGGACCCGAACGAGTCGAATCCGAAGCTGGAAGACCTGGAAGAGCAACCGGCGGTAGACCCGGCGGACCCAGAGGCGCAACAGTTGACCTCACCGGGAGCTGGAGAGGGACCCAAGCCTGTTACCTTGGAGGAAGTTCCGGACCGGGAACTCAGAAGGGACTCGGCGGGCGTTTCGCTGCCGCACACTCCGGCATCCACGGCACAGCCCCCAGCGGATGACGAGCTGGTACTGCCGAGCGCACCGCCAACGGCGCCGCAGGGGTATTTCGACGGCCATGCACCACCGGAGCCCCCGTCGCCCATCTCCCCGCCCTTGCATGACCCGGTCTCGTACGAACCTCCCGCCGAGCCGACGGCACCAGATCCGGATATCGAGATCCCGTCTCCCCCTTCGGCACACCCAGAAGGCCCTCCCGCGTCCATATATCAGCCTCCATCTGCTCCTGCGCCCCCAACCTTTGCCGCCAGCCCCAAGGCCACCCCGGCAGTGGCGCCGCCGCCAACTAGCCCGCCAGACACATTTATGAATACACCACCCTCTGCAACCATCCCCCGACCGGTGATTCCCCAGCCCGCCGCACCGCCAGTCGCGCCCGTAGCAACGAGCAGCTACGCCCCACCTGCAGCAACGCAGCAGCAGCATAAACCACAAGGCAACTTTGCCACGGACGACATGGCAATCATGGCAGCGCAGAAACATGCGAAGTGGGCTATTTCGGCTCTCAATTTTGAGGATGTGCCGACCGCCGTGAGGGAACTGAGAAAGGCACTTGAGGCGCTGAACGCGTCATGAGATTTCCATCTATCAAAGTCTGTGAGGAGTGCATTGTCCGGAGTTTTCTGTCAGGCTGATCTTGGGCCCCTTGTCGTGTTATTCATACAGTAGATCAAGCCGAGTCGGCTGTAGAATGATGAAATTTGTTACCTGCATCCAGCTCCCTCCTCGGCCTCTCCGTCTGCCCAGATGACAATGTTGGCAGGCGGGTCGGCCATGTCCCTGAAGAAGTTCGCCACGACGCGGTCGCTGTACCGCAGGCTGAAGTGGGTGAGCACAAAGGTCGTCCGCGGGAACTTGCGCACCACGGGCTCGAGGTCGGCCCACAGCGTGTGCTTGGTCCGGGCCGCCTGCGCGCGGTGCTCCTCGTGCAGGAAGCTGCACTCGGTGATGACGACGGGGATCCCGCCGCGCAGCCACTCGGGCTCCGCGGCCAGCGTCGCGGCCGTCCCGTCGCCGAGGAAGGCCATGAAGGGCGTCGTCGCGGGCGCCGTGATCTCCTCGCCCGCCTGCCGGAGGGCTCTCAGCTCGGGGCCGGTCTTGGAGGCGTGCTCGGGCCGGAGGCGGTGCGTCGTCGCGCGGAAGACGTAGCCGACCGAGGGGACGGAGTGGTCGCAGGCGAAGACCTGAGCCGAGATGTTCTTGGTGCGCCGGAGGGGCACGACGTCGCCGTGGCGCACGCCGTGGGTGACGTGCGTGTGCAGGTAGCCCGGGCCGGCGACGGAGGAGGGTGCGGAGCCACCGCTGCCGGGGGTGTCCTCGCCGTCCTCGCCGTCCTCGTCCTCGTCCTCGTCCTCGGGGCTCGGCGCGCGGCTGCCGAGGTCCACGGCGCCGCCGAGGTTGAGCGCCGAGTTCGCGGCGATGTAGGCGTCGAAGACGCCGGCCATCTCGGCCGGGCAGACGACGTCGGGCGGGTCCTCGCGCTTGACGAAGGCCGGGCTCAGCAGGCAGTGGTCGTTGTGCCCGTGCGTGATGAAGACGTGCTTCGGGCGCAGGCTGTTGACCACGAGGCCCGCGTCGAGCAGCAGGTTGAGCTGCGGCACGACAAAGGACGTGTGCCAGGCCGCGCGGGAGCGGCCCGTCAGGACGTACTGGTGGTGCGGCCTGGGCAGGCGCCACTCGAGGATGCTGGACCGCGTGGACTGGGCGAGCGGGGTTGCGAAGTGCACCTTTGATGCCTTCGGCGCCGCGGGCTTCTGGGCTGGTTGTTGCGCCATGCTTATGGAATTGAGATGGCTGTTGACGTTGGTGATGAAGTTGGAGGGGAGGGAGGTTTGCTGGAGGGATTCATTTGGATGACGGTGGGTTTGAAGTCAGGATTGAGGAGAATAAATAATTCAGCTGAATAAGGAGAAAACGAGTTGGCAGATTGGTGTTGTTCTTGAACAGTACCTATGTATTGATGGTTCATTCACATTCAGTGAGGACGAAAACATTAAAGAAGAAAAGTGAAGTTGTTCATCAAAGATTGTGTGTGTGCAGGTGGGCTTTCTGCCTTTCCCCGCTGGTGCCTTGTTCCGCTGTTAGTCACCGCCGAACTGGCCTGGATCCCGCTAAACACCAACCCCGGCTCCAATGTCCCAGCACTGAAATATCATTCCACTCGTGCTATTGGCGCTAAAGTTCAGGGAGCATATGGCCATCCGTTAAGCCTCGAAGAAAACGAGCTTCAACTTGAGTCATATCCAAGGCGGATTGAAGCTCCCATTCACACCCACCGCAGCCTCCCAAGCCATAGAAAGGTCATCAAAGTCCGTAAAAGAAAAGGTGTCCATCTGCGCACGCGCTTCGAGATCTCCGCCCGGCACCATTGGTGGTAATGCAAATTCGGCCTGCTGACCGTGTTGCGGCATGGTGTCTGGCCCCTCGAAGAGCGACGGCTGTGAGGGAGGGAAGCCCTCGGACGAGAAATATCTGCCACCAGCCCTCTCGGGTGGTGATACTCGGCTATGTTCCATCATAATGCCGTCGCCGGGCAGTCCAAAGCCGCCGCCCTCGTAAGGCGTCCATGACACCGCTGGCGCCGTCGCCAGGCCAGCATTTGCGAAGGTGGCGCCGAGGTCTGCGAGGATCTGAGAGGCAGCCAGGTCGAACGCATCTCTCTTCCCCTTGAACGCAGGGAATCTCTCGACCATGCCCCACAGGGCAGACGAGCAAGTATGGACGTACGACTCGAGAGACCGGAACGACAACAGCTCCCGCACCTCTGGAGAGTGGCCGTACGCGTACATGAGAGCCGTGCCCGCAGAGTACAGGTTCTCCACCGCCTGCCAGTAGAGGTTCAGCTTGTTCTCGCGGAAGAAGTGCCGGTACAGTCTGATCATCTCCACGGCCGCGTTCGTCATGGTCACGAGCTGCGACCCCGACGGCGCCGGGATGTTGGGCGTGGGCCGGTACAGGTAGAACACTGCATGTTGGTAGTTGACCTCAAAGGTCTCGATGACGCCCTTGACGACGTTGCTCAGGCCTTCTACAACCGGCGAGTCCTTATACCAGCTGTCGATCCGCCCGTGCATAGCCTGCTGCCACTGGTCTAGGTCGATGGGCTGGTATGGAGGAGGCGGTGCTTGGTACAAGGCCGTTGCCATCTCGGACTGTATCCGACGATATCGCAAGTAGTGCAAATAGATCCGTTTGAAGAAAGAGGCCGGTGCATCAGCTGCTTGCTGACCATCTGATGTGATGTGTTCGTCACCCACGTCACTCGGATACTGTAATATGGTAGATTCATTAGCGCTGTCCGAGTTGATTCAGAAAGGAAATGTCTAGTAGCACCGACTTTTGTGGTTATTGCTCCATCTGACAAGCAGGACGGCAGGCACATTGTTGTTGAGATATTCCGGTCCATAGCGTAAGCCACCCAGAACGTCCGTCTCATATTATCCCGCGTAAGGAAGTCCAAGTCGTCTGGCGGGTCTTGGTTCAGCTTCAATTCCACTGCTAGGCGAACCGCTTGACTGATGACCCTCCAAGCACTCCAAGCTGTAGGATGATAGTGCGAGTACTGACTAATCAGCAGCAGCGCCTGCACTCCCTCGAGATCGTTCGGCATCCCAGCTTCACCCAGACCCATCATGGCAGTCTTATGATATCGGTCTGCCAGCCATGTTGGCACTCTCGATGGATCTTGTTTCTGCAGGACCAGCAGGGCCACAGCAAAGACCTCGAAAACGAAAAAGATGGCCAACCTCACATCTGTGGCGGTATGGGTTTCGGCCAAGTCAATAGCCCGCGGCAGTGTATAGAGCATGTCCACTTTCTTCTGGAAGGAGGGCGTATGTAGTAACGGCATAGCCATTCCCAGATAATGGAAATATGCGTTGACCAAGTTCTGGGCCGTTTCTTTAGAGGGTAGAGATATGGGATTGGCGTCCAAGTCACCCATGATAGCAGATGTGTGTTCCGCTTCACGGGGTTGGTCTTGATGCAGGGGAGTCTTGGGGCTCATGTCTGCGTTCATAATGCCGGCTAGGGCAAGCTTGAAGAAGGAGGGCTCCTGGCCAGTGGCTTGCCTAGCTAGCCTTGCCACCCCGGCCGCCGTGGCCCTCGCTGCCGCTGCAGTCTCGACATTCCGCTCAACGGGCAATCCTGGCTCGTTGTTAGAACCTCTGAGATTACCTGCATCCGATAACTGCGCCGTAGAGGACGGTGAGATCCCTTGTGGAGCCTCGCTTGTGTCATCACGAGAGCGATAGGACTGCAGCTTGTTCTCAAGGTACGCTACTCGCTCCTCAAGACTATGAATATAACTAAACCATTCCTGATCAGTGACTCCATATGATACGAACGAGTGTATACACATACCTCCGAGGCACTTGCCTCTTAGCAACGGTGTCGTAACCCAAGCATTCAACCCCTGCGAGGTCACACAAACGACATTTCTATTGAAGGGTCACAAGCGCCGAGTCAGTCAGGTTTAGACAGTACCTCTGAAACGATTTCGTCTTACTGGTAGCTGCTGATCACATCTCTTCTTCTTCTGCCGACATCGAATGCAGGCGGTTCTGCTAACCCGGTCTTGTGCAGAAGCCTTACTGCTTGCACGAGAGATGGACATTGCGAACAGCTTGGTGATTCTTCAACCAAAGTCCGAGTCTAGATGAAATAAGGAAACCATGTAGGCGATGTCTCGTAACCCTCACTGTAGTCTGTGAGGTTGCTGGCGAAGATGCATCTGTGACGTGCTTTCCACCCAATCCTCCTCCCATCCTGCGCTGTTGTGGCTTATTATCTGCACTCGTAGGATCTTTAGAGCGTCATCAAGCGGGGTCATGTAATCAGGTGACCACCTATCTCCCAAGTGTTCTAGTGACAATTGGTGGATACATCTACTCTGTACTAATTCTGCTAGTGCTTGTTTGTGTTTGTGAGGTTGGAGCAACAAGAGTTAGACATGTTGTAAGCTATGGTCACCTTGCGAGTTAGTGATCGGTATACACATCTGCATAGGTGCCCTTGTGAGCTCGTTACGGCAATACTTTTTCAAGCTGTCCAAGTCGGATCAGCATCTGATGTTGATACATTCTTGAACTACAATTCCTTCCCTTGACTGTGCACCTGCGTCTATGCTTACAGAATACATTCTGATAGCGCTGTAAAGGAGAAAACAGGATGGAAGATTACTTGGGCAGAACTGCAGGGCACGGCACTTGAATTATCTGGAACTCTCCCTCAGAAAGGAATGAATGTCTCAGAACTCCTGGTCAGGTTAGGAGGCCACTTTAAGACTTCTCCTGGCCCGCTGCCTAAGGCGCCTGATTTCTCCCCTAAAATCATGATAGTATTGAAATAGTGCATGACAGCTGGTGTATTAGGTGGTAGGACTCTCTCTAGGTATGTGGGATGCTGCCACATCTATACATCGTGGGGAAAGCCTCTAGGTACCAGTAGATACGTACTTGCAGTACCGATTTCGGCAGAGAGTATTTATTTTTAAGAACTTGGGGATCTTAGAAGAAATTTCCCATTGATTACAATGACTGACCTTGAGACTTTTTAATTTATTCACTACGGGTTGGGAATGTGTCACATCTCACTCTTGCTGGAGAGTCTTGAGACCAATAACAGAGATGAATTTCCCTTATGCCATCAACCATGAAGATTCTAGATATACTTTCCTCTTAACGTACTTAGAGCTAGAGGCATGATGGGGATGCTAGTACAGGTGTTCGGGGCTGTCCCCTCACTGCTTGAGACGTAGATGTACTCAAGATTAGTAAAAATAGCATGCTTCACCTAGTATTGCCGGTGTTGCAGTGCTGCTGCCGTTTGCGTTGTGGTTTTGGGAACCTTGAAGATGAGCTGAGGTGGTTATGTATTCAGTTGAGCTTGTATTCTGAGCGCCTTTAATGGCTAGAGTAAATTAAAAGATGGCTTGGCATATAAAACTTCGAGGCTGTTTCGCTAAAGTTGTACGCAGGGAGAACTCGTGATAGCAGAAATAGAGATTCGGTATCTATGTATCTAATCAAACATCTACAGCAGGTCCACCTTACCAACAATGATGGAGTTATCGTGCCCATAGGCTAACTAGAGCATCATATGCGGCCTCGGTTTGACATGTCTTGTCAACGTGAGTGTTCTTTGAAAGACGCGCCTTCATCGCCGTCGCCTCCATCTGCATCCTTTCCGACTCTTCGTATTTGCCCAATTCTTGGAGCACCAATGAAAGTTTATAGCTTGAACGGGCAATTTCACATTGGAAAAATTTCGCGGTCGTTCCAGATCGATACACCTCAAGGCCTGACCTGAGGGACGCTCTACAATTATGGATTAGTGCTCTGCTGCTATGTAAATTTTCTTCTGGGATCGCTGGTACGTACTCTGCCTGATTCCATTCCTTCCGACGCGTGTGATGCCATCCAACCTTGTGGCAGGCATCTCCAGTTTTATGATGGTACGGCTGGGTTTTCCTCCAGCAGTCCAATGCGTCTGTGTGGAGTTCGAAGGCCTCGTCGAAACGTTGTTGATCAAGCCGAACATTTCCGAGAACATACTTCATATGACCGATTCTTGACTTGGTTAGATTTTTGATCGAACCGTTGGATACCATGGGAAGTTCTCACATGAAATCTTTGTCGTCCTTCTGCCCATACTCGCGCTCCCGGAGCTGAATGAGCTTTTCAAGTCTAGTAGATGCCACGTCGAGAGCGCCACGTGCCCACTGGCTTCGACAAATGTTGACTTCAAAAGGGCAATGAATGTCGTCTCTTTCTCCAAGCTCTAAACACCGAGCATAGTACTCCTCTGCCCTGGTGTGATCATTGAGACCCTGGTAGGAGTTTGCAATGCCACCCAGGATGTTTGCCAACCTTTCAGAGTGATCCTCGGCCGAGTCCTTCCAAATCGTGTCCATAGCCTCGGTGTAAATCGACTCTTCTTCCTGAAACTTTTCCAATGAAAGCGAGAAATCCCCAATCTCCGATGCGATACAGGCGTAGTTGTGGGTCATTTCTAGCTTGCTCATGATCATGTCGATCTGGCCCGGCTTCTCGCTCCAGGCTCGCGTGGAGGCATTGATACTTCTGAGAATATCCCCAGCGCTGTTAAGAAGTTCCAGCCCATCTGCGAAAGACCCCACCGAGTAACAGATCCTGCACAACGGTTAGCATTCATTGGAATTTGCCAATCCATTGCGGCCTATACCATGATGAGTATGCCAGGAGCATAAAATAGTACACCGGTACTCGGAGAACATTTCCTCGTTCTTTCCAAAGCTGGTCGCCGAAGCCTTTCACGGATTGGATGTGCGTGAAGTAATCCAGGAACAATCGTCTGTCGGTCTCTCTACTCGGCTCCTTTTCTGTGTATGAGGCTAGGGGATCTATGGCGACATATAGAAGCTGCGTAGCAGAGTCGAATGCTTTCTGACGAGATTTATCGGTCATCTGTTGTCTGACAAACTGCCTTATGAGTCCGTGAACCCCGTAATGCAGCGGCTCTTCTGCGTACATCCGTTCATTCTGGTCCAGCAAGCCTCTTGACAGACTTTTGATATGTTTCCCAAAGTCCATGGTAAAATCAATATCAGCAATACCTCCCGGACCTTTTCCAAAACCCAAAAGCTCCCCTGGAATTCTGTGCCCGTGCAAAAGGGAAATAACCTCCATCATTGCGAGAGAGGCCGCGTCTCGTCCAAGCACTCTCAGTTGCTCCCGAAATACATCAGCTATGGCCTTTCCATATGGTGCGAAACGGCGGTCAAACACCTCGGCAGTATATGTCAGAATCGGTTCTGCATGCTTGTTTCTTTCGTTGTAGCCGGAGAGAGTGTCAGTCGCATCACTGTTGATTGTTCCAATTATGCCCGAAATAGCCAACGGCAAACACTCGACACGGCTTACAACTTGCCGTGCTGCTTCCAAATTCATCTCAGTTGACTTGCTGAGTGCCTCTTTCCGAACTTGGTCGAGAACCATCTTGCTTGCATCATCCTCACTGAGTGGACTGAGCTTTTCCCCTCGCCCAGCATAATTGCTTGTTTGGAAAATCGGATCGACAGTCGTAATCAGGATTGAACCGTGATCGCTACAAGGCCACCACTCGCTAATCAATTTCGATTCCTCAGCACTATCAAAGACAACCAGGAATAGTTCATCTGCAAAGCCACATAGTGAGTCTTCCATAATATCAGCGGCAGATGAATGGGGAAGATTATTTGATTTGTAATACGCACTCTGTTCCGTAAACCATTGCTTGAGTCTGCCCGCTGCAATTGCTGGGGCTATTGATGTGCCCACAACTTCAAAGCGGCGGGCGTATCCCGCATAGGAAGCAATAAGGCTTGTCTCGTCCCCCGCCCCAACCCACAGGATATGCTTGAAGAACCTTTCGGACTCCTTGACAAATTGGCGTGCCGTTTGCGTTTTGCCTTGGCCGCGGGGGCCCCACAACGCAAATGCTCTCTGTGAAGAGGAGGGAGAGCATACAAGACACTCGTTCAATAAGCTCAAGTATTGTTGCCTGCCGACAAAGTGAGGGTTCTGCATGATTGGGATGTAGTGATTTGGCTCATACAGGCGTGGTGGAGGCCCTGCTGCACATGGGCGAGTTAGCCCCCAAGTCCTCAGGTCGGGGTGGCTCAGAGCCGAAACAATCAGTTTTCATTGTCCATACCGCTGCCTTCGGAAGGTTGCGGACTAAGCTTTTGTCCTGGCATATATTAGCTGAGGTCCTCAAAGTCATAGCATGCAGCTTTGAGCCACAATAATCTCATGGGACGTACTCTTGTCACAACCATCTGTTTGAATAGTTGCAAAACCCGAAGAAGAGCGCGACATACTCTCAGCATGCAGTGTATCTTGAGGATCAGACCCCCGGTCAGCACCGCTCGCAGAAGTGTCGTTCTCTCGCACGATGGCTGTATCGCTATGGCGGACAACACCCCGCGGTCTGTTGGCAATCACTGTATCCGGTATGCACTGTTTGAGAACGTCCAAAACGATGTGATAGTCTTCGTCATATCGGGAGAACTTGACGAGATCGGAATGCGTTCGTTGCATCGCTATCGAGCCATCTCGCTGGTGAAGTGGCAAGCAACTGGTAGCGGAAATTGGAGTCACAAAACATTTCCGTTCGCCCATCATCTTGTAGTTCCCATGCTCGTCCTAGTTGCAAATGAGATTAGTCACTTAGGACACAACCAAGAGGTATGGCGGCTGAGGCTTACGGCAACTGCTGTATGAGACATTGATGTTTCAAAGAAGCAGTAAACCTTGAAGGAATGTTCTCGGAGCATTGAGGTGAAGTCCTGGTTTCTAGACGCAAGCTCTTTGGGGTTGATCCGATTTAGCGACTCAAGCAAAGCTCGGTTTGGCCCATTCCCGGTGATTGGGGTCAAAGATTCGATGTCCATCCCTTCGTGAGGAACGCCGAAAAAGACTGTTGCCGCTATACGTCCTACCAATGCCCTCTCCGATTCAGATTGGTTCATTCTAATCAATGCCAGCTTGATCAACAACCCCCCAAGGCTGTGACCGATGAGGACAACACGGCTTCTTCCATTTTTCAGAACTCGGCTCAAAGTTCTCTGAAGACTATTCGCCAAGTCATCCAAAGTTGCAAAACTGACACTGTCCTTCAATCTACTTTGGTGTCCATAGATCATCACTCGAGCCGTCGACAAATCCTGCGGCAAGCCATCTGCTAACCACATATAGCCATCAGACTTGTGAACAAATGAACCGAAGGGATGGCCAGCAAGTCCAGGAACGGCAATAATGTCTGCTTCATGCTTATTTGGAGGTGGGGAGTAGAGGGCGGTAAGGCCATCGAAGTTGTCACCAATTGCCATCTTCTGTAATCCAGCGCCAGCTTGTTCGATCTCGCCCTGGGTCGGCAGCCGTACGCGGATCTCAAAGGTTCGACCAGTTGCACGGTTTTCCGTTAATTTCGGAGAAAGGTGACGGAATGACACGGTCGCCTGGCACTGGGCAGGTCTGTTTGGATCAACGGCCAGCGTACGCACGACAATGTCTTCGCATTCGTCCTCATTGTCCCTGCCACTTGTCCCAACAGTGTTCGAGGTTTGTATGTCAGGATGCTTACGAAGTACCTGACAGAGGCCATCTGGGTCGAGCGTTGTGGACACGCCAGAGATCTTCCAGAGGTAACGGTGATGATCAGAAGGTTCGATCATGTCGGATTTTCGTGCTGAAACCACCGACGCGCGTGTGTCTGTAAGACCCGAGATGTTCGAGACTCCCATAAGGAGGGGTTGCGTCGTTGCTTCAGTAGGAGAGGGTAGACCTGGACTAGTCTGCGGGTGCTTTGTCATGTTTGCGGTGTGCCATACGTGTTCAGACAAATATGCTTGAGATATTGGATATTGTTGTTGGTGTTTTTCAAGCGTAAAAGGAAATGGACGGTACTCTCTCTTGGAATGCTCTCGTCGGGGTATCGTGGTGATGTGTCAGGTTTGACTAGTTTCTGGAGGTGTCGCACCTCTGAGCATGGCCTCCGAGTGGTTGCCTTTGTGGAAGGGAGGTATGTACTAGATCTCGGTGTCATGTAACGTCTCTTGACAACCTGCCTCCGGGCCATCTGGGTAGGACATATCCGTGCACGAAGAAATTACGAAGACCGTACAGCGGATGTACAAAAGTTGACCTGGTCTCACACTACCAATCGGATGTCCTGAACGTCGATATTAGACGAGGTAACCCATCCTAATGGTCTCATGTTGATAGGTGGTTAGAGCGACCGACTGAAATGCATGCAGAATGGATGCCAGACCACAATACGTTGGCATGCTTCCACAACCATGCACGAGAGACGTCATGGTACCAAGGAAAGATAGGAGCAAGCTGTCAAACAATGAAAAAAGCCCGATGCACTAGCAACAGATGTTGTCCACATGGGGTCGGCTAGAGGTCGCGGCATATGCCCTGATGACTTGTCTGGAGGACCCTACCGCTTCTGCTTCTTAAATATGGGGCCACCTATCCTGCGGGATTATGAGGACTGCTGATTCCAGAAAACCCCAGTAAGGTGATGACTGCGAGGTTCGTGTGGTTCGGCCGTTTGTAAGCAGCCTGCTTTTTCCGCAACCCAAGAGTTGAGACTCGTGCCTGCTGACTTCCCCTCATAGCAGATACGAATAAAACTATCCTCCAGACGGCCATCAAACTATCAGAATGGTACGCCCTCTCTCTTTTGGCCGTGTTTGGCTTCTACTTACCAACAGTCTAGTCGGCCTCGCAAAAAGAGGTCCGACAGTCATGCCAAGATGCAAAATGTCAGGTGTCTAATACACCACGCACTCAGCCATGGAAAAAGTTTTGTGATCCGGACTCATCGAAGTTCGAGCATGTAATCAAGGACAGCCCTGATGCGAGGACAGCTGGCAAAGAAAAGGCAGAGTTGATCACCTACCTGAAGGAGAACAAGGGGCGTCCTGTCACAAAACCTCCTAAAGGGGAACAGCCTTACTTCCTTGAGGAAGTTGAACAACAATCTGTTTCAGCGGCCGCTCTTTAGATTAACACAGTACAGTCTCAAGACTGAGTTAATCCTCAAAATCTCAGGAAATACTTTTGCGGTTTGATTGTGTTCTACTTCGATAACTTCCATGAGAATGCACTTTCCTAGTTGAAAAACCTTACCAATCGCACCTCAATACTCTCACGGCACAAGGCGTGGGACTCCACAGTGGGATTGGGAAATGCCAGGTGTACACCGACTGGGGGATATGTCAATTCCGTTGCAGCCTTTATTATGTCTTCGGGGAGAGATGCTCACATGGAACTGTCAGACCAGCCGAGTGAATGTTTCGAAAGACGGCCACCTGTGAAGTGGTTTGGTGATCAAGGAAGTACCATTGATGGCTAGGGCTTGCGTATAAACGCAGGCTTTCTCCAACATGGTCTCTATGCACCACATCATTGAATTCGACCTCGTCAAGATCTATCGATGTATAATCGCAGAGGGCAAGGGGCCAGTCTCGGTTTGGGCCGCGTGTGGGACGCCAGACACTAGGGAAGTGATATTGTCAGTGTTTTTCGGCGGCTAAAATTTTGTCAGAGACTACACCTACTTGACCAGGTCATACTGGCAATCTCTCAAGTCCTTATTGGCGCTCAGTAAGTGCTCAACAAGAACTGCCGCTCCATGAGGAGTAAAGTCTGCCAAGAAAGAATACTCGTTAACATCTGAAATGCCACCACAGACAGGGAGGGAAGACATGGACCGGTATGCGCATAGAGGATAGGGCTTGCAAATTCTGGTTCTTCTTTTGCGACAGTCAAGAATGACTCTCCTCGCTTCCGGCGCTTCAGGCTTGTTAGCTTCTTCGGGCATGCAATAAATTGCGCAGGACAGCCAGGAAAGAAGAAAAGAAAGAAAAGAAAATGCAGAAGAATAAGGAGACATGGAGAGGGTTGGATTCTCAGGATAATGACCACGCCATACTTCATGTGTTAAAACCCGTATGTCAATAGCCCCTGGGCTAAGGAGTCTCACATGGTCCAGCACCTCTTTGTAGTATCGTGATCTTACTGTGTCGTCATCATCAAAGTCTTCAGGCTTCAGATCAGTAGGCCACTGCTCAAATTGAAAGCCATGGACATCAAGAGAGAAAGAATCCTTTATCGACTGTGCATCAGTCATGTGCACTTGGAAAGGCGCATATGAATGGTTGGTGGTACTTCCGGTGTTGACAGGCAGTTCAAAGGCAACCATGTAGGGCTTTTCGGTCTCATAAAGCTTGAGACGCTCAAGGTAGTAGACTTTAGCTTCAAACCCCATCGCTTTCAGCATTCCGGAAAGTATGGGACTGACTGTCAATGACAGGTGTGCTTTGCGAAGGCAGAAGCAGACAGCGTCATCGTCTTTGCTTAAACTGCTCTGCCAGCGGGCTGCACATGTTCCAGAAAGTTTTCCCAGTTAGCTTCCCGAATTTCGGGAAGCCCTTTCTTCGCTTAATGGCGCGTCCTGGAAATCGCGGCCTTGGATGTACCTCGCGGCGCGAGAGAATTGCCGCATGTGTCTTTCACCTACACTCAGTAAGCCCCGCATGTCTCTTGTTGCACTGAGGGCGGGCGGCCTCATGACGGCGTCCATCTCCTCAGGTAGTTAATGCCACTTGTATCACCTCACTGACAGTGAAACCGTGCACTGGTACCGCGTCATCCTTCAATGCCATGTCATGCAGCGTGTCACCGGTGTCAATCACGCGGCCTCTACTCTGTAACGACCTCAATAACCAGGTGTAGCGTTGGGCAAGGAATACCGCCGAGATTCCAATCGGTTATGCTATGTTGAAGCACCTAAAGATAACAGCCTCATACGGCTCAGACACCAACCAGGTGCCACAATATTGCAAGGTGTTGGAACTCCGGCACTTGGTGTGATCGCACTCCGGCTGTCGTCCACTGCGGATCGGAGCAGGCAGCGCGAAGCAGCCAGATGGTGACTGGCCGTGCGCAGTGCAGATCATCGACAGCCCGAGGCCGTAGGCCCCTGGTTTCGCTGAGCTTGGCCAGGCGCCTGACCTTGGTGTTGGTGCGCGCTTTCTTTTTCGGCCAACCAAGAGATTGCGAATGTCACCTTGTGTCGGTTCGGCCGTATTTGGTTGGGTACGTACGTATCCGGGTGTCGTCAGACTAGTTGGTTGTTCTCATTCTTGTTGTTGTCTCTTCTATCTCTGTGGTGTACGATTCCCCCTATTTGGGATTACCCCCTAGCGCCAGCGCCAGAAGTCAAGTCTCTCTTCTTCCCTCCTCTTTCCCATTATTAGAAATCTTTTGGGATCCCTGAACCCACTCAACATTTCTTCTCACGTTGCCATCAGACTGGCCACTCCCACGGCGCGTCGGTCTCAATCACCAAGACATACAGCGCCCCTCCTGCCCTTCTCCTTGTTTGTCAATTCTGTTGTTTAGGTAGTTTTTTTTTCCCCTCTCTTTTCTCTCTTGTTTTTCTTTTCTTATTTGATTTCTTTTTCTTTTTTCTTTTTTTTTAGACCATGGCGCAGGTAGTCGAACTTGACTCTAAGCCTTACTACATTCGAACGCGAGATGAGGCTTCTTTGCCAGAAAGCAGTTACACCTACCAAAGTGGGATCGCACCGGCTGGGACCGGACCGACTGCGACCGCGCCTGTCGTGACCGCCGCGACCGCCGCGACCGCCGTGACCGCGCCTGCCGGGATCGTACCTGCTGTTGTGGTTCAACTGAAGGACATGAACTTGTCACTGGGCACGATCAAGGCATCTTTGAGACGCTTTGAAGATAGTGACGATGTCTTTGACGGCAGTTTTGCCAAGGATGGATTTCTGATCATCACGCGCACGTCTATGTGCTCTTCAGCGGCCGAGCTGTCTGATCATTCAACCGATACCAGTTTGAACACACCCGGGGAGGTTCCTACAGAGCTATCCGACTACTTGAGAGCACGGTCCTTGATCTTGGTTGTTCTAGAAGACCTCGACCTGCCAGAGGGACCGTACTTTGTGCAGAATCAAAAAGTCCACCAGGCATGGCGCATTCATCCCGACACTCTGTGTGCATTCTCTGCAACAGTCATTCCCGATGATACGCACACTGGGGTTGCCCGACATGGTGATACACAGTAAGTCATTCCATCCAATGGCCAAGCTCTCTATCTCACTAACATCATCAGGCTCTTCCGCTCATTACATGGGGCAGTCGGTACCGCTGGGATTGCTGTTCCATCACGCCTTTACTTCAGGCGTACTCCAGAGAAGCCTCTTGCCGGGATGAGGATCGCCATCAAGGACAATATACACTTGGAAGGCGTAGTCACTAGCCTAGGCAATCGGGCCTTTGCCGAGCTGTACGGCAAGCAGGGCGAAACAGCAGAGTTCGTCGAGTCACTTGTGAACAAGGGAGCTATCATTGTCGGAAAGACGAAGCTGTCTGCCTTTGCGGGATCCGAAATCCCTCCCTATCAGTGCATCGACTACTTTCCTCCATGGAATCCTCGGGGCGATGGGTATCAGAATCCGTCCGGAAGCTCAAGCGGAGCGGCGGCCTCGATAGCAGGATACGACTGGCTGGACTTCAGCGTCTGCACTGATAGTACGTCACGGACTCGCTCTATCATTGAGGTTCATACCAAATTGCTAATGTCTCATGCCACCACGCAGCCACTGGGAGTCTACGATATCCAGCCACCAGCCATGGCGCCTGGGGCGTTCGAGCCAGCTGGCACACATTACCAATGGCGGGCATTGTCCCCATATGCCCGTGAGTATGGTTGATTACACGCGCCATGTTACCAGTGCTGATACCTAGGAGACTATTCGATACGGTTGGACTTCTTGCTCGCAACGTCTCTCAGATTGAGAAGATCCTCAGTGTCTCTGGAGTCTCCAGAAACGACAGCAATGTATGCCTGCAGCTTCCACATCTATCCGCTCTAAGCTGACCAAAACCCAGTGGCCACAGAGGATACTCTATCCCACCGACTGGTTCCCTCAGAGCGATGAAGGCCAGCAACTCATGAGCGACGCGTTTGTGAAAGCGCTCGAAGATCTGTTGGGCGTGACTCACACCAAGATCTCTATCACGGACGAGTGGGCCAGAACATGTCCGGAGGATCTGCGCGAGAAGTCGCTTTTCGACCTTGAGGATGTGAGTCCCCCCTAAAGGTCTATGAGATATGGCAGCTGACAAGATCTCAATAGATGTCGTATACCCTAAATGGCTACGATGAGTATCATGGATTCGACACATTCCGATCCCAGTATCGCGAGAAGTTCCAGAAGGAGCCGTATGTGAGTCCGTCACATAGCGAGAGATGGTAAGAATCACCCAGCATTGTCCAGTGTCGATTCGCACAATTGACAAAGCTCTAGGAAAATGGACAAAGAGGAAACCGAACAAGGACGCGAAGCAGCTTCCAAAATGATCCCGCTTTTCAGGACCTGGCTTTTCGAACACTTGTTCTCAGTTGGCGATGACGGTGCTTGTCAAACCATCATGGTCGTCCCTCATGGCCGACCAGGGGCAAACTATCGCGATATGGAGCCCATATCCAGTTCAAGGTGCGTTCGAATAAGATCCATGCCCGATTGATACTTGAATCTAAAGGTCAACAGTAGCGACAGCAACGACGATGATGCTCCCAATATAGCCAGCTCAACCATGATCACCTCGATGGCTGGTGCACCTCAGGTCGTTGTCCCAAGTAAGGATAGTATGCCCAATCAGCAGAAGCCCGAGTACTAACAGTCTTCTCGTCGGTCAAAACCCTTATCAGTCGCGAGTATCTGGACAAACGGAGTACGCTCCAATATTCAGCACGATTGTTGGCGCTCCAGGTAGGCCACAATGCGAACCTGTGTCACTACATGACTTGGCTCATGCTTACTGAGATACAGGCACAGACATGACACTTCTGAAGGTAGCTCAAGACGCTCTCAGCAAGGCAGGGTGGCCAACGGATGTCCTTACGGGCAGGTACATGTTCGAACTCGGCGACAATGAACGGCATTCCACCACCTCCGAGCAGATGGCCAAGCTTTGAAAAAAGAAGGCACTATGGGCTTCGCGTTATTTCGTTGCGTTATCAAGTTATGAAAAGGGGCTTATCGCGCTCAGAAGATGGTAGAATTCAGTTTGCATCATATTTGACACTTGTAGCATCTACGGATGTTTTCTAAAAGTAGGATGATATTCCTGCCTATCCAAGAGCTGATTTCTCATTACCCTGAACCCAGCCGAAGTCGTTTCAACAAAGCACCCTAGCCCCGTACAGAGTTGTTCTTCCAAGGATACTTGCGGAACAAGACCTGCGCCGAGCCATAGATTGCCACCGCACCAGCCAAACAGCAAGCCACCGTCACGAAGCCCGGGATGTACTTGGGCGCGTCCTTGGCGGGGAAGATGTACGCGCCGTAGATACCAGACAGGTTCGCCAGGGCGTTGATGAAGGCGAGACTGACGGCCCGGACCTCCTGGGGCATCGGGGCACACGTCGAGGACGAGTAGGCGAGCGACTGCGCGTTGGCCGCCAGGTTGCCCGAGGCGAGGAAGACCAGGAGCACGTACCGCGCCGTGAAGTTGTAGACGGCGCACACGACGACGGCGCACAAGCATGAGACCCCGAGCCAGGAGGCGATGACTGCGCCGCGATATTTGGGGATGCGGTCGTTGAGGACGCCGGTCGCGAGGGTGATGACGAAGCCGACGCTGTAGATGGGGACAACCACTGTTCCACTCTGTTAGCAGAGACGTATGACAGACCCTTCCTGCGCTCTGCACTTACTGTACTGCGCCATCTGGCCAGAGTATCCGAGCCCTGCCACCAAGGTCGGGTAGAAGTAAGTCATCGTGTTGGCGGCAGCCAAAAGCTGCGATGATTAGTGTGGGTCGACAGAGCTGTCGGAGGGTGCATGTATTCTTACCAGGTACGCGCAGGCCAGCATCCAAGTGCGCCAGTCTGACAGCGACATCCGGATGGCCTTCATGTGACCAAGCGTGGGCGCATCCTCCGAATCAGTGACAACGTTGTCGGCTTGGAGACGAGCGACGGCGAGCTGCCTCTCTCGCTCGGTGAAACGCTTCGAGTTGGATGGGTAGTCGGGCAGAATGAAGAAGGCAATGATGGCGCAGCCAATAGTACCTGCGCCTTCAACAATCTGTGGGCTCGAGAGTTAGACAAGATCGAGGACAAGACGCCGGACCGAATTGTGCACTTACAAACAGCCATCGCCATCCTCGAATACCATGGGCACCATCCAGGCTGCCGGTGATGGCGCCGGCAACAATGCCTCCAAAAGCGCCGGACAGGACGGCGGCAGAGTAGAAGATGGCGAAGCGCTTGGCCTGCTCGCCCTTCCTGTACCAGCAGGAGAGGATGAGCATGATGCCAGGGGCGAAGCCTGCCTCGAGCACGCCCAGCAGGAATCGGATCGCCAGCAGGTGGGAATAGTCCTTGGCCGAAGCCATTGAGCAGGTCACGACGCCCCAGAGCAGCATAATGCCGGGGATGTACATGGACGGGCGCGTCTTTGCGAGGATCATGTTGCTGGGGATCTCAAAGATGACGTAGGAGATGAAGAAGATGACGAGGGCCATCGAGTAGTCGGTCGAGGAGAGGTGGAGGTCATCGTTCATGCCGGCAATCTTTGCGTTGCCGATGCTGAGAGCCAGTTAGTGATGTGTCGGAGCAGCAGCTGGATCCTTGGGTACCACTCACTTTGTCCTGTCTGCGTAGGAGAACAGGTACATGACCCAGATGATAGGCATGAGCGTGTAGTCGATCTTGCGGACGAGAGCCTTCTCCTCCTCGCTACGGTCCGCGACATTGTCGGCAACTGCGTCCATGAGTCCAACCTTCGGAGGCTCCTCCGCCCAAGTCCTGGCTTCTTCAGTCGCCTTGGTAGTGTCCATAATGACAAGGGTTCCGGTCGAAATCAAGCAGCAGGCTCGGGGCTGGGATGGGGGTGGATGAGCTGAACAGCCGTGTCTGATGACCAGAGTAACTCGTCACGGGCCAGTCAGGCCATTTTATGTCCAGGTTATGCCAGGCTTATCGCCCTTGTTGCTCGAGCTTCCCCACGGGGTGCCGCATGACGGTCCACACCATGATCATCTATCTCTGGCAATTTCTACATTCGCGGCGGCAAACAGCGACTGTGAGGGTTGCGAGCGGCGAACGCCGCCGCTAGAGGAACGGAGCGGAGCCCCGCTCCACTTGCACGGCAACTTGAAGCCAGCATTGAACATTCTCCCCTCTCCTGGGATGGCTTCTTGGACAGAGAGATTAAGTTAGGGTATCTCATCTCAGAAATTGCTATCTATGGGACCCTGAAAATGAACCCTGTTATCGAGTCTACGGGAGTGCGCGTGGTCTTTGCAGTGAGCCCAGATGATAGATATTTCTTCGGACAATGTTGATGGAGATTGTCATAGCCTCCTCACCAGTCAGTCTGGTCACCCGGGCTTCTATAAGGCAAAGCGGGATGAATCTGGATCTTCAAAATACTATGGGATTCTTTGAGTATTTACTTCAACAATAACCACTGACCTTACTTTTGTTGGAGGAGGGCTTCCCCGCAAGTTGCCGTTGTACCGCTCAACTTTAACCAAGAGATCTTCATCAAACCCTCTAGATCCAACGCGTAACAACTACAAGTACCTAGAGAGAGGAGCCCTTTCCTGCAGTCCTGCCACCGGCAATGGCACGTTCTATCTAATCGCAGCAAAGCACGCCGTTTGCCTATCGCGTGGCACCCGACGTGTCGGCAGCTCCATCCGCCTCCGCTCCGTAAACCTGGTGAGGGGCTCAACCCCACGAGCGGCGATCGCCGCCTCGCGTTACTTTGCGTGTTAACACTCTTTAGATATGATTATAATAATACACGCTTAGACGCCTCCTTATCATAAATGTTCGGAGCAAATGCGCCATTGCTCAAGGTCTAATACGATTGGTCATAGCACCGCCAAGACGAGAAGAGAAGATGGCATCGCAAACCCTCCCCGACTCCGTGATCATCGTGGGCGCAGGCATCTTCGGCCTGTCCACCGCACTGGCGATTGCCCGCCGCTATCCCGACCCCAAGGTCACTGTCATAGACCGCCAGACTCCTCCTGTCGAAGATGGCACAAGCGTCGACACCACGAGGTGTATCCGGTCCGGTATGCTCGTGCCGTTCACCGACTCTCCGAGGCCAAGACTAACACGTATTGGACAGTATATGCCGACCCTGACTATGGCCGTCTGGCGGCCAAGGCGCAGCGCATGATCGAGGCGGACCCCGAGCTGAAGCCACATTACTTCAAGCAAGGCATGTCCTTCATAACCAGTGGAAGGCCCGGCCCCCTTTTGGAGGTATGGAAGAAGGGGCTCGCGCACCTCGAGAGCCAGGGCAAGGGCGGCTCAGTAGTGCACATGAAGACGCCCGAGGAGGTGTTCCAGCGCGTCCATGGCAAGGGCGCGGAGCCCGCACCCGATAGCAAGCTGTCCAAAGAGAGGAGTTGGAACTACGGGTATTGTAACTTGGAGGATGCGTTCATTGACGCCAAGGAGAGCATACGTGTCTGCTACGAGAGGTGCCTCGAGCAACCGTCCATCACCTTCCGGTGTGGAGTTCCTGTCCATAGGATTTCGATCCAGAATGGCCGTGCTACAGGTGTGGTCCTGGAGAACGGGGAGGTGCTGGCAGCAGGCCTGACTCTGGTTGCTGCCGGTGCCTGGTCGCCTAGGCTGGTCGACCTCGAGGGCATGATCGCCTCGAGCGCTATTGAGGTCGCCTGGATCAAGCTGACCGATGAGGAAGTTGCCAAGTGGAAGAACATGTCCATTACCACCAACCTCAACACCGGCCTGAATCTCTTCCCGCCGCACAAGGGCGAGACCAAGATCCTGCGACGTTCCCCGGGATACAAGAACACGGTCACCGTCCCGCACCCGGAAGACCCTTCCAAGACTCTTCAGACTTCCATTCCGCGTACCACGGTCTCCAACCCTACTGATGTCATACCGTTTGAGGCAGAGGTTGGTCTGCGAGACCAGCTTCGTGAAATCATGCCATCGCTGGCTGATCGGCCATTTGACAGGACGAAACTGTGCTGGTATGTGAAGTCTGACCCTTGGTCCTCCTCTCAAGTACTGTTTAACTAAATTGGTTCAACCCACAGGCTCTCGCACACCTCATCATCCGACTTCATCATCGCCCCGCATCCCAGGATCCAGGGCTTGCATGTCGCCACTGGCGGCTCGGGGCATGCGTGGAAGTTCTTGCCCATCATTGGAGATCTGGTGCTGGACTCTGTCCATGACAAGCTGCCCAAGAACCTGAAGGACAAGTGGGCGTATGCACCCAAGGGTGCTGACATGGGCAACGCATCGATGCTGCGAGGAGAGATCAAGGAGTTGCGTGACTACGTGCGCAGTAGCGATGACGGAGTTCGTAGCCGCCTGTGAGATACTGTCTCGAGAAGGATTATAAAACATTGTTTGACGGATAATGCATTTTCGGACTGGATATCTGAACATTGACCACACTACCTCACGAACACGACCTCGCTGTACTTGGAATCCGGCCCAGCGAGCAGGCCCTCTCCCTTTCCAGTCAGGGCCATACCAAAGTAATCCCGCAGATACGCCCTCAAGATCTCCATTACCCGAGCGCCCGTGACCTCACCGTAGAGTGACGGGTTCTCCCTGAGCCCAGCGACGTCCGCAATGAGAACCATGTCCCAGAAGCTGCCGTGCACCGAGCCCTTCATGCTCAGCTCCTTCATCCACTCTCCCGGGTGATAGCTATCATGCGTCTCCCAGAGCTGGTCCCACGCCGTGTCGGCGGTGGAGTTATGACCCTCTGAGCCCCAGAGCAAGAACGACTGGGGGATACCGGGCCGCCCGAGCCCGGCGTTCAGCACGGGGCCGAACATCAGGCCGTCAAAGTTGACGCCCGCGACCACGCGCGTGTCATTCAGCATCGTGTGCGCTGCCGCCGCTCCCCCGAACGAATGGCCCACGAAGCCGACCTTGCTGTTTGACGGGTTGTCAGTTGCATACTGCACGCCGAGCTCGTTGAGAATGAACGACGTGTCCCTCAAGCGGGCGTCCAGGGCGTGGATGAGCGGTCCAGTGCTGTTCTTGTCCGCCGGGACGTTGCCGCCGTAGATGATGGTGCCGTCGGGGAACTGCACAATGTCGGTCTCGTAGGGGTGGTCCATGACGATGACCTCGTAGCCCGTGCTGGCGATGTTCTGCGCCATGGCCGAGTAGAAGAGGCGCGTGGTGTTGAGGCCCGTGCCGAGCAGCAGGGTCGGGTAGGACTTCTTCTTGCACCCGGGCCGCACCTCGCAGCATAGCTGGAGCTGCAGCTGCGACAAGATGCCGACTGGCCATTCGTCCGTTTTGAGAAAGGCCAGCAGGTTGGCATCTTCCTCGCGAGCAACTACTTCTGGCATGTACTGCACCAGGCATGTCTTCTGGCACTGCTTTCTGGGAACGGGGGTAAACCGCGAGATCATGAGGCGCCTTGGGTGAGACGAGTTGAATGGGTCTGGGCGGGCTTGGTCGACGAGCTCTTCCGAGGTCATCGTGACGCGGAAGGGACCATCTGGTTCGGGGAAGACATAGTCCCCGCTGACTGCCACCACGACCAGGGCGAGAAGGAAGAGCGAGTTCTTCAGCATCTTTATTCCAGAATGCTGCCGATGGGATGCCGATCACTAGCAAGAGCAAGCCGCCTCGGGTGCAAAGCTGGAGAAGGTCATGAACTTGTATTTGATCTCTGGCGGGGTACAGAGAACAGGGATCGAAGACATCAGTCTAACCCGGAACGAGGAGGAGCTGAAGACCCCAATCTCAAGTCGGGACAACATTATGGGCAAGCTGACACTTTACCCGCCAAGATTTGCGATTCTGGCCTGTGTGTGTTTACTGCTGTGTAATCCCCTTGCATGAGAGCTGGGTCAAAGTTTAGCGGGTGTGACCCTCGAATGTCTCAATTGACACACATCAGAGACAATCATACACCCGCAGAACAGATCTGTCGAGCCAAGCACGCATCAAATCAGGTATCGTGATCACATTGAGCCAGGCTATGGCAGACTCTTCCCTTGCCTTGTTGCCTGCGCCACCAGCGAATTAGTCGTGTCATCCGCATACCGCTTGTACACATCAATGTACTGCTCCCTCACGCTGCAGGTCGCCTTGATGCTCTCGCGGTTCTCAACGGCGTCCAGCCACTTCCGCCAGCGCGCCCAGATCTCTTCGTCATCCCCGCCCTCTCCCACCTTGGGAGCACCAAACCCGCCGGGCTTGTAGTGGTCGATGAGCCACAGCCTCAGCGCCCACGGCGCGAGCATGACATCCACCATCCCGAAGTCCCCGCCGGCGAACCACGGCCCGCCACCACTGCTGTCCATCTCGCGCACGAGGGTCTTGACGTGCCCGTGGAGCTCCTCGCGCGCCCGCTCGATGGGGAACTCCTTCTGCGGCGTGTGCTGGATCAGCTTGTAGAACCCGGGCACGATGCGCGTCGCGACGTGGTCCATCCACAGGCGGCACCTGGCCCGCTCGTACGGGTCGGCCGGCAGCAGAGCGGGGCCGTGCTTGGACTCGTCGGCGTAGGCCTCGTCCAGGTACTGGCAGATGACGGAGCTCTCGTAGAGCGGCTTGAGGTCTTTTCCCTGGGCCGTCGGCACGCCGAGCGTGGGGACCAGGCCCCGCGGGTTCAGAGCGAGGAAGTCCGGGTCCTTGTTGTAGGGGTTGATCTCGATGTACTGGTAGGGGATCTTCTTCTCGACCAGGACGATCCAGGCGCGCTGTACGAAGGGACAGAACCAGCCGGCGTACAGCTTGAGGGGGTGCTCGCCTGAGTGGCGCTCGACCTCCTGCGCCGCAGAGCCCGTGGCCTTGCCCTGGATCGATGTGTCGACGTTCTTGCCCATGAGTGCGATGTGTGCTTGGAGCTTGATGATGAAGAAAGACCGTTGAAGACGAAGGAGTCGCAGGAATGACGTGATGTGCCAAAAGTAAAGGGTTCAAGGTTGTATTGCGGGGTCTCCTCTCCTAGCTGCACGTCATGGATTGTAATTCACGCCTTACAGCACATCCATCCATCCATCCATGTCTGATCCTTTGCTGAAGGTGTTCTAGAATACCTATTCGCCCCGTAACTGACGGGAGCGGACCTGCGAAATAAGAACCTCCAAGCCTTCCTTTCTTGGTGTGGACGGAGACAGAGACGGAGACGGAGCCGGAGATGCCGGTCCGGTCCGGTTGCTCGGGTACAACCGCGTCACCGAATGCGAGGGAATGCGAAAGCACGGGACGCCTCGCGCACTAGGACCCCGATAATCGTAATTTCTTGTCTCACTCAAGCTATTCCGATGATTTGGAATGTGTCCACGCTGACATCCCTTTTTCAAACCTGACAGGACCCCTCCTTTGTACGCCCTCACTCGTGGAGAGCAGTCAAAACATCTGTGAACAGCTAAAACCATGGCGGGCCTTTTCCTCAAGGTCAGCGTAACGCTGGCCGTCGTGATCGCGATTGCGTTTCAGCTCCTGCTCAAGGATCTTGTCTGGATGGGCTTGGGAATCGGGAAGCATATCCAGCCTCTGTCTGATTTTCCCTACAAATGCCGTCGCATCGACGACCCGCGCTTCCAGGCATGCGAGGACATGTGGTTGTCCGAGTCCACGCGACAGCTCTTCATGGCCTGCTCTACCACCGACGGTAGGAAGCATTGGATCCCCAAGTAAGTATTTCCAGCTTCTGGTTCCCGGGAGATTGGCCTCCAGCTAAACCGTCTCTTCCAGCGGCCTTTCTCTGAATGTCACAGGCCGTTCGCTTTCCGACGCCATCGTCGCCGTGGACATTGACAAGCCCAAGGGCGACTCCTTCGAGTTTCGCGCCCTCAAGACCCCGGGATTCACAGGCACTGCCGGAGACGGCCTGCTCAACGTCCTCGGAGTCACCGGCGTCGACGACCCCAACGGCGACGTCGAGCTGCTGCTCAACAACAACCGCCCGTCCCTCGACCCTGCCACCGGCGCCATCTTGCCCGACCAGACGCACGTCGGCGCCAACTCGACCCTGGAGCTCTTCAGGGTGTCTGGCCGCTCGTCCGAGATGAAACACCTGCGCACCTTTGCCGACGCCCACGTCACTACGCCTAACAGCATGGCCCCAGCGGGCGCCGGTCCGGGCATCCGCCGGTTTTACATGAGCAACAGCGGCGGCCCGTACAAGACCGGGCTTGTAAGTTTCTCCTTCTATCTCTCTCTCGCCGACCTTTTCATGCCCCACTTGTCATTTCTCGTGCCGCTAATGCGAGATCATGTGTGTCAATTGCGGACAGAAAGCACTTTTCGGCCCGCTCTTCGGATCAGGCGACATCACCTACTGCGACGGCAGCACGGACGAGCTCAGCTGCAAGGTGGTCTCGGCCGGCCACAAGCTCCCCAACGGCATGCTCCGCAACTCCAAGGACGGGCTCATCTACGCCGCGAGCTCGGTCACGGGTATCATCTCGGTGTTCCGCCCCCTGCCGGACGGCGGCCTCGCAGAGGTCGACCGGATCGACATCGGCTACGGCCTGGACAACCTATCGGAGGATGCCAACGGCGACATCTGGGCGTCCATCTATCCGCGGGGCATCGAGATCCTCATGGCTTTTGGCGATCCGTGGAACGCAAAGTGCAAGGCCGCCGTGGTCCGCGTCCGCAGGGAAGCAGACGGCGGGTATTCCTGGGAGAAAGTGCTCGAGGATGGCGACGCCGAGGTTCTCCCCGGATCGACGGTGGCCGTGCATGACTCGAAGACCGGCAGACTCTTTTTCGGAAGTAAGTTCCAGCTTATCCCTTTTGTGTTGTGAATATCAAGAGGACTAATTTACTACGCTCAGGTGTCTATGCTCCGTACATTGGTGTTTGCGAGCCCATTCCCGCTTGATGGAGCAGGATTAGCACATTCTTGAGTAGATGTGATATCTTTTCACACTCTCCGCATCCACTCAGAAATTCTCGCAAAGTGCAGTCATCATTATGGCATGGGTTGAGGGTGGTCTGGGTAAGGACATGAACCAACAGGAGACTTTATATCCTGAAGAACAGCCGTCATAGAATCCAAAATAGAATAGATTACTCCGCATTCCTCTTACCAGACGACATCTGCTGATCGCATTGGCTGCAAATAGACGCAATAACAGTCACTTTCTCTTTTGATATGGGCTTACCTCGAAATAGTAAGGTCACAGTACCACCGCATGGCGGAAAGGTACGAAGGGAGCGTATTCTTTACTGTCTCAATCGTCCTTCCCAAGCCTAGAAAATAAAGTCTTGGGATATGAACCAGCTAGTGTCAAGAGACATAAGGTCTTCAGTTCCAAAGTCCCATGGCTGTTGCCAGTCCACTTGGAAGAAACCGTCCTCAACTATTGTTGTAGCAGATGTCGAGATCGGCTGTTCTGGTGGTCCTGTTCTGCGAGCAATGGAAGCTCGAAACTTGTCAAGTAGACTGATACCATGCTCTGCGCTAGACGTATGCCGAGTGTGGAATCTAAAAAGCTCGCAAACTTGTTCCCAAGATGCTTTGCCCGATCCAGCTTCCAGATCCACGTCGAGTTCAACTATCAGGGTTGCGGCGATGAGTATGGATCCGGCCGCGAATGTGACTAGCATCAGATTAGTGATACTATCGCGCGAGCCAGAATGATAGTGAGAAGAACTTACAGAAAAGAGCATGCCATGGAGAAGTCCGAAGGGAACCCGACAGTGCCACATGCAATTCCGCCAGTACCTCATAAGCTGTGTGGACACAAAGCCGGCACAGACTCCTTGCGAGGTGGTCTCGACTTGTCTCAGCCGCTCCCACTGAGGCAGTCTGTTGCTGGGTCTCGCGAGCAACCTCTTGGAGCAGTATTGGCCGGAGTATCCAAAGCTTCAAATATTTGAGGCGAGCACACATGTTACGCTTCTGTAGCTCAAAGCACCGCTGTAGGCGCAGATATTGGATGGGCTTGTCGGTGCGATTCTGTAAGAACGGCGGAAGATTGGCCTCGAAATCGTCAACTGACTGGCAGATATCTGCGAGGGCGCCGAGTTCTGCAGTATTGTACATCGACGCCCCACGTTCAGTGTAGCCGTGACGCAGCTCCGCAGCCTTGTCGCCAAACTTGTAAGCTTCAAGAGATAGCCGGTTGTAGGTCAGTCGCGAAGGGTGGTTTTCTTGCTGCCCTTCCCTATCAACGTCCGAAGAGAGATTCTCATCGTCGATTTCCGCAAATAGGGGCACCTTCGTATCTCGAGGGAGCAGCAATGGACGCGCAAACGTACTTGACGCGATCCTGGTACGGTCAGTGTTTTGCATTGGCCTGCCACTTATGAATAGAACGCTGCTTACCGGTCAAGCATGATGCATACATACCAGACGCGGCGCCGCATCTCCCTCGTTAGCTGGCTCGTCCTCTGGTGGATGAGCTTACTGCTGTCCAGGCCAATCGCTTGTGCAGCGCGGACCGCAACGCTGACCACAGACCAGCAGCGCTCCGCATGGGGGGTGTAGAAAAGCCAGATGGCCCTGAGCAGAAGAAGCTGCACGACGGCGAGGGAATAGCTATCGAGAAGCTCTAGCGATATCAGCTTCCTTGAGCGCTCGTAAAATTCCTCCCCCAAGTGGACCCTCTTTTCCAGCTCAAAGGACTCGTTACGTTGGCAACCCAACGCAAAGACCATGTTCATGGTGGCGTACAAGACCGCCTCATCGGAGCCGGCCTCCTGAACCGTCGAGGATGCAGGTTCCCACAGGTTGTGGAATTGTTGCAAAAGGGTCGGCCGATGCAGCAGGGGTGTGACCGGCTGGATGAGATCCAGATAGGTTTGCAACAACTCGTCGGCTAGGCGACGCGGTGGGAGGATCAAGTCTTTGAGATCGCAAGGAGCTGCTTGGCGCCGACTAGCTGACCTGCGGTTGATCTCATTCAACAAGTCAGTCGAGTTATTAGTGTTGGCGGCGACATTGTGGACATCACGGATGAACTCTGAATTTGAAGATGTCCCGAAATGAGCGCCTTCGTCCACGGTACTTTCGTCACGCTGAGTGGGTGCAGTGACGAAGCGCTGTGGGCTCAGAGTCGAGGCTTCATCCTCCCGAGAGAGGGTCGTCGCGCTGTGTCCAGCATTCCCATCCGGGGGAGCCGTATAATCCTTGGCTTCCAGGCTCACTAAACGCTTTTCGATCCCAACGAGAGTACTGCATGTCCATTACTATCATGTCGCATATGTGCTTCTTGAAAGCGCGGAACGCTGGTGAAGAAGATGGTCTCCCGGCCGTCCCTGAACTTACAGCGCGCGAGAGCCCGTCACGCTTTCCGGGTATTGGCATTTGTCCTGCCAGCCACGCGAAACACAAGGTCTGCAATGTGGACGATGGCCATCGCAGCCGGTCTTGCGGGCGCGGCATGGCGCACATGCGAGCTGCGTCTTCTTGCGTCGCTTCGGAGCTGGTGTGCCGTCTGGGCCATGGACTCTTCCGGGAGATCCTGGCATCCTCCGGTTACGCTCGCTGTTGTGTGATTACTTTCTTACTCGTTTTTGGGATGTCTTCTCGTTCTCGGGGCCTTTCGGTGTCGTAGGTCAGACCCCGATGCATTGATGGCTGTTGACAAAAACTTGTTCCGAGATCCGCGACCTGTCCGTTCCGATATCCCCGATTCTAGCGCCAATTATGGCGGAGTCTTGGCCACGTTGAAGTAATGTAGAATTTAAGGAAATCTCTAGGGTAGTTTAGCAACTCTTTGCGCCGGGACACTACCTGGAAGACGGGTAAAGACTTATGTCCTTGTTACCTCGCTCAGAATACCCTTGATTCGTTTCCGACGACCCCGACCACATCTCCAGCATTAGCAAGAATGGCTTCTTTTTCCACCAGTACACGCGATAGTAAGGTCTGGTTGCTTATAAATGCTTGGATGGAAAGTAGCGATGCTTTCCGGTTACTAGGTCCACAAATCTCGGAACAGCCTGCTTCGACATGGTATAAGTACAAGGCCCAAGAAGCCTCAGATTAGAAGATGCCAAGTTCGAATTGTCTTCACTTTGTAGCATAATCCCTTGGTAGATCATTTCTCAGCCCAGTAGAACATGACCGTCGCTCCAGAACAAATGAAGCAAGAGGCACCTCCACTAGAGCCCCAGGCGGCTCTGGGCCGCTTCGAACGAGTGCAGTTTCCCTACAAGACACTCAACGGTGTTGATTTCGAAGTTGCTGTTATCGCGCCAAAGACCGTGGTGGCGTCGGCTGCAAAACAGGATTCGCCCTTACTCGTGCATTTTCACGGCGGAGGCCTGGTAATGGGGACCGTCCTCGAACCATTCTTCATCTCTCTATGGTCGGTCTTGTCTAACCCCTTGCCCTCATTGCAAGAATGCTCATCGGATATTTTGAGTGTAGGCCACTTGAACTAGCGGAAAATCACAACGCTGTGATAATCTCGCCTTCATATCGTCTCATGCCCGAGGCCAACGGTGCCGATATCCTCGATGACCTGAAGGACTTCTGGGATTGGGTACACAAGGATCTCGTCGCTCTAGTGAAGTCAAAATGGTCCCATATCACGATCAACCTCGATAAGATTGCCGTCTGGGGTGAGAGTGCCGGTGGCTATTTGGCCCTGCAGTCAGCATTCCTGTTCCCCGAGGCCAGCATCAAGGCTGTCATGCCCCAATACTGCTGCATGTACACAGATCTTGTCGAGTACCAAAATGGAGGAGTCGATGACCCAGAGGCCCATGCCTTGCTAGACAAATTCGTTGCTGGTCTCAAGCCCGGAAGCGTTAGGGTCTCGTCGCCTTTCCCCGAGAACCTCAATCTAGTGCTGGCTATCAACAGAACAAGGCGTCACCTGGAGTTCTTTGGCTCTGATGAACGATTGAGTTTGGGTCACGCACTGCAAGTTGCCGAGAAGATCCCACCTATCTGGGTCATGCAAGGCACAGAAGATCGCCTGGTGAGTCACGGTCAATGCTTGAGTCTTTATGAGGGATCTTGCGATAAGTCATATGCTAAAACATGATTGTCTAGGTCAAGAAGGAAGCTATGGATCAGATGGTTGCCCGAATTCGAAAAGCTCACCCTGAGACGCCACTGCTGTATAGCGTACAAAGAGGAGATCACGGTTTCGATACGGACCATGGATTGACGGAGCCATACATTGCTGAAGGCGTTGAATTTATTCACAAGTACTGGCCTTAGGGAGATCGGCAACGCGTTCCAGTTCTTCAACTGAGAGAAAAGAGACGCATACGCTGTGCAGCTAAGCTCAATGCCTGAATGTTCTCTAGTCTAATTTGAAACATACCGCTACAGATCATTTTGTCCACAGATTCAATGGAATATTAGCCCAGTTTGATCTCTGCATCAACAGCCACAGGCAAAAATGCGTCTACATGAATCTTCCCGATACCTAGTCTCTCAACTTTCCCGTCTTCATCCGGCGCAGACAACAGCAGCACGTTGAATACCGGCCAATACTTGTAATCCTTGAAGATTCTCAAGTCAAATGGCTCACGATTGTAAGACTCATAGGAGTCGGGGTCCGCGACAGTTCCACTCTCTGGGTGATGCCAGGACCTGAAGTACTGCTCGTCATCGTCCCATGAAGGATCGACGTCAGTCCGGTTGAGGGTTGTACGCGATAGTGCCAAGAAACTGTGTGTCTTGTCCTTGAGATAAGGCACGAAGCTGCCATCAACAAAGACTGTGCCAGCTACGTTGCCATGCGAATTGAAAACGGCAAGATGGCACAGTAGATGCCGGCCATTGTCGCAACCAGATCGGAGGACAAACATGTCCGTATGCTGGTCCGTCAATCTGAACTCTGCTACTTTGCCCTGTATAGTCAATGTCCCTTCTTTATCTGCGGCTAGGAGGCGCGCCTCCGGATCCCCAACGAGTCTCAGCGGCCGGGGATAGCGAATGGCCTCCGCATCAGGGCTCTCGGGCTGAAGCGTGTAGTATGCCCCTAGTGTGTCTTCATCGACGTGCCTCTGCCACACTTCGCCCGTGGCGCCGACCATGGAAGCTTCGCGATCCTTTGTCGGGCACTCCACCGTATGGCACAGCTGAACACCTCCGCTCGCTTCGACAAGACACTGGCTTGCGGTACACTCGCCCATGTTCGTGAAGCTGTCCTTCTTTTGATAGCGCACGGGTCCCACCCAGCCGGCCCATGACCAAGACGGAAACGTCTTGTCTCGTGTGCACGTACCGACCGGGGTCCAGAGCAAGCCGACATCAAACAGGGTAGATGGTATTCCAAAGTAGAATGGCCCACGGAAGGGTCCGGTCAGGCGGTTGAGGGCTCCCAGAAGTGCCCTGATCTTGTCCTTGGGGTCAGTGAAGTTTCGCTTGGTGTACTCTGCAACTGACATGCCGTACGCCTCGAATAAGTCTTGAATCTCGTAGTCAAGGCTATAACGAGCGTCAAAGTCTGTCAGCATGGCCGTGCCATCGTCAGGATGCAGGTCTTCCCGTCCGTAACAGCCCTGGTCGCATACATAGTACACTTGAGACTCTGTGAACGTCAATAGCCGCTTTGATAATAGACGTTCCTGATATGTCCAGCCGCGTGAATTCCACCTGGAAAAGTTGATCGCGTCGGAATGACTGTCGAGCATGTTTGCGATTTTCAGCCCGTTGATGTCTATCTGCATCTGAGCCTTGGTACGGGGGATAGCTTTGTCCACTCCGGGAAGTCCGCTGTCAGCATCGATGCCTGCGGCGGCTACGATGGTCAACCACGCCACCTCGTAGACTTGGTCCATCCTGTTCACGTTCTGGAGCACGTTCTCCATATCGTCCTGGGTGATGCAGAGCGCGTCGATCCACACGTACCGACAGCCGAGCTTGCGCGTGACCTCCATCGCATGGACTATGGTAGTCGAGGGGCGATTGTTCTCCTGATCAAAGAATCCAGGCTGAGCCATGGCGTCTCGGTTGGCCAGGTTTTGCTTCATCTTTTGGTCCTTGCCCCACATGTAGCTGAGGGCAATGTATCTGGCCCCCTCTGGAAGAGGCATGATGCAGCCACGGGCGACGTCAATGACGGTCAGCTGGAAGTCCAGACTGAGCCCCGAAAGCCTCGTCGTGAGAGTGTCCTCGGATAAATGAGCCTTAGATGCCTCTGATCCGTGCTTGGCTTCGCACTTGTCCAGCCATCTCAAAACGTGATGCCAATCTATGGCATCAGTCGCAACCTGACGGCCGAACAGAGCCAATTGAGTCTCATTTGACCCGCTATCATCATCGAGAAGAAGATGAATCTTGGGAGCGATCCTAGCAGCCTCGTACTCATCCCCGGTGTCTCTATCCAACCTCTCCAGGACGGGGTAGGATGTGTGCAGCTCCAAGTAGAGGGCAATGCGCTCGTTTGGGTCCAGCCCAGGGTCGTTGATGATGTCCTTTTGGAGATCATGTGGCGATTGGTTGCAGACCAGCACACAGCCGCGCTGCTCATTGAGCTTGCTCAAGACATACTGAGCGCCGTAGTGCTGCTCGATCGTGTATTTGAGAAGACCGCAGAGCCTGCACTCTCTGCTGGTCGAGATCTCTCTCAATGTGCCCAGCTGCACGTCCACATCATCCAGCTTGTGTAGAGTGCGCGGTGTGGTGAAAAGAGTCTGAAGCGGTAATTGAGTGCATCGCTCGCACAGTTTCAGCTTTCGTTCTGACCCCGCCATAGTGTCTCAAGGGTTGTGGAACGAGATGTGGTAATGATTTTCAGAGTTCTTTAGGTGTGCCCTTTCAGGGTGAAAGGTGAGCGGGCTCTAGTAATCGAGCAGTTTCGTCTCGATATTGAGAACAATAGTTGGGTAATAATAATAAAGCAGATGAAGTGAAATTGGAGAGTGCAAAGGCTTTGAGGCACTGGCCAAGAGATCCCCTGTCAGCATCAATGCAGGGGTTCGTCACATCGCGCTTAGGGCTGGAGCGAAAACGTTTTAGCTTTGATAGCACATCAATGTTTCATGGTTTGATGTAGAAAAGGGACGGGAAACTCCAGGTAAAGAAAATGGTGACATTAAACAACAACGCCACCTTGGTCCCCGGCTTGGACTCGCACGCGTTGTCCCGGAGATGTTAGGAGGAAGGCAGCAAGACGGTGGGAGTCTGGGTAGTTTGAGATGTAAATACTCATTTAGATGGTGCAGACTTAGCAAACCTCCTTCTTGGCTTCAGAGGTAATACGACTTACGCGCAATGCCGCCACCAAAATTATGCATACCGGGGAAGAAACCTTGGCTAGGCCCATCGGTCTCATGAGATCCTGACAGAAAGGGAACCTAAGAAGGCCGCAACGGGCCTGGTTCAGAGTTCTCACAATTCCGAAGCCGATGCTGGTTCCTCGAGTGCATCGTGGAACTCGTCCTCTTCATCAGTAGTCTCCCAGATCGTTTCATCATCACTCTGACTTTCGGCCAGGCTGGGTGTCTCCCTTGGCTTTCGGAGAGTCAAAGCATGGATGTCGACTTCTGAGTCGCCACCTTGGTATCCCCCTTCAATATTCATCTCGTCGATCCAGGGCATGCGCCCCGGATCCCAGTCTTGATAAGCCAAACTAGGCTCCTCCTTTATAACCTCTTGCCAGGCACGAATCCATTTCTTGAGCTTCTCATGAGACCGGTCGCATTCCATGGCTAATCTCTTTCCAAGAAACAGCCCCCTAGCCCAGTTTCTCTCCCGGATTTCGACTATCAGTTCCGCCAGGCTAATGGTCTCGTAAACCGTTTTCTTCAATGGTCCGCTAGAGGATCTGCATTTCGACCGCAGTCTACCAAGCGGGGACATGCTGTCAAAACCATCTCCAAGGTCGGGGTCAATGCCATCCCAGTAGAAAGCGTCCAGATGATAGAGATGCTCAGGGGCCTTTGATTTTGCCAGATGATGCAGCAGCGTCTCATTATGCAAATCTACGGAGTCGAATTTCGCTCCGGCTTTTGCTAGGACAAGGGCGGCGTGAAGTTTACGGTAAATCAGGGCCAGTGCCAAGGGTGTTCTCCCCCAAACATCCTTGACCTCAATGTCCACACCATGCTGCTGCAGAAGGCGCAACCCTGCCTCGGCATCCTCCAGTCCTCCACTATAGTCGCCCAGACAGTGGATAGGAGAGCACTGATCTGAGAAGGATTTGGCGAAGAGTGACGCTCCTGAATCGAGTAGAAGCTCCGCGGTCTCCAGCATTGGATGTCGGAGTGCTTCATGAAGAGGCGTATATCCATGAAACGACGGTATGTTGACGTTTGCTTTTCTGCGGATCAGTTCCTCAGCGAACACGGGGGAATGCAACTCAACCGCCGTAAAAACGGCTGTATTTCCGGTGGCACGCTCTCTGATGTTGATATCACAACCCGCCTGGAGCAATTGGTGAAACGCCTCAGTGTTCCGCGACCTCACCGCCCAATGTAGAGGTGCGAGTCCCATGTTATCGAAGGTGTGAAGTTCGCATGGGTGCGAAGCAATAACGCTCCTAATGGGCTCAGGAGACAATCCCAGGACGCACCTATGTATTGTGGTGAAACCGAGCTCATCTTCGTCTACTAAATGCCGCATCATGTCGACCAAAGCTTGAGGCACGTTGGGTGTGGACATCATATGCGGGTATATGCTGTTGATGCAATTCCTGTCTTGGTGTCAGATATGTGTTTCCGATATGCGGACGGGATAGACGCTCAGCCAACCTCCCATTTACGTCGGTCATCCAGGGATCGAAGCCATTCTCAAGAAGTACAATCAATGTCTTATATGCATGGGATTGGAAGCATTGCTACGAGGGTGTCAAATATGCTCATGTTCTGTTGGGTCTGGAGGGAGGCTAGACTTACCAGGACCCAAGGCCTACCAGTCTCCCTGATGTCATTGGGCTGGAGGAATCGTGCAGAGATTGCTGCTCGAACCCAATTGAAGTTGTCGTGGTACATAGCGACAGCCAGTACATTTGCATCGTTGACTCTGGGCACCTTCCAATACACATGGGCTCCGGTACCCAGGAAACTATCCCAGCCCACTCCAACATGAATGGCGCTGGAGATAAGCCAGCTGGGGAGCTGGTATTGCACAGAGATGGCTTTCTTGCTTTGCTTACACAGATTCGTGTTGCATGGCCGACGGTCCAGCAGCGGCAGAGCGTTGTAGCGGAGGAAGAACGACCCCAGCACTGATCGTAGCCAAGGGGGTGATTTCATCTCTGAGTAGATGTGGCATTGGCATCGACAACCCGGCTCGCATTTTCTCCGCACAGTGGTGTATATCGAGATAGGGCTGGGTTTGTGCTGCGAAGTATCTGGGCATCCTTCACCGGGTTCCGGCCGTGTCTGAGCCAATGCTTGCTCCAAACGACTGAAGCGTGTGTCAAACTGGGCCGCCAGGTCTTGGGTCTGCCGCCGTGATGCCAACTCCATAGATTCCATTCGATCTTTCATATGCGATTCTGTCTCTCTGAGCTGGCCAGAAGTAGCTTGCTGGTTAAGCAGGGCTGTGCTGGTGCTCATGATAGCGTGAACTTCAAGCGCCAACGACCCGTGTAGTCTCTGCCTATGGAGGATGTCAGCTAGCCCGGCAAAAGAATGCCTCTCGGAGCGCCACCTCAGCGACATGCGCCGCCAACGGCTAACGTACTGGCGTACTGAGAAGATCGACTGCATAGAACTACTCAATTGCTGATGATACTGTCGACATTTAGTAAGATGTTCAGACATCGCTGGCTTCTCCTTCTGCCATAATAGCTTGGGTATCCTGTGCTGCCCTTGAGCATTGAGACCTTTGCTCTTTGACAGAAGACGGGTGGCGATGGAGTTGAGCTCATGCACAGAACGTGCCAGAGCCGCGAGGATAGGCTGGAGGTTCGGGTCATCCTTGCCGTCTATCTCCTCAAGTGCCGAACTATTCGTGTCTATCGCTGCTTTCAATGTATCGAGGTCATTGAGGAGATCCCAGAACTCTTCGTTTGCCCTGGCGATGGAGCGCAGGAGCTTGACCCCCTTGCCGATCAAGCCTGCCGCCTGGCCAAGGGCGATGCCGCTCCCAATAATTCCCAGGACCTCCGCCATGGGCAACTTTATTGGTATCGGATCAGACACTACGCGAATTCGGAATGAGCAGAGACCAGTTGAGGTATTGGGCGACTGCGAAAAGATGGCCTGCTCAGGCAATAGATTTGTCAAAGAAGTCAAGAGGATTTCCGCGTAGCGCGAGGCAGAATCAGCATGGTGGCTATGCTCATGCAAGACGCATGCCGCACTGAATACTCATTGCCAATTGGGTAGTATCATGCATGGTAGGGAGGCCCAAGGCGTCGACAGAACCCTGCAAGGTCATCCGCCAGATTAACATCTGGGTTGGGCATCCCATCCTCAGCCCAGACTGTGGCCCCCGCGTTGGGCCCAACTCCGAGTCCCTGATGCCAATCTGACCTTGGGTCTTCATTTCCAATAATCAACTAATCACACACTCTAGCAGTCCGATTTGCTTTTGATACGCAACAGTAAGTTCCCCAGGCGCCACAGCGTGGGCCTTGGCGAGACCCGCGTCGTCGGCGTCAGCGCCGGCGCCGGCAACCGCCGTGGTCTCGACCCGAGTTCCTACTTCTTGGCCGCGGTACCGGTCTCGCCCTGCTCGTCCCCGCCGCGCTTCGTGCCGCGCGGCTCGGCAGGCTCCTCGCCCGTCTCCAGCGCCGCCGCCGCCGCTGCTGCCGTCGCTGCTGGGGTATGCATCCCCACGTTGACGACGTTGCCGTGGCGGTCGCGGTAGAAGAAGCGCGTGACGCCCCACGCCTCCTCGGTGCGAAGGTGCACAATCTCGAGCCCCTCGGCGCGCACCCGCGCTTCGACCTCGTCCACGTCGTCCACGAATATCGACACCGACGGGTTAACCGGGCCCGTCGCGTCCTGCGTCATCAGGCTCAGCTGGAGACGGCCAGTCGGGTCGCCGAGGGTCGCGATCCAGCCGTGGTCCATCAGCACGTCGAGGCCGAACACGGCCTGGTACTCGGCGGCCGCGGAGCGGATGTCCGACACGACGAGGTTGGGCACGATGCGGTGGACGGTCGTCCCGCTAGTCGTTCGGTTGATTGCGTCGGACCTGGCATCATGGACGCGGTTCCGCTGGTGGGACACGTCCTTGGACCCCGGCTGGAAGGTCTGGACGTCTTGAGTTTGGTCGGCCATTGTGGTGTGGTGTAGGGGTGTGTGTGTATGTATGTATATGTAGATGAATCTTTTGTAGTGAGATAGGAGAGAAGAGAATCCATGCTTTGGAATGTTCGTAACGCCTGGTCTTAAAGTAGTGTACAGTGCGAACACTGGAAGGGGGGTGGTGTGCGTGCGTCGGACAGTATTATCAGTTCGGAGACTGGCACTACAGTCTACAGCTGAAAGCTTTTTAGACTGTGACTCTGTCAGAGTTCTGATCCATAACTCTTTTGGGGTGGCTTTCATCGCAGACTGTCAACTAGACACCGTGCCATTGTGAATGAGGCTAGCTTTGAAGAAAGTAGCAGAGACTTTAACGACCAATAGTTTTATGAACAAGCCAGAATTTGTGAGAGTGGTGGAGTAAAGTTATCCTCCACCAACGTTGCCAAAAGGTTCTTGATCAAATTAAATTACTATGATACCACCAAGCTTAGGTAGCTACTGGCTCTCAAGGTCGAGGAATGGTGTCCTCAAGCTACGACGCGACTTGGTTGACGCGCAGTGTGATAACCCTCGTCCTGAGGTGTCACGATCTCTCTGGCTGTTTGAGGAAAACTGCCCCTAGTTCAGATAGCTGGGCCAGCTCCTCTAGGGATCCTTTCGGTCGCGCATGTGAACTATCTTCAGGATCCTAGACAAGTCAGGCTGTCCATTCGGTGTATCATTGACGGGGAGAATGCCGCGAACACCAAGTCACCGGGTAGAAAATGATACGATGTATCACGTCAGCACCTGAAGCAGGAAAGGAAATTCATTTGCTCCTGAAAACCCCTGACGTTCGGCATTTGTAATCTCACACAATATCCCAAGCCTACGAAATAGGTGATTTTGACAAGCCAGATCCCGCACTTATCCCATCGCTGTCTGCCAGGCCCCTCCGGAAATCATACACGTCTCCGAGCTCGTACACCTCGCGGATGAACCTGTCTGCCTCCCCGATGATCCTGACGCTCTGGTCTACACTCGGAGAGGCCGGGCCGCCGCACACCTGCTGCCAACCCTCGAGCAGCTGCCTCAGGTGGTCGCCCGCCAGGAGCACCTCCGGCCCGATCAGCGACTGGAGCGAGGGCACGCGGCACGCGGCCAAGAGGACCAGCATCGCTCCGGCCATACTATGAAACAAACCTCTAGAGTTAGAGAAAACTTTCTTTTCTCATCGATAGATAAACAATAAAAAGAGTCGGGGCAAAATGCGACCCCCAAGAAAGAAAGAAAAACTCACGAGAGCGAACAGATCCACGTGTCGACGAGGACCGTGTGCGCGAACCCGCGCAGGTTCAGGATGTGCAGCAGGCACGCGTCCAGACACGTCTTGCAGTTCTTGAGCACCTCGCCGGACACGGCGAACCCGCTGCCGCACCCGCCCAGCTCGGTGCCCCCCACGCCGCTGAGCATCCACATGAGGTAGGGCCGGTAGATGACGCTGCGGCAGGTCAGGTACCGCTGGCGCAGGAAGCCGCCGTGCTCCGAGGCCGGGGGCCCGGCGGCGGCGGCCTCGTAGTCGACCGAGAAGTGGAAGGCGGCGGGGAGCACGTCGCGCCACTCCTCGAGCTGGTGGTCGAGCTCGGCGACGACGTAGGGGAAGCGCGAGGGGTCGAGGGAGGCGCCCGTGCCGCGGGCGTAGAGCAGCTGGTGGACGCGGTTGAGCAGGCGGCGCATGGAGATGCAGGCGAGGAAGTAGAGAGAGGACTGCTCCTCCTCGTCCGGCGCGGCGTGGGTGTGGTACTCGCCCGGCAGGGGGATGGAGCTCTCGATGCGGGCGATGCCGGACTGCGGCAGGGCGGAGAGCTCGGCCAGGTAGTCACTGGTTTTTTTCACGTGTTAGAATACCTTTCCTTGTATCCAGGAAGGGTGATCAAGTCTATACCTTTCCAGGATGTAGCAGGACCAGAAGATTCTGCGTATTCGTTCCTGCTCCTCCGGCTCGTCTCGGGTTGGTGGATACGACAAGAGCAGGAGACACTTGGCTGCTGCCGCGTTGATGTACTCCCATGCCTGTAGAGGTCGCCGGAGAAAGGCAAAGTACATCCTACAGTCTTATTTAGACCGAGTTCATGTTATTGGAGGTTAGGTGCACTTACGCAACAAAGAACAGAGACTGGGTTGCGGTGGACGTGATGCCAGTATGGGCCACGTGCAGTTGAGAGAGCGCTTTGTTGAAGTACCCGTCGCCCAGCTCTCGGTAGTTAAGGTGCTGACACCTTGTGTGATGCTGGCTAGAGGCATAATTGGGCACGAGGTCAGAGGTCAGTCGACTCGCACACCCCAACGCCATGGTCAGCAGTGCCAAGCAGCTCTCCTGGCTCGGCTGGTCCACGGCCCGAGACATCAGGATGTGGCGCGCTGCCTCGAGCTGGGGCTGCGACATGGTGGGATACGAGAAGTTGATGTTGTGTTCGAAGGACAGCAGGATGTCATTCATCTCGTCCGACGTCAACTCTGGAATGCTGCTGACGCTGCTTGTCTGGTATCCGGGCCGGCTCTGCTCCAGCTGGAAGATGGAGATGTAGTCATTCCGCAGAGACGGGAACACATCGAAATGCGGCCACTGAAGCACATACTCGGTGGTCGAGGTGTGCATGGAGTCGAGGACGGCGTTCTCCAGGCTGTTCAGCTGGTGCACCTCGCTGACCGGAGTCCTCTGCTGCTGCGGCTGGGGGAAGCGCTGAGTCACATCGGTGCATGGCGAGCTGGAGAAGCTCTCGGCCGAAGAGCAGGCCGTCGGCAAAGCGAGGCGGCGCTCTGGGAAGACCGTAGGCAGTGCCTGTGCACCCTGTACCTAGGAGTTAGGAATTGATCACAGCGACGGGAGCAGTGCGTGCCGACTGACGAGGCTGGCATTGATCTCGTGCAGGAACCTCTCTACGCGGAGCACCCCTTCCAGGATGAGATCACTCTTGCCGCGACTGGAGAACCCGTTAGTGTTTTTGCTCCTCTCAGAGCCTGCCCTGGAAATGAGAAATCTTACGAGTTGGCCTCCGACCCATACGTGCACTCATGCTCGGCAACGGCGCAGGCCGCGCAAGGGTTCTCTCCATTGCATCTGGGCGGATATGGTTAGCATTCGGGTCCGGCGATGGCCAATCAGGGATGTCAGACGGCCTTCCGGTACCTTATCTTGCGGGCCCGGCAGACATCGCACTGCGTTCGGCATTATTCTTTAGCTACACTGACTGTCTGCAGATTGTGGTGAGAGAAGAACGTACAGCATGCGATGTCCGGAGACGCTTTCGCGGTGGTCCACTGCTGTCCGTGTCCATGGCAACTGGGCGATCCAGGTTGAGGGATCTACATGCTCGGTAGTACCGAGGGAGCGGCTGTCAGAAGATAAAAGGAGAAAACGCCAGACAGGGAGACAGGTTGACAGGTCCAGGATTTCTTGGGAATTTCGGGGCAGCAGGTTGCTTGGCCGCCTTAAAGAAGCCTCGGATTGCGGGGGAGTGTGCGGGGAGGCAGAAGATCCACGCGAGGGCGGCGTCCAAACGGGCCAAAGCAGCCTTATCAGGGGGAGGGGGGGAGGAGGATATGGGGGTTTCTGCGTCGTCGGGGTGGCATGACGATCCACGAGATGAATGCTCCTCGAGACGGATATTGGCCCGAAAGGGACTGATCCCGGGATTTAGAGTCCGCAGGCCCTTGGCACCTGGTTCTCATCACATGGAAAATGCGATGGGTTCCTGAATACAAAGATCACATACCGGGCCCTTTAAGAGACCTTAGCCATAATAATAAAGCCGAGAGGAGGACGCCCAGATTCCCATTTCGAGCCGCACCCAAAGCACACGGCCGGCCACATTGACGCAGGCACACGCACACGCACACACACCACACACACTGACGGTCTGCATCTGCCCGCACGCCATTCAGATTGATGCTTGCAAGTTACGGGTTTATGTCCAGGGTCCGGGAATGCAAGAGGCCCTCCAGGGTTTAGCGCACCAATCGCACGCCGAGGTCGGTGGCCACTGGGCGCGGAATCAATGCGAGCGCACACTCATATTAGCTAGTTACTACTTGTAGCTAGCTACGAGCTAGTTACTGTAACGGGTCAGTCGATACGAGTTGAGGCGAGGGGTGGTTCAAGTTAGTTCGTCGAGAGAGACCGTGCTCATGCTCACTCTTCCGTCTCTTCAATGACAGGCGCACGCATGTGATGGAACACCCCGCGTATTGACTTGACATATGGGAGAATACCTCGTACCGGAGCATTTGAGGCGGTATTTCAATGCCCCTTGTTCATTATATGGATATATCCTGACACTTTCCGTGAATTGCCATTTTCATTCCTTCTTTTTGAGTCTGTTTCCTCTCCTCTCCCCGCCAAACGCTGGAAGTTGATTCCAATATGCCCATGCCCGTGCCCATACATACCCATGTTACAAGCCAGTACAACCACACGCCATATACACCCGCTATACTACTACTCCACCTGCGCCGAAATATGTTGAAGACATCTCACCTCTTTTGTCTCTCCCTGGAGGAGCACTTCAAGCCTCTGTTCTCGCCCTCCCTACCAGCTTGCACATCACAACACAAAACCCACGCCCCTGCGCCCCCGTCGTCATGCTTAAAACAACCGCCCCCTTATCCAACACACCAAACGTGAGCTGAGTGAAAAAAAAAAACCTCAAGGCTCGCCCCAGATCTCGTCGGCGATCTCCCGCACGAGCGCGAGCTTCTTCTTCTCGTCCTCGAGGCTGAGCGGGTAGCCCTCGGAGTGCGTGCTGAAGCCGCACTGCGGCGACACGCAGACGCTCTTGAGCGCCTCCTCGCGCGACTCGCCGCGGCCCTGCGCGATGAAGTCGGCGGCCTGGTAGACGCGCCGCTTCATCTCCTCCTTGTCCTCGAGCGCGCGCAGCTTGGTGCTGATGATGCCCACGACGACGTACTTGTCCCTGGGCAGCACGCTCAGCGGCTCGAAGCCGCCCGCGCGCTCCGTGTCGTACTCGAGGTAGAAGGTCGTCGCGTTGAGGTTCTGGAAGAGCTTCTTGGCGATGATGTCGTAGGCGCCCTCCTATACAGACCAGACAGACAGACACATGTGTGTTAGTATGTATGTAATGCTTCTGTGTGCTGCCAGCGTTTTTCTGAGAAATGGGGAGGGGGTGGGAGATGGAGAAAAGGAAAAGAAAAGAAAAAAAAAAACGTACAGCAAAGTGCCTGCCGCCGATGAAGTTGCCTCGGCACAGGTGCACGCCGATGTGCATGTCGCTGGGGCAGCCGGCGATGCAGTCGTTGTACAGCTGGATGTAGGCGTCGAGGAGCTCGTCGACGGTGCCGATGTTGTCCTTGTCCTCCTCCCATCCCTTGCGGAACTTCTCCGAGCAAAAGTCTGTACGTGAATGTTTAGCTTTGTGAGAATAGATGCAAGCACGAAAGCAGAGGTTACTCACAGGCCAGACCGGGGTCGTCGAACTGAACGTTCCTCAGACCGGCCTTGTAGAGGTGGTCCAGCTCAGCAGCGTAGACCTTGGCCACGTCCTTGAAGTACTCTGCGTCGTTGGCATAGGCCTCCGGGGTGTACGCCCGGCCCTGCTTGTAGCGCCTATATTCAGGTGTGTGTGTGCCAAATGTCAATTCCCCCAGCCCCAATGCCATCCATAAAACGAACGGATCACGCCGTGGACAGGTCGCGCAAAAAAGACTCACATGTGGAACCACGCCGGCGTGATCATGGTCATCTTGATGTCCCCCCAGTTCTCGCGGGGCGTCACGCTCTGCACGAGGCGCAGCTCGTGCACGTTGGACACGCTCTTGGCCGGGTCGTGCCGCAGCTTGCCGCCGGCGATGACCGAGTCGCCGGGCATGACCTTGCGGTCCTTCTCGATCAGCGACACGACGTCCGGGTGGTAGAGCCGGAACATGGACGCGTCGGCGTCCTGCAGCCGGATCGTGCCCTCGAACTCGTCCCACGTCAGGCCCCAGAAGCGCGTGCGCGTGTACTCGCCGTCCGTGACGGCGCGGAAGCCCAGCCCGCGCTGCAGCGCCACGACGTCGGCGACGGCGCGCTTCTCCGTGGCCGGCAGCCCGGCCTCGTCGGGCGTCTTGCCGCCGTCGACGGCGTTGCGCGCGTCGAGGAGGTCCTGCGGGCGGAGGAGGGAGCCGACGTGCTCGGCGCGGAAGGGGGGAGGGGCCATTGCGAGGTGGTGAGTGGGAATGGGGAGGTGAGGTATGTGGATGGAGGGTTGGGATGGTCCAGCAGCAGGTCACTGTTATAGATCTTTCGTCTACGAACCCCGTGTGAAGCTCGGTACGGTATATACTCTTGAATGGGAGAGGAGAGTGAGAGAGCTTCAGGATCTAAGGTATCTAGCAAGCATCAAAACTCCTAGGCGGGGGCGGGGCAGCAAGCACAATTTTGTAGCATCGGCGTCTCGTGGAAGTGGACCCCCGCTAATCGACTTCCGCCGGCTCTGAGAGAGGGAGAGCGAGAGAGAGAGAGGGAGAGGGAGGCACGGAAAGATGGGGATGGGCTGCACTACTACATCAAAGTCGCCGGCCGGGATTGAGGCACGGCAATAGGCCAATTCGGTCTGGACACTCTAGATACCCTCCTGTCTAGGGATGAGACGAGGGTAGGATCGACGAGCGGAGGCGAGAGACGGCGCGTGTGGTCGCACGAGGAGTGGCTTGCAGATGTCAAAACTTGAATGCGAGCGGGATGAAGAGTGGACGTGTGGATATCCTTGCTGCAGCGTCATCTTTGGTGATTGGACTCTGAAGACCGCATGGATACGGACCACGGCATGCCTTTGCATCACAATACTCTAACTTGTACTCTCCTGCCGACAGACCAACTGGGATTGGATTACCCCACGTTTCTATTTCCCGCCGATCCGGAGGGATTGGTCGCTAGTCTTGCGCCACCTCCTCTTCCTCCCTCGATACATCACCTCCAGACAAACCCCCTTCCCAAGCTGCCAAGCGGCTGGCCAAAGTGCAGTGCCCCCCCCTGACCTGACCTGCTTGACCCTCTCCGCCCCATCTCATGATCAGACGTAGTCCTCCTTGGACCCCACCCCGCGCTCGACCTGCAGCGTGTTGAGCACCGTGTGCGCGTCGCGCTTCTCCAGGCTCTTCTTGACCGGGTTCGGCGCCGCAAACACCTCCTCGAGCTCCTCGAGCGTGCGGTCCTTGGTCTCGGGGAAGAAGAAGTACATGAAGGCGGCCTCGAACAGGTCCCAGCCGACGAAGACGAGGTAGAAGTAGTAGCCGATCCGCTCAAACGCCGGGCCGGAGCTGTACTGCAGCACCGTGCCGGCGGCCGACGAGACCAGGTTGCCGACGGCGGTGCCCTTGGCGCGGGTCGCCGTGGGCAGCGTCTCGGCGATGTACATGGACTGCAGGGGCGTCCAGCCGAAGGAGAAGACGACGCCGAAGATGAAGATGAAGGCGATGGTCGCGTTGGCCGCCGACGTCTGGTGCGGGTCGTCGGTCGCCATCTTGGAGGTGCCCGTGATGATGGCGAAGCAGCACGCGCAGAAGACGGTCGTGTAGAGCAGCAGGGGCCGGCGGCCGATGACGTCGGTCATGCGCGCGCCCAGGACGGCGCCGAAGAGGCACAGCACCGGGTTGATGCCGTTGAGGGCCAGCACCTTGTGCTCCTCGGTGATGTTGGCCGACTGCAGCATGGCGACCATGTAGTAGCTGCTGAGCGAGTTGCCCGACGACTGGCCGAACCAGGCCATGCCCAGCACGCAGATGAGCCGCCGGCGCGCCGAGTGCGTGTTCCACAGCTCGTGGTAGTCCCACCACTTCTTGTCCGACGCCTCGGTCGCGATCTGCGTCATCATCTCCTTGAGCTGCAGCTGCACCATCGGGTGGTCGAGGCTGCCCTCGCCGTGGTAGGTCGCCAGCACGTGCGCCGCCGCGTCGTGCCGGTCCTGGGCCATGAGCCACCGCGGCGACTCGGGCAGCCACAGCACGCTGACGAGCACGATGCCGCTCGTGATCATCTGGCACCAGATGGGGATGCGCCACGCGTCGATCGAGTCGATGAACGAACAGCCGTAGATGACCCAGCTGGCGATGATCGACCCGATGTACCAGGTGCAGTTGTACAGGCCGGTGATGGTGCCTCTCCACTTGGGGTGAGCCTGAAAAAAGGTGTCAATATGGGTGCATCACGGTCTCCCGAATTCGAGGACAACCTTACCATCTCGCTGACGTAGCAAGGGGCGCTAACGCAGCAGAAACTGACACCGAAACCCAGGACGAACCGTCCTGCGAGGAACTGCTGACGAGTATGGCATGGCCCTAAGTTGTAATTACTCCCGTCAATACCTGTTTGCACAACTAAGCATGGATACTTGGCTGAACGTACCCTGGACGCAGGTTCCAATGATGATAATCAGTGCGCCGATGAACATGCCGATCTGTTGTTTCTATTTTAGCCCCGAACCCTCATCACATACGACTGTTGCAATAGCATACCCTTCTGCCAAAGTAGTCGTTGACGGGTCCAGTAAAGAAGACTGCCGCAACGGAGCCAATATTATACATGGCGAAGACGAGGCCGGTGCTAGAGTCTGCGACCTTCCTGTATAATTACACGGGCTGTTCAGTAACAGCGCGTGATGATACAAGTACAGAGCAACCGACTTACATGCCAAAGAAGTTTCGGTAGCTCTTCATGCCATTGAGACCGCCCATGAGACTGCCGTCGTACCCGTTGAGGCAGCCGCAGAGATAGGCAACCACAAGCACAAGGTAGAGACGGAACATCCGAGGCGTCCACGGGGAGTAAGCCTCGGTCTCGACATCGTGGGCGAGCTGGACGGCCGCACCCGTGTCCTCGACCTTCTCGTCGTGACGAGCCTGGGTAGTCGTGGCTGGCGCCGTCTCAGGCTTGCCAACGTCTGCCATGGTTGGAGTGGTAGGTGCTTGGCGAGGAAGTTGGAAGGATGTGTCTGCAGATTTGGAGATTGGAGAAGAAGTGGTGATAGACACAGCTGCAGTTGCAGTCAAGCTTGCATTCAGGAGGTCGGGACAGGTCCCCGATATATGAGGTTACTTCCCAAGGGGGCCCGAGAGGCGGCAAAACAGACCAGGTTCTCGGTACGAGACGAACCGAGGAAGCTGAAAACCAGCTAGAGAAACCGGCGTGGCACGATCATGTTCAGATGTCGAAAAAAAGAAAGTGTTGATCCTGTGGCCTTGTGGCCCATGCTGCCCTCGCACCCGTCTTCCCCGCAAACGCGTGCTGGATCTTTGGGGCCAAGGCCCGCGTAGGGTCGCAACGCAGAGCATAAGACCCCAACGCTATATTGCACCACGAGCGTCACCCGGGCTAACTACCGGTGCAACCTTGCGGTGTTCAACGGCCCAGAGGGCCAGAACAGGCGAGGCGAGAAGACAGGGGCTCACTCGCGCCAAGGGTGCCTCCACTTGGAGATGAGCTCGGCTCCGGCATCCCCGGTGGGGTCGAGCCAGCACGCATCTTGGACCGCCTGCCACTTTGGGCATAATTTAGCCTGTCGAGTCATTTGGGATGTTGGCATGGGAGAAGAAGAGGCGATGAGTTGGGAGAAATGATATGACTGCAAGCAGGGAAGGCGGCCGACGAATGGAATCAGCGGGCTCGCGTCTCGTCTTCGGGTGAAGATGACCCCAGGAATGGCGCACTCAATCGCAAATGGCTGGTTAGAAAACAGCCGATCCAAGTCTATCCGTCACATCAGCTTAATACAAGTACTTAAGCGCCTGGTAAGACACTACCATAGCAGAAAATGTTCTTGAAATTTAGACTACTTAACGTGGAGAGTTCAATCTGAATTGGAGAACAGACAGACAGCTGCTGCTCCAATGTGACAGCTGGTGCGGTGCTTGGCTGCCGCCGCCTGGAACACGGCCAGCGAAGCCGGCGGTGCGGGGTTCATGCTTGTGGAATAACCCCCACCGTGCAGCGTGGTAGGTCCCTGAAATAGCTCTCCGCGACCCACTGGAGCTCCAAGTCAACCCGCTGGAAGCCCACTAGAGCTCCAGCAAACCAGTGCTACAGCCCCACCCCACGGCTCCGAGCTCACCGCAGCTCGAGCTCGCAGGATGACGTTCATTTCCCGAGGGGCTTTCCACCGGATCAGAACATGCGGAACCGCAGATAGCAAGATCGTTGTCCAGGCCGTTGCATGGCATATCCCCGTTCCTTATGCGACTTTGCAGCTTGTCCGATAGCCAGTATCTTTGTTTCTCGTGTATAAGGGGGTCTTCATTCTCCCTGGAACAGAGCACCCGTTGGTTTCCTGTTGCGCTGCCCTTTTCCATTCATTGCCATTTCATGATACTTCGTCCTCTTGAGCGCCGTCCGGACCAGTATCATCCTTAGCCAAAAGATGGCGCCCGCCGGTCTTCCTCTCCGTCAGGACAAGGACAAGAACGACTTTGAGAATGAAGCCGTGTTCCGTCGAAACTGCCTGCCGCCTCGTGCATATCACATCCCAGAGACGTCCCTCCTGCTCAATGGCAAATGGGAGTTCCATATGGCCTCGACGCCCCTCGAGGCTCCCGAGCCGGCATCGTCGGGGGACGGGAGACCGCCCGGCCCCTCGGCCGAGGAGTGCTGGTCGAGCATACAGGTGCCCGGCCACTGGCAGCTCCAGGGATGGGGCCACCCGCACTACACAAACGTCCAGTTCCCCATCCCCGTCTGCCCTCCCTATGTGCCGGCGGAGAACCCGACTGGCACATACCGGCGTGTTTTCCACGTCCCACCGAGGTGGGACGCCGACACCCAGCTCAGGCTGAGGTTCGAGGGCGTCGACAGCGCGTACCATGTCTGGGTCAACGGGGTGCTCGTCGGGTACGCGCAGGGCTCGCGGAACCCTTCCGAGTTTGACGTCTCGGACTCTGTGGTCCGAGGCGGGCCGAACGAGGTCTTTGTCAGGGTGTACCAGTGGTCTGACGGCACCTACATCGAGGACCAGGACCAATGGTGGCTATCAGGTAAGGCCTGGCCCTGCTGTACACTCCTAGTCTAGCCACACGCAACTCATATGGCCAATGCAGGAATATTCCGTGACGTCTATCTTCTGGCCGTCCCCAAGGACATCTGGATAGAAGACTACTTCATCGAGGGTGATCTAGATGAGAGCTACAGAGACGGCTTGCTCCGTGCCACCGTGAATGTGTGCACGTCCAAACCGAGCACACTAACCCTCACCCTGCACGAGCTTGCCAAGAACGGCGGCGGTCTGGTGGGCACCACCAAGACAACTATCGAACCGACAGAGAAAGAGACTGCTGCCAAACTCAACTTGACGATATCGCACCCTGAGAAGTGGACTGCTGAGAGCCCGTACCTGTACCGAGTCGAACTGACTCTCGCCAGTGGTGACAAGACCTACACGGTGAACCAGAACATCGGCTTCCGCAAGGTCGAGCTCCTCAATGGCCACATCTGCGTCAATGGCAAGCGCATTAACATCCGCGGCGTGAATCGCCATGACCACCACCCCCTATTCGGCCGAGCTGTGCCCCTCGAGTTCATCAAGCAGGACTTGATCCTCATGAAAAAGCACAACGTCAATGCACTCCGGTGCAGCCACTATCCCTCGCATCCCAAGCTGTACGATATGGCGGACGAGCTAGGCCTTTGGATCATGGACGAGGCCGACCTTGAGTGCCACGGCTTCTACGACGCTATCGCCCGGCCCATGGATGTACCCGAGGAGATGGACTACGAAGAGCGCAAGAAGCTCGTGTTCGGCAAGGCCGCCCTCTACACGTCCGACAACCCGACTTGGAAGGATGCCTATGTAGACCGCATCCGCAGTATGTTTTACCGGGACCGAAACCACGCAAGCATCATCATCTGGTCGTTTGGCAACGAGGCCTTTTATGGCCAGAACCACAGAGCGATGTGGGACTTCATCAAGGCGCACGACACTGGCCGCCTGGTTCATTATGAAGGCGACGCCAAAGCTGAGACTGCAGACATGTTCTCATATATGTATCCGGCTCTCGACCGCCTCGAGAGACTCGCTACGACGGAAGCCGTCCGCGAAGATGGTTCCTACGACAAACCCATCATCCTTTGCGAGTACGGACACGCCATGGGCAATGGTCCAGGGCTGCTCAGCGACTACGAAAAGCTCTTCCGCAAGTATCCCCGCTTACAAGGTGGCTATATCTGGGAGTGGGCCAACCACGGTCTCCTGAAGAAGGACGGAGACAAGTCTTACTATGGATACGGAGGCGATTTCAACGACTTTCCCAACGACGGCACTTTTGTCATGGACGGACTATGCAACTCGATCCACGAGCCCACGCCTGGATTGTTGGAGCTGAAGCGTGTCATCCAGCCTGCCAGAATCTCTCTCCAGGGGCGAGATCTCGTCATAGAGAACCTGCATGATTTCATTGACCTTGACCACCTGACGCTGACTTACAAGGTCGAGGAATTTGACAACGAGTAAGTACTTCAGCTCTATTTAGGCTTCTGTTCACCTGTGCTGATCATTCCAGGGTCACCCAACTCGCCGCCGGAGTGCAACGATTCCCCACTGTTGAAGCCGGCCACAGCGTCGAGGTCGAGCTCCCGGACAATGTCTTTGGTCACAAGAGCCAACACGAGATCATGCTGACGGTGGCATTGCGCCTCCGCGAGTCTACCCCGTGGGCAGACGTCGGCCACACAGTTGCTTGGTCTCAGTTCTACCTCACCGACCAGCGCAAGCACATGCTCATGACTCTGCCGCCCTCTGGGCCGTTCAGACCCACATCCAAAGTCGAGACCAAGACATCTGGCTCGTCGCTGCTCGTATCTGGTGTCGACTGGACATTCGAGTTCGATCGGGCCAGAGGCTACCTGAGGAGGTGGACCTCCGGCGGCGCAACCATTCTTGAGCCCGACGAGAAGACTCACGCCGCCATCATTCCTTCCTTCTGGCGTCCTCCCACAGACAACGATATGCCGCAGTCGCTTCCCTACTGGAAGCGCTTCGGCGTGGACGATCTGACCAGCCAGCTCCGCAGCTTCACCGTCAACGGCGATACGGACGGCGTCATCATCGAGGCGACGACCTTCCTCTCGCCGCCGGTCCTGGACTGGGGCTGGACCGCCGTCATCGAGTACATGATCCTCAACACGGGCACGCTCGACGTCCGCGTCAAGCTCCGCCCCTCGGGGCACTCCCCCTCGCACGTGCCCCGCATCGGGCTCGACCTGCGCGTCGACAGGTCCCTCGACCGGCCGCGCTGGTACGGCCTCGGCCCGGGCGAGTCGTACCCGGACAAGCGCGGCGCCCAGCGCAACGGCATCTGGGAGGTGCCCTCGGTCGCGGACCTGCACACGCACTACGACGTGCCGCAGGAGGGCGGCAACCGCATGGGCGCCGGGTGGGTCGCGCTGACGGAGCCGCACGGCAGGGGCCTGCGGGCGCGGGTCAGCGCCGCGCCCGACGACGAGCAGTGGAGGCACATGCACGAGGGGTTCAGCTGGGCTGCGAGCAAGTACGGCGCCAAGGCCGTGGAGAACGCGAGGCACCCTTGCGATCTGGTGAAGGAGGAGGCGACCCTGCTCCGGCTCGACGCCGAGGTGGCTGGCGTTGGGTCCGCGGCCTGTGGGCCCGGCGTCAAGGACGGCGACTTGGTGCGTGTGCGGGAGATGGGTTTTGCGTTTGTGCTGGACATTGTGGGCAGTTAATAGAGAGAGGGACAGTGTACGTATCACTGTTTGTGGATATTTGTCGATATATATATCGCCTCCAGTTCGCTTTTGGATCAAGGCTCGGATAAAGATCAATCGTTATTGTCTACATCATCCCGCCTGTCCCTTTCTGTATTTATGTCTTAAAGTCTAGGCCATGCCGCCATTCACCCTGACCACCTGCCCCGTCATCCACGAGCTCTCGGGCCGCGACAGGAACGCAAACACCTCGGCGACGTCGTTGGGCTCTCCGATCTTGTTGAAGGGGTTCGCACCCTTGATGGCATTGACGAGCTGCTCGCTCTTGCCCTCGTAGAACAGCTCCGTGGCCGTGGGGCCGGGCGCCACGGCGTTGACGGTGATGCCCTTGGCCCCGAGGCCCTTGGCCAGCACGCGCGTCATCTGCTCGACGGCGCCCTTGGTCGCGGCGTACAGCAGGTACGGCGGTGCGACGCTGCTGAAGGCGGCGACCGTGGTCGAGACGAGCACGACCTTGGACCCGGGCGGCATGTGCGGCAGGGCCTTTTGCACGAGGAAGTAAGGCCCCTTGACGTTGACGGCGAACATGGAGTCGAAGTCGCCCTCGGTCGTGTCCTCGACGGTGCGCATCGCCATGCGGCCCGCGTTGGGCACGAGGACGTCGATGCGGCCGAAGCGCGCGACCGCCGCGGACACGAGGCGCTCGATGTCGGCGACCCGGGAGGCGTCGGCGCCCACGGCGACGGCGCGGTCCGGCCCGCCTATCTCGGCGACGACGGCGTCGGCGGCGGCCTTGTCGGTGCCGTAGCCCACGACCACGGAGGCGCCTTCCGAGGCGAGGCGGAGGGCGACGGCCTTGCCTATGCCCTTGGAGGCGCCGGTGATGAGGGCGACCTTGCCTTGGAGGGACATTGCGATGCTGGTTTTTGGGGTATCTATAGGGCGTTTGGTTGTTCTTTGGGAGTACGAATCGCTGGTAGGCCTGGTGTTTATTGGTTGTAGTTTTGTTCGTCTGGATGAAGATTGGATATCACTGTTATTCCGAGATCCCTCTATCCAAGACGGGAGAAGCACACAGCTTTATACCACATTGAGAGCTGCACCTCGCGCCTGGGGCTCGGACTCGGATTCGGATAGCCCACTCCATGGTTTTATATCTCTGATCGAGTTTGCTGACGCAAGCCACTGCCATTTGTGCCGGACTTCTTGAAAGGGAGCTGCAATAGCATCGCCCGGATCTTCACGGTAGGGTGGGGGGCGCTGGAGTTCCGGAGATACTGTGCGCGCGGCTTTGCGGTCGGGTCGGGATTAGCTGGCGCCAAATAAAACCGATGCCAATCCCGGGAGTAGACGGAGCACACCACCATCGCCCAAGCAATTCATTCCTCACTTAGTCAGCGTTACAGAAGTGCTTATGTGTCGCTTGATGAAGTTATTGCGCACCCGAGGCCTCTGCATCCTGCGCCGGACACGAATATAGACACATGCAGGCAGCTTCGCTTGGGTGCGAAGGTGACTGGTGTTGGATAGAGATGGTTAAGAATCGCACATATCGTCATCTGCAGTCTGGGCCATTGGTGCCGGGTCTTTGCGACCGTGATTAGCTGCTGAGGATGATTGGTGCCTCTTTCTGTCTCCTTTCTTTTGATATGCCAGATATTAATTATCGGGAATGGTGCTGAGTCCAGGCTGCACAGCATGCATTCAGCTGAGGCAACCCTTGCGCCTCACCGCCACAATGCCACTTCATATTTCTCGAATATCAGACAGCTCAGCAATCTACTACGAGGCTCCTCTCTACATGTTACTGCTAAAAAGAGATCGCTTTTGATGGTAATACCAGCTCTGTGTAGTGCACAATCAATATGCCGAACCGGATCACACGCCGCTCGAGGCTATTTGCCTCATCCTTCTCCTTGCCTATCCTCACTCAGAGGCGACGAATCACCTTTGGGTTCTGGGCCCGCAGTACTAAAGAGACGCATATAGCAGACGCTGAGCAGACTGTACGTGTATTAGCTATATCAGGGGCCTGGATTATAACGACATCCAGCCTACCTACTAACTCTTCAGGGGCGACATGCTGACCGGGTAATAGGATAGCTTTCCTAACCATTATCCATACCAGCCCTTGCAGGATGGGCAAATCCGCGTCTTAGACCTCGATGCCGGTCAAGGCGGCGCTCCTCTATCGGGGGTGCTCAGAACCATCGCGTTGAACGACGAGACAGAAACATATCAATCGTTATCGTACGTCTGGGGCGCGCCGTTTTCAGGACCCGGTCTTCCACCAGTTATCAATCTAGGCTCAGGAGTTCTACCGATTTTTCCAAACTTAAACAAGGCTCTGCGGGCAATTCGGTCGCCTACTGGTACTATTTCGGTCTGGATCGATGCCGTCTGCATAAACCAGCAGGATCTCGAAGAGCGCGTCCAGCAGGTGACCTACATGGCCAAGGTATACTCCAAGGCGAGCACAGTCAGAGTATGGCTAGGCGAGGACTCTGAGGCGTCGGTTCTGGGCATGGAGATGCTCTCTTTTCTGGCCGGGGACCAACACTTTGACAACTCACCCTGGACTCGGACCGAACCTGAACTTGTGGCGCAGGCCTTGCAGGACGTGCTGGGTAGGGCGTATTTCACTCGCGTCTGGGTCGTGCAAGAAGCAGCACTGGGCCGCAGCGTGCAGATGCAGGTGGGATCGCTCAGCGTCACCTGGTCCGACGGCCAAGCCACGCGGCTCTTTCTGGCCCGCATCAAGCTCGCCGAGATCTCTCCCTCATGGGAAGGTCCGCTGCGCGACATTGACTTCAGGCCTCTGACCGAGCTGCTCGAGCAGAGCCTGTCTTACACAAACAAGAAGCGCGGCCGCGTGGAGCCGCCGTCCCTGCTTGATATCGTGCACAGCATGAGGCATAGGAATGCCACGGACCCAAGGGACAAGATCTATGCTATGATGGGGCTCGCGTTGCCAGAGGCGGTGGCTGGATTCATTCCTGACTACTCGGAATCGTGGCAGGACACATACGAACGGTTTTATAGCTTGGTCGAGGGACAGATCCTGGCTGATCCGGGTGCCACATTGGACGACATGAGAGATGGAAACCAAGCTTGATGCGTAGAACGTCCATTGTTTGAGTGTTGATTACTCTTCTACCACGAATAATAGCCTGGCCAGACTGAGCGTGTCTCATCCAAGTCTACCACTGAGCAACTTTCCCATATGCAAGCTACCACTGTCACCAAAACGTGCTTTAATCACGGCCCAGCGAGTAAAGTAAAATTCCTATTCGCTACTCCGTCGCACTTCTCGCCCGCTCCCAAGCTCCAAATCACATCGTCAGCACGGCCCTGAAACGGGCCTTGCCCGACGTCATGTGGTCAAACGCCTTCTGGACGTCGCTCAGCGGGAACTTCTCAACCATGCACTCGACCCCGTGCGTCTGCGCAAACCTGACGGCCTCCTCCGAGTCGAGCGCGTGGCCCGAGGGCCAGCCGTGCACCGACGCGCCCTTGGTCACCAGGGCCACCGTGTCGAACGGCACGGGGCCGACGGGCGCCAGGCACAGCAGCTTGCCGCCGGGCTGCAGGCCGCCGACGAGCGGCGAGATGACCTCCGGGTTCGGCGCCGTGACGACGATGAGCGCCGCGCCGCCCATCCCGGCCAGCGCCTCGGCCGCGTCCTCGGCGCTGGTGTCGACGAACTCGTGCGCGCCGAGCTTCCTGGCGAAATCGCGCTTGTCGGGCGCGCCCGACGACGACAGCGCGGCGACCTGGTAGCCCATGGCCCGCGCGTACTGCACGGCGAGGTGGCCGAGCCCGCCGAGCCCCTGGACGGCGACGAGGTTGCCCTGCTCGACGTGCAGCTTGCGCATGCCGTTGAAGACGGTGACGCCGGCGCACAGCAGGGGCGCGGCCTGGGCCGGGTCGATGTCGGAGGGCAGGCGCACGGCGGCCTCGGCGCGCAGGAGGGCGTACTCGGCGTAGCCGCCGTCCTTGCTGACGCCGTTGATGGCCTTGTTGTCGCAGGTCTGGTAGAAGCCGCGCTGGCAGGAGCGGCAGGCGCCGTCGTGTCCTGATAACTTGTAAGTCAAACTCATATGCAGAATCAATATATGATGTTTCGCGTTTGCTTTACCTCCGTGCCAGCCGCCGCCGACTCGGTCGTTGACCTTGACCTTGGTCACGCCCTCGCCGACGGCCACCACATCGCCGACATACTCGTGCCCTAGAACAAGTGGGAAGATGTCGCCGAAATGTCCCTGCTGGACGCCGGCGTCGGTGCCGCAGACGCCGCTGGCCAGGACCTTGACGAGAACCTCGCCCGGTCCAGGGTTCTTGAGAGGCACGTCTTTGAGGACAAGTTTACCTCCGGTCTTCTCGAGCACAGCGGCCTTGTACGTCTTTGGGAGCGAATTACTCATGATTTCCAGGTATTTTTGGCAGGGGTAAGCGTGAAACAAGAAAATGAACACCAAAAGCAGCTCCTGTGATATGTGGTCTGGAGTATGTGAATATATAGCTCGTTTGCGGGTAACTTGGGAGATTAGTGATCTAGATCCACGGCCTCTAGCTATGGCCCCATACCGCTCAGGAAGCTTGACTGGGGTCTTCATGACGACAGCAGTTCGTCTATCAACGTATGACGTGAATTAATCATCCTGTAGAACTAAACTTTGAGGAATGCATGGAGCTAAGTGGGCCGGATCTCCGTCCTTGTGCCGAGTGCAGCGACCTGAATCGGCGTTTCTGTTCACGCTTCAGGAGCTTAAATCCGATGTTCGTAGACAAGCTTTGCTTGCTTTCACACGCTAGATAGGATTATGCGTCTTCCTCACTGGGGCTAGCTTGAAACTGGAAGAATCGGGAAACACCTCCACTGGCCCGTGAGACAGGTGAAATTCACCGCTTCTCTTGAAACTCAAGGATCCATCCTGCAAGAGGCCGGCTAGGAAGAGAAATCACCTCGACATGTAGTAAAACACTGAGGCTGCTAACTGACGCATATCGTGCCATGCCCATCTGGCGGTGGTTCTATGCATATGTTACATTCTTGATATCGTGAAGGTAGTATACAAAAAATGATCGATCCACGCTCTCAATCAGTTGAGGATGCCGCCCCCGTTCCTGATGTGGTCTGCCCGTCGCTTCCTCCCTTCTCGCCGCCGTGGTTGCTTGTTGCCGAATCACCGCCGTGAAAGTGTCCTGGGTGCGAAGCGTCAAGGTGGCTGTGCTGATTGTGGTGAGCGTGACCCGCATACGCATAGGTGTGGCCAGGCTCAGCCAAGTTGATGCTCTCTGGCGACGCAGATCTGTTCAGAGGCTCGTTGTCGCCTGTCTTGTATGTGTAACCGGGGCCATATTGAGGTACTGGCCTCCTGGCGCCGCGACTTCTGCTATAGCGGTTGAACCGGTGTGCCCCAAAGCAGCACAGGCATAAGAATGTGGTCCAGAAGAGGACGATGAGCACCCCGATCACGATGCCGCCGATCGCAGGGCCAGGAATGTCCCTCCTGAAGAGATGCTCTTCATCGCGATATGTTGTAATGCGCTTGTACGGCGCCATCGTGTGTTTGATCAGTGGTGTAAGTTGCAAATGTGTTTTTTTTTTTGTTTTCCTTTCTTTGTGGGCTTGTGCTAGTGTCGACGCAATACTTTCTCCCCCAAGACAAGAGACGAGCACCATTTCCCGTATATGTAGGTCCCAGGGGAGCATTTCTCGGTGCCTGCTATGGGATATAAATGGTTTAGTTGGTCTAAGCCCTGCATCAGGATTCAACAGTCATGCATACCATGGATGGAAGTCCGAGCACGAACCCGCCAATCAGGACCCATGGTCAGCAGCTTACACGTTGGATTCACCACCAATGCCTCTTCCTTTTTGGAAGCATAGCCACCAAGGTGGATCGATTGGATAAACGAAAGGTGATCGATAACAGTCGCATAGATCGCAAGTTATCTCGAATTTGGAGAGCAAATATGGCATGCTGTGTCGAATCGTCTTCCCCTGTAGTGGCCACAACGTTCTGCTATGTTTGGAGAACATACTTCCCGTCCGGACAGAATCAACTGAATACCTCCGCCACCTCGCCCGATTTCTCAACCCCGAGCCGGAAGAAGCTGTACCCGTTCAGCGCGTCGGACTGCCTCCTGCGGAAGCCATACGCCAGCGCCAGCGCGACCGAGCCTACGGCCCACAGCCCGAAGAAAACGGCGGGTATCTCCGGCGGCACTATCCCCGGGGTCAGCACCTTGCCCTTCTCGGATCCCGTCAGCCCCGGGCGCTCCTGGGCCTGTTCGAAGCGGTACGTCGTGTCGTACATGAGCTCCAGGGCGTCGAGCGCGTAGGCCGTCATCGCGGCGCTCTGCAGCTGCCCCGCCTGCACGAAGCTGCCGTACTGGGCGCTGTTGGACATGGCTAGCGGGGGCGGCGCGCCGATGGCCGAGAGCAGGCGTGCGACGAGAGCGTCTCGGACGGCGGCGCTTGTCCCCGGGGAGAGGCCGTCCCCGAAGAGCATCTTAGCCGCGAACACACCCAGGCGTGGCACCGCGCCCTCGGTCGACTCGTTGGGCAGAGGTAGGGGCGAGCCGGCAAAAGAGTGGAAGGCGGAGCGGACGGTATCCAACACGGCATAGCCAACCGTCGAGATGGAGCTGCAGCGGACACCAATCGGAGCTGCCGCGGCTGTAATGCGAAAGGTGCTGTTGAACACCTCGAGCGCATCTGTATGATTGGATTGCAGACCTATCGCCTCCAGGAGGAGCTTTGTCTCGTTCATGTTATCCATTTGGAAGAAGGTCCTGTTGGGAACGAAAAGTCCGGATCCGTCTGGCGCCTTCACGAAAGCTTGGCCTATGCCTTTGATTCCCGGGCCGGCTGCTTCGTTGAAGTCGACCTGATCACCATCGCTGGCCTCCAGCCGGACTTGCCACAGGGCCATCTCAATGATATCCGCCTTTGCCAGCCCCGCCGAGTCGAACGAGCTCGCCTCTGTGCCATCATATATAGGTATGGCTGTTTTGTTATGCTTGAAAGAAAGACCCATTTCCGCGTAACTGCCCAGGTTGCTGCTGCGGTCTAGTATAGGGTGGATCTCTTCCCCTGTCGAAAGGCCGAGCCTCAGTTGCCTTCTGTCACTGATCACGTTCAAGGGCGAGTCCTCTTTAGCCTGTGATCGTCGGTTCAGAATTGCAAACTCCGATACGTCTGTCACCACGGAGCAATCGTACGCAGCGCGCATTCCCCAGGCCCTGCCCACCAATGGCTCCTCAGCTTGTGGCCCTAGAAACACCTCGGGCAATGATGTATCCATGGCGAGTGAGTTGGGCAGGCGGCTGAGCCCGGCGTAGCGATCTCGTTCCACACCTTCAGGGGTATAGATGATGCCCATTCCGGGCAGCATTGCGGAGGACCCTGAGGACCACCGGAGTACCAGCTTGTCTGGCATATAGAAGCCTTGCCTAGCCTGATAATTATCGAAAGTTCGTCCGATAATTTTGGGCATCTCGTTGGTTGGTATGTAGCCGTCGCCGAGCTCCAATGATAAGCCTGATAACGGCAGACCAACAAATGGCAGAAAGCTCATCGCGGCGAGCAGATACCATAGGCGGCCGTGCCGTGATCGTGAGGATATGCATGTAGGTAGCAACTTAAGCCACCCCCCGGGGCCGCTCCAGCTGCTATCGCCGTGTCCCTGGAGCCCTGCAAGACTGCGAGCTTGCCAGAACGACTGATCCATCATGATTGCTTCGATGCCGACCAGGCCGTGACGAGACCACTCCAACCCGAATACGCCCACAATGAACCAAGAATAATTGACGTAGAGGTCCTGCTTCGTCCCCACCTTCAGGTTCGTGTCGCCTCCTCGGCTGAGGATCGCCCGCCAGATATAAATCCAATACAAGGCGATTGCAAGAGGGACAAGAACAAGTACTGTAGTGCGGTAATAGAACCGTCGGGGGGGTTGGCAGTGAAGCAGCAGCTTCGTAATACGTACGTTAATATCCCGATCCTGGAACTTATACAGAGATACGGGTGCATCTCCGTGGGGTCTGTGCTGTTCCGTCGGAAGAGACTCTTTGAAGTGGCCTTCCGATTGAGGTTGCTGTTGAGGCATTGACCTCGCGGTTGCATTTTCTGTTTGTGATGAGCTTGGTCTAGATGACGGACTGGATCGTTGGGCCGGGTCAGCTGCGAGCTCATGGGCTATTGAAGTGATCGGGCAATTGGGCCCTTCTTCTTGTGAATGCATCGTAGCAGTCGAGTACATGCGCTACGTCGGTCCTTTCAAGAACGAGGAAGAGGAAGCAAGTGGTAGAAGGAGACATTGTTCTCTTTCGAGAGGCTGGTCAACAGTCTTTGTGCGATAGAAATTTAGGGGCGAAGCCTTGTCACAGTTGTCTGACTTGCAGATGAAATTGCAGCTGGATGCATGCTGGGTTTCATTGCAGAACTCTAGCGAGAAATCCCCAGGATATGAAGTGAATGACCCCATATACACAACCCTCCCAAATCCCCTTTTTACATGGATCTACCCAAGACTGGCTGCACTGCCTCTACTTCATACTTAGAATAGACAGGACATCTGGCGCAGTACGCTCACTTCTCTTCGCCAAAGACGGCAGTGTCCCTTGCAGATCCTAGGAGCGTTGGCACCGACCAAGTCCATCATCAATGTGCTTCAAGTCTCCCTGGTCAGCCAGGGAAGGCCATCTCATTCCACGGACAAGCGGAATTGTTCTATCGTCTCATCTTCCGACAACCAAGGGTCTGGCCTTGGCGACTGAGCCTTGATCCCAAACCACCATGTCCCTTCCGCATCCTGTCAACAGCGCATGCCATACATATCCCTGTTGGTTGGTGTGCCGAACTGCTGACAGCCTCCCTGGCATGGCCCCTCCAGCTTTCCCCGTGCATGTGGCTAGGTGCTCCGCTCGACCCGGAAACAACTGACCGCCCGCGACGCGTGCTTCGGCGCCGTACTCAGCATCGTGCGCTGTGTGTCGTTTTCTCTTGGTGAAGTGAATGAACGGCTTCCCAGTTTGGGTCTAGTGGGACAGTCCATTTCTTTTTATCGCTCTCGGCGCCACGCACTGCGCTTATGCCAAAACTGGCTTGACAAACCAGAACAGAACAGCCCACACGCCAAGCTCAAAGAGCTGACCGCGCAGCTCGCCTTACAAGTACTGCGAGAGAAACAACTCGAGCGCCGTTATCGCAGTGCTAGAACTGTCCCCGCAGCCCCACCGTCAAAGAGGTCGACCCAGCGTTTGAAGATCTGATAAGATCATCACCTCGGCTCATGGTGTCCGAGTTGAATGCCAGATCAAATCTAGGACCATCTTGGACAGTGCAGTCGTTCAAGTCTTTTCGTCTTTCATTCATATACGAGAGCAGTAACCAAAGAAAAAGTCGCAGTTGGACATTGTACACTCCTTTTGCTCCAGCGCTGCCCCTCCAATCCTCCATCAGTCCACGCCCCAAGCAGCGCGCCCAATCCCAATCACAGCCGCCGATGGGTTCCCAAGGTTCGACCGCGCCCCCAGGAGGCGACGTGCTCCTTGTGAATGGCCAGATCTTCCAGTCCAGCGGCGAGGGTGGTGCATCGAAGGCCCAGTTCCACAAGGCCATGCTCGTTCGCGGCGGCGTGATCCAGCACGTCGGCTCGGAGGACGACGAGCCCATCCGCACCGCCCGCGCCTCCTCGTCCGGCGGCATACCCGTGCAGGACCTGCGCGGCCAGACCGTGCTGCCCGGCTTCTTCGACGGCCACCTGCACATCCTCATCCTGGGCCAGTCCCTCGCCAAGGTCAGCCTCGACCACTGCAAGTCGCTGCAGGACATCCGCGCCGCCATCAGGGAGTACGCCGCCGCCAACCCGGACGTGCCGCGCATCTTCTGCAAGGGCTGGATGCACTCGATGACCCCCGACGGCGTCGACCACACGCTGCTCGACGACCTCGACCCGCGGCCCATCTTTGTCGACACCAAGGACCTGCACTCGACCTGGGTCAGCGCCGCCGCCATCGCCGAGCTCGGCCTGCAGGACACCCCGTCGCCCGAGGGCGGCGAGATCCACCGGTTCGCCGACGGCGGCCGGCCCACGGGCCTGCTCAGCGAGGCCGCCGTCTTCAACATCATCTGGCCCTTCGTCGCCGCCGTCGCCTCGGTCGAGGAGCGCGCCGAGGCCGTGCGCCAGGCCATGGTCGCCTACAGCGCCGCCGGCTACACGGGCATGATCGACATGGCCATGGACGAGAACATCCTCGAGGCGGTGCTGTACCTGCGCGCGCGCTGGCGCCTGCCCCTGCGCCTGGCCGCCTACTGGCTCGTCAAGCCCGACGCCGACCCCGCCGCGCACGCCGCGCAGGTCGACCGCGCGGCCGAGCTGGCGGCGCTCTACAACGACCGCGCGAGCCCGGACTTCCGCGTCGTCGGCGTCAAGGTCATCTGCGACGGCATCGTCGACGCCTGCACGGCCTCCCTGACGGAGCCCTACGCGGCCAACGCGAAATCGACGGACCCCTTCTGGCCGCCCGAGGCGCTGGCGCGCGTCGTGCGGCGCGCCGACGCCGCGGGCCTGCAGGTGGCGCTGCACGCCATCGGCGACCGCACCGTGGCCATGGTCGTCGACGCGCTCGAGGCGCACGCGAGCCGCGAGCGCCGCCCCCGCGTCGAGCACCTCGAGCTCGCGTCGGCGCGGGACGCGGCCCGCCTCGGCGCCCTGGGCATCACGGCCTCGGTGCAGGCCGTGCACGCCGACCCGGCCATCCTGCGCGCCTGGCCGGCGCTGCTCGGCGAGCGCCGCTGCGGCCGGGCCTTTGCGTACCGCGAGTTCGCCGACGGCGGCGCGACCCTGGCGCTGGGCTCCGACGCGCCCACGGCGCCGCACGGCCCGCTGGCCAACGCCTACGTCGCCACGACGCGGCGGTCCGCCCGCGAGCCCGGGTACGAGGTCGCCGTGAACCCGCACTTCGCGCTGGGCCTGTGCGAGGCCGTCGTGGCGGGGACGCGGGGCGCGGCGTACTCGTGCTTCGCGGACGGGGTGACGGGCAGCCTCGAGCCGGGCAAGAGGGCCGACTTTGTGGTGGTGGAGATGGAGTGGGCGCCGGAGAAGCTGCTGGGGTCCAAGGTGCTGGAGACGTGGTTTGACGGCCGGAGGGTGTTCAAGGCTTCTTCGGAGGAGGACTGAGCGGAAAGGGAGATGTGTAGTGGAATGGATGTATGTGAAATGACTTGGGGTTTTGGCGTGAAGATCGAGGAGTATGAACGGAGTGTGATAAATAGTTGTTATCCGGTGTCCCGGCGCCCCGAGTATGGAAAAGAGACAAGATCAAAAGACATGGTGTTCGCTCGCGTGTGATATAAAAAACCAATAAAAAAAGGAGCCACAACCCAACAGACTACTCATCAGCATAGTACTGCCTCGGCCAGATATTCATCGCCGTCTTGAGCCCGCTGCCCACCGGCAGGCCCGCGTGCATCGTCCGCCAGTCCCCCGTCCCGTTGGCATGCAGGTTCATCCAGAAGACGGCGTTGCCCGCCACGGGCCTGAACGCCACCCCGCCGTCCTGGTGCAGCCTCCAGGCCGGGTCCGCGTCCGTCCACTCCCAGTCCTCGTCCTTCTTCCCGGCCGCCTCGCCATCCTCCCGGGCCCGCCGCTCCCGGCCGACCTGCCTCGCCGGCGTCCGCAGGTGGGGGAAGTACGTCTCCCCGCCGGCGCACCCGTCCTGCAGCACGACGAAGAAGCTCGCGACGCGGTTCCACCGGCGCGCGGACCCGTCGGCCGCGGGCCGCGGCGCGTCGTACCAGTCGCGGTGGACGTTGAACCGCTGGCCCGCCGTGTACCGCACGAGCTGCGGCGGGCCCATCTCGTCCCACCCGTCGTCGTCCGTCAGGACGGCGCCGAGGAACTGCCGCGCGCGCGCGAGCACGCACGCCACGGCCGGGTCGTCGCGCGGCAGGCCGGCCGAGGACGAGGTGCGGTCCGGGGTGCGCTGGTCGCGGCCGTGCTTGGCCACGCGCGAGGGCGCGAAGCGCGGCTCGCCCGCCGCGAGGAGGCCCGCCGTGTCGGCCGGGGAGGTGAAGTTGCGGATGTAGATGACGAGGGGGTCGAGAGAGACGATCTCGGTCTGGTAGGACCGGGGGCGGCAGACGAAGGGCTGCTGCCCGTCTTGTCCTGCCGAGGTGGTAGTGTTGGTGGCCCCCTGTCGCGATGTGGTTGTGAACAGGCCGGTGCGGAGGGATATAGGGAGGTGGTCGTCTAGCACGGACACATCCGGGAAGAAGGAGAGCAGGGCAGGGTTCTGTGTGATATACGGGAGGGTCAGGGCCATGAAACCGGTGCTCGTTGCTAGCACAGCGGCTCTGGACAACCACGAGGTAGCCATATCTTTCGTAGTGAAGGGTGTGAACTGCTACAGCATAGGCACGAACATACAGAGTGAAAGGTTACAGGAAGACTAAGAGGCAGTGTTTTTGGCAAGACAGTGCTTGTTATAGTCTAATGCCTCCCCTCCGCTCCGGACCTAGTACGTATAGTCACGTACCTAGAATCAGTCTTACCATGCCACTCCTCTGCTACAGCCACCGCAGGATGGCTGGCCGACTGACCTGGCTCACAGAGGCAACACTCGAACGAATACTGATGTCTGGAGGAGCAGGCTCCGATGCGGGCAGAAATGCCGAGATCCCTGCAGGTGAGGGTGCAGAAGAGCCAGGATAGCATGGCCATATTGGGGATCGAGGACTGCCCGTTGGCGTAGGCGGAAATAGCCGAAACAAGGATAGGGGGGAGCTCTCCGCAACAGGATTGGTGACCGGTGAGACGCTTGGCTTGTTCGAGTAAAGCCGGCTGGACGAGGTGTAACCCCGGACTTTGGTATCTCATACCTTTTCGACCTGGTGGGAGCCAGAGCACCCAAGCGATGGGGTTCATGTATTGATACCTCGAGAGAGAGTTGAGGCAGGCGCCGGTCGCGTTTGACCTGGCCAGTGACTTGACGAGCGAGGGAGGGGGATGAACGGCTTAATCAATGTGTCATCCGACTACCCCGCCGCAGAGGCCGGCATAAGTGTGCGCGAAGCTCACTATCCTATCAATTCGAGAACGAGCATGATCTCGTTCTCGGGGGTTGTCAACTTGGATTTATTGATTTCGTGCGGGGTGCGGTCGTGGAGGCGGTATTTGAAGATGATGGCTCGGCATCCATCGAGACTGAGCCAGAACCTGCTGAGCTCTCCCTTTGCACAGAGTCCTTGCTCTGGTCTCGAATCATGACCGATATATCCCTTCCTCACCTCGGTCGTCACCTTGACCTGTCCACAGACATTTGCACAGCGCAGTGGTCGAAAACAAGGCTCGTCTCCTGCAGGGACAGGGACCCTCTTTGTGCCGTGCCGAAGATCCGCACGCAAGCGATGTGCGGGCGCACGCACAAGCCACCCGGCTCGCTCGTTACCGAGCCGTCGTCCATCTTGGCCGCTGTCGACCCAGGCCCGCCAGGGCTTGGGGACACCTGAAGACAGCAGCGCAAGCATCGACAAGCTCAGCTGGGCAGACTCGGCGAGGTAGCCAAGTCCCCAACGATGCGACGGACCCCAGACGACACGATTCACGTCGAAACACCTAGGTCAAGATCTCAATGCTCCCCGGCCTAGCCAGCCCTCTGGACCCTGAAGGAGGAATCAGCACCAGACGGGGGCAATTACAGGCGAGCAGGGCACAAACAGCAACAGAAACCTGGTCGGCACACTCGCGCTAGGATCGACCACCTTTTGTTGGTGGAGACCCATTTAACCAGAGCTCCTGGCTGCAGAATCATGCTTGGGGAAGAAATGGCCCTCAAAGCAAGTAATCTGCAGGTTTCCTCAGAGGGGACGCGTGTCGCGTAGCAGTAGCAGCAGCAGCGTCACATCTTCGCGACGACCCAAAGAGCACGCACATAGAATGCGTGCATGCACACATGCACGCCATTCCGTGCGATTTTTTCAAAGATCAATAGAGGTACTGGAAGTGGCAGAAGAGAGCGCGCGTGGACGGAACCCGGTTTGCGTGCTGCTCGGGCAGGCTCAGAAAAAGCCAAGACATCAAACACATTGACGAAGAGATGAACGCTTTCGGAAAACGGCACGGGCGGCGGGTCGGCCACGCTAGCCAGAGACAACAGAACGCTGCCACTCAAAAGCTCCGTAAAAGTTTGATAGGAGGGAAAAGACGCTACCGAGCGAAATAGAGGGGAAGTGGGCTGAGGAAAGGAGGGGCTGCAAAGGGCTGCTTCAGCGCGACCTAGGTACCGAAGCTCGCGAAGTAAAGTCCCTAGAGGATGGGAAAGTTGAACCCAGCTGACGGATATTCTGCAAGATGGCGCATGTTGATCATTGCTGCCAGCTGTTGCGAGGCACACCAGCTGGGCGAGCCTGCGAGCCACAACATGAGCCAACAAGTGACAAGTGGCCAAGATTGGGAGGGGACATCAACAGATGGACTGTGCGAATTCTGCATCCGTTTTCCGACTCACGTTTTCTGGATCCCTCGTTTGCTTTTTTACTCTCGGAAGTGCAGAAGATACGGAGTTGGGAGTGAAATGGTTGGCCCTGTCTTCGAAATGAAAGACCGCCCAAGTGGGCAGAAATGTACACTGACGTCACTGGAGAGATCTCGCGCGCCAAAATATTTACAAGTACAAGTGCTTCTCCTCCGGTACGTGGGGAAACCATCACCGTGATCATATGTGGTACGCGGTCTCAGCGGTCTACCTCTTGAAACCCGTCTCATAACCAAAAGCCACCAATCCTACTTGCACTCGCTTTTCGACCGAGGCCGGATGGGCGCAGATGGATGCGGTGGGAGGAAATCAGGACATGGGAAATGAGGATGGACATGATTTGGGCCTGAACGGCCACTTTGCTTCGGATTTCGGGCACTGAAAGACAAGGGTAGATGCGCAGGCTGACAGGGACAAGAGAGAGAAAAGTCTAATCCCATCTAGCGAGCGGGCGGGCCCTTGCTACTACAACGACGACAAGTGCAGCCGCCACCTTTCCGTGGTGCATCGTGGCTGTAAAGTAGTTGAGTCATGATGTCAACGTCCAGGAGGGAGTGGACAGTGGGGGGGGGGGCCACGACAGGCACCAGGAGCAGAGCCTCCTCTGCGCACCTGCGCTAGGTTCGTCTTCCGCTCTCAATGTCGGGGATGGGATGGGTGATAGTGAGTGAATTATCATCGTTGATGAGATAAAGGAGACGCGATCTTCCTCCCGGCCACACACACCACACAACACACAACATCACACACACACATTGGATCAATCTCGTGCAGCGCCAGCAGACGCCGCCGGAGCAGATCCAGCGCCGCCATTACGTCTAGTGCCACAGATCGGCCCATCAGGCAATGTCACACGGCGAACTAGCTGCATCTTGAGGTTGCCTTGATTGCGTCGTAGATGGAACCAAGGCTCCGGAGCCAATATTGGGGGTATCTGTAATTGGTCTGGGATGGAGGTTCGGCAAAGAGTCGCTGTAGCGAATGAATGGCGATAACTTGTTTGGCAGTCTGGATTTGTAAACAAAAAAGTCAGCGGGCCAAGGTCGCATCGAAGGCTAGGCTCCCTGAGGCTCCCTCTACAATATTTCAGCTGCCCAGGATGGCTGCCAGCTGAATACCTTGTCCACACAGCCCTGGTCTCGTCACAACGATTCAGGGTATGTGGCACCTGGAAGTGCCAGGTAGCTCGAGCCACGTGCTGACAAAAGAGAGCATTCCTGATAATTGGTTCTCCTTGAATGTTCAGGACCCGAGACAGGCAATCACTAATAAACTCTGCTCTCGGCTGCGGCGGGTGAGAGTGTGCGTGTATGGTGCATGTGCATCCTGTGTAAGCACGAGAGCCTGTTTTTTATTGCTTCGTCCGCGGGTCGATCCTGATATTGATAGCATGAGGAGCGAGCAGATCAAGATTTATTGCTCTCGCGAGGCCTTGGTCCCTGCAACGCGGTACGGTACCAGCGTGCAGCGGTCACCGGGTGTTTCAGGTTTGGCACACACGAGGTGGGATACCTAGGTACCATCGCAGCGAGACCCAGAGCGACGGACGACAGGTTGCGTCAACTGGAGGTCAGGAAATGAGTACCCAAGTGTTGAACAGCCTCACGGTTTACACGGAGAGCCGCCATCGCGATCGCGACTGAGCTTGGCGCAATAGACAGACCCAGAGAGGCTTGGGCGGATTGCAGAATTCGTACTTGTACAAGTAGAAGAAACACAGAAAACGAGGGTACATTTCTTTCCAAGTTCCAAGTGTGCATACTTTTCCACCCTTGTCATGTCCAGAAGGTCGTGGGAAAAGAGTGGAGAATGACGCCGACAGCTGCACCTCTAATTGGCAAGCCACAAACTCAGTGATCTCCGTCCAGGGAGAGACGGATGACGCTACCAACGACGTCATGCGGGAGGGTCCAGCACTTGTGCTTGTAGCTATCTGGGTGCTGGTGCGTGTATTGGCAAGAAACTGGCAAAGTGCGTGCGTGACTGGCTGGTAAGGGCATCTCTCCGTTCTCTCCCCAAGACTTAGGTACCTAGGTAGACCACTGGCGGACTCCCAAGGCAGGCTCACCCCCAAATCACGGAATTCTGCATGCCAATGGAAACCTTGGGACGGACAGAGCCAGCGAGGCCTGCACTGCAAGGACAAACTCGCTCACTATCTCACTACCTGAACTTGCTGGAGCCAAGACTGGGGCGCCCCCTTGCCGCACTACCGTACCTACCTCCTAGGTACTACTTGTACTCATCTCCGTCATTGGCGGTCTTCTAGCGTCTCGGCCGCCTGCCCACTTGACTCTTGACCCCTGTTCCTGACCTCACTTCCCACTTGGAACTTTTTCTCGCTTCGTAGCCCCTCCTCCACGCGCGCCCGCCCGCCGCCCTCATTCTCGCTGCTTTTTCTAACACACTCTTTACACTCCCCCTCGAACCTACCACCGCACCTTGGGCTCGACGTACTGCCTACTACCTACCTACTGCCTCCTGCGTGCATGTACGTAGCACTGTCAAGATCCAAGATCCCGCAAGCGCTGCTCCAGGTAAGCAATATGACACATTGCACACCCCAGCCCCCTCTCTCGGTCTTCCCAAACCACTGCCTCACATTCCCGTCCCGTCGTGCTCTCCCGCCTGTCTGGCTCCTACGTGCGTCCTACTGTTTCCACCTTTCCTGCATCTTTGCTGCACATGGTCTGCCCACCTAAGCAGGGGTCAGAGCAGTTGGCAGAAGTTCATCGAGGAATACATCATACAGGTTATCCCACCCACCAGACACTGATTGGTCTGGAGATACCTAGTCAAGTACTTCTGCTGCTGCTGCCATTCCCGCTCTTCTCGGTACCCTCCCACCGATCTCACCTGCATCGAATCGTTCTGCATCGCCTCTCTTCCCTCTCGACAGACAGACATCAAGGCAAATCTTTGCTCAAGTTAGTAATCAGCTTGTTTGCGCGCTGGAGGTTTTGCTCCCAGGATCTGGCTAATACTCCGTCTCAACTCTCCAGCACCACTCTGCCCTTGCGACTCTCGTCCAATACCAGCACTCGCAGCAACGGAAAGGCGTGATCGCGAAAGCAGGGCCACACCCACTCATCCCCGATCCCATTCCGTCACACCTGTGGCCACCTCCGGCCCCTTCGTCATAGGTCTCCCTCCCCCGGTGCGCCTGCTCGACTCCATCCTGCCTTGGCCCGGCACCTGAAAATCAACCCCAGCCTGCCGTCTTCTGACTGCCTCCCACTGCTACCTCACGCGGGTCCCGGCCTTATCTTTCATCTCCTTCCCACTTGACCACCAACACATCTTGTCCTGGGCCTTCTCTCAGATCCGACATTCACAAACCTTCCACACGTAATCCCGAATACCTTTCCAGTCCCACTTGCATCACTCCCGGTCCGTCCCTCGACCCCGACTCGACTTTCCGACAGCAATATCCTACTACCCGAACACCTCACCGGAGAAGGAGAACGAGCGCGAGGTGACTTGACATTTGGCGGAGCAGGTACAGTTGCCGTTTGTTGGTCGCACAACGGGTTCCTGCCGACTGGAAGCCGACTAGACTTTCCCAGGCGGACAGGAGGAGCATTAGCAATCTGCTTTTTACACCTGCATTGCACAAGCCGTGTGCTCTTTCTTCTCGGACTTTTCAGATCGCCGTACCCCGGCGAATCCATCAGGCAAAGATGTCGACGATACAGCAGCTTAAGAACTTTATACGTCATGGTAAGAATTCCTGCACAGCCTCTGGCATGCAAATCATCCACATCCCGCAAACCTTACTTTTCCTTTTCGCACATCGTCACCTGTACGTCAACTATACTTTGGATACCCCAAATCTGACATCTTTATTTTCCTTCCCGTTAGGCAAGCAGGCGAGGAACTACGACGAAACCCCACGAAAGGCCGACTATTCGCCGCCAGCGCAAAAGCCGCACGACATGGTCCCCGGTGTGTCAGAACCGGTCCTCGGTGCCCACCAAGAGAACCAGCCGCTCCACGAAGCCTACTCGGTGAACGCTGCTGATGCCAGCAACCGAGCCGCGCAGGCGGGCAACGTGGCAGCTCACCACGCCGAGCCTGGCCAGGCCGTGCAATCCAAGGCTGCTAAGAGCAAGCGCGTCGATGACGCCAACATCGCCAAACTGGTCGCCGAGGAGAATGAGAGTAGGAGCAAGTTCCCGAGGTACCCCGGTCTGGAGAGATGGGAACTGCTCGAGAAGATGGGCGACGGCGCCTTCAGCAACGTCTACAGGGCTCGTGATCTCGAGGGAGGCTTCAACGGCGAGGTTGCCATCAAGGTGGTGCGCAAGTTCGAGATGAACAGTCTACAGGTGAGTTGTCAACAATCGGACACGACGCCGCTCCTCTCTTGCGTCGGTTTCTTTTCCTCTCTCTCTCTCTCTCTATCTCTCTCTCCTCCCTCTCTCTCTTCCTCTCTCCTCTCTCCTCTCTCCTCCCTCCATCCAATCAATCACGAAACACTCTCTTTTCCTTTTGCTGTGTCTTCTTTTACCAACTCCCGGACTCGCCATAGGGAAACAAGCATCTACACCCGGACTTTAAGCCGAAGGTGCCCAAGGCTGCAGAGGTGCGATAAAAATTTCTTTTCCTTTGTCATGTCTCCTCGTCGTCTATGTCATCTGTCCTTTCCAGATCTATACAACGTCTTGTCTAGCATCCCGCGCGGGGCTTTCGCCACAGATCGAGTGTGCCGGAGGCGCAGCCCCTGACGCCCACGACCGCACACAGAGACACGCGTACTGACTACTAAACCGTACAGCGAGCAAACATCCTTAAGGAGGTCCAAATCATGCGCCAGCTCGACCATCCCAACATCATCAAGCTCGTTGACTTTTCCGAGTCGAAGCAATACTACTACATCATCCTCGAGCTCGCCCCAGGCGGTGAGCTCTTCCACCAGATTGTCAGGCTCACGTACTTCAGCGAAGACCTGTCAAGGCATGTCATCACGCAAGTAGCCAAGGCGTTGGAGTATCTTCATGAGGAGAAGGGTGTTGTTCATCGGTAAGTTGGCCTTCCTTACTGTTTTCGGTGTCAATGACGTCATTCATTGGCCGAGCCAACACCGCAAATCATGTGGGAACCGTGTCTGCGACCACAGTGGCTGACACTGCTTCAACAGAGATATCAAGCCGGAGAACATTCTCTTCAGCCCTATTCCCTTCATCCCATCCAAGCATCCCAAGCCAAAGCAGCCTGGCGATGAGGACAAGGTCGACGAAGGCGACTTCGTCCCCGGCCAGGGAGCTGGAGGAATTGGCCGGATCAAGATTGCCGATTTCGGCCTCTCCAAGATCGTCTGGGAGAACAAGACGACAACCCCTTGCGGTACTGTCGGCTACACGGCACCCGAGATTGTAAAGGACGAGCGGTACTCAAAGTCAGTGGACATGTGGGCACTGGGTTGTGTACTCTACACCCTTTTGTGCGGATTCCCGCCTTTCTACGACGAGAGCATCGAGGTGCTCACTGAGAAGGTTGCCAAGGGACAGTATACCTTCCTCTCGCCCTGGTGGGATGATATCTCCAAGTCAGCGCAGGATTTGATATCACACCTGCTGACGGTGGACCCGGAACAACGGTACACGATAACAGAATTCTTGAACCACCCCTGGATCAAGGCTTCTGGTCCCACGCCCCGCGAGGAGAAGAAGCAGCCGCAACTGACTCAAGATGGCATGCTTCGTGCCTTTGATGCCACCAAGCTCATTGACGGCGACAAACGATATGACTTCCGCTCGCCGGGGGCTGTCAACCTGCGTGAGGTCTTCGATGTCGGATACGCGGTGCACCGGCAGGAGGAGGAGGGCAAGCGACGCAAGCAGGTCGGTTCGAAAGCGGCTGGCGTGCCATCAAACCTGGCCGGCCTCAACGAGGAGGACGAGGAAGATGAGCAGATGGCCGATGCCGGCGACGACAACCGCGAGTACGTCCACAAGACCAAGCCTGGTCAGACGGCCACGCACCAGCTGGAGCAGAGCATGCGCAACACCAACATCAAGGACCAAGAGCACCGCGGTAGGGAGCGCGAGCAGCGCGACAGGCACCACGGGACCTCCGACAAGGGCTACGGGCAGCACTCTGCGGCCGTCACGGCGGCGGCCAGGCAGCAGGTTAGGGACCGCAACCGGGCAAAGGGCGCGTTTGAGCTCAACCTGGACGGTGCGACGCTGCTCGGCCGGCGGGGTGCCAAGCCTGCCGCGAGGGTGGCATAGAGTGCTAAAGATGAAGGTCCGACCGAGGAAGTCGCTCAGGGATTGATGGGGTACAGCCGCGACCTGTCCGCCGTCATCGACGAGATAAGAGTCTCTGTTGGGTATCCCAAGGTGCCGCTGCTGAACCTGACGCCGAAGAAGGGCTCGGGACAGAGCCGGAAGCAGGAGAATGAGCCTGCTGTGACGCAGCCCGCCGCCCAGGACAGCGAGGAGGCGGGACCGTCCGTTGAGGTAGTGGAGGTAGCAGAGGAGCAGAGCCCTGCCAAGGAGGAAGTTGGTAGAGAGGAGGAAGATATGGATCCCGTGCGACGGATGTTGATATATGAGGGTGGTGGCGCGATGCTGGGGTAAAGTCGTGATGATCATGTGTGTGTGTTGGGACTGTTCAGGGTCCTTGTTTAAAGGTTTTGATATTCGTTACGCTGCTTGCTGGCAGCGGCTCGCGGGGACGTCATGATGGGTGGAAGGAACCGTGAAGAATGGGAGTTGGTTTCCTTTGTTTTTGTTCCAACAGCAGCGACCTCTGAGACGATGACATCTTCCTCTTGACTGTCAGAGGTTTTTTCGTCATGGCGTTTGAGTAACATTGACCATTATTTTTATTTTGTTCTAAACCTTTCTACTCATTTCTTGTTTCCAACTTCTTTTTTTATCATTACTACATGAGGATCAGGATCCACGGGTAGCGGAGATGAGAAATATCAATGCTTGGCTTGGCGGAAAATGCTTGAGGAACGACAGATTTGTGTGTTGCATTGAAACGTGAGGAGACGAGGTGAAGCGAGTGATGATGTTGATGCTTTGTGTTGTAACGCGTGATCTATTCTTGAAAAAGGGTCTCGGACTTGCAACGACGACACGGCTATGTGTTTGAGACCCTGTAATAAGTTTGGTTCTTAACATTTACTCGCACCACACTATGCTGTTGTGGATAAACAAGTCCATGACTTTAAAGGGATAGTACACCTCATAATACCAAGTGAGCTGAGTCCAGAGCCCCAACTAATAGTGAGCGAGTAAAACGGCTGATGGCTCTCGAGCAAGTTGCAAGATAGTCCAGACAGATTTTAAAATATGAAAACCTAGATTCAGAGTAGGGCTCCATAACTCGGTTTTGCGTGTTACGAAATTGTTGGAACAGCATTTTGCAAAAGGTGAGCGGGAAACGAGATAACATGATCCAATGTACTGACAGTTGAATAAATGCCTCCAAGAATCACAGTGTAGGCTTCGTAATACCGTGGAAACAACGCAACGACTTTAATACTTCGTACTAGCTACTTCGAGTACCGAACAATCATGAACCTTGGAGAATATACAGTACCTAGCCCATTCTCGTCTCTCACGGCTCAGCCCTTTTCCGACTCGGGGGCTAGAATGGCGTCTTTGCTTCCTCTTGAGCCGTCACTGGATGTAGTCTCAGTCTTTGGCATTCGGCTTTCGACACCGAGCTGTGCCATATTCGAAAAGCTAGTGCCATCTCGTCGGAGTCGATGCGGTCTCGGCGGCACGACCGGCGGCCCCGGCGGCCCAACACCGGCGCTGGACTGACGGCGCATGGCGCCGCCGCCGCCTCCGCTCTCAACGTCACTCGCGCCGCCCGACGAGACGACGATGTCCTTCCACTGCCGCCGCCTGTCCCACATGGGCTTGAGGCCGGGGACGGACAGGGCGACCAGGGTGCCGCCCATCTCGCAGACCTCGGTGATGAGGAGGGGGTCGTACTTCCAGGAGTGGTCGTGGTGCAGCCAGTGGCAGTCGATGATGAAGACCAGGCGGGCGACGGAACTGCCGATGACACTTTTTTTGTGTCGAGTGAAGAAAAGGAGGAGTTAGTATTTCTTTTTCCTCTTTCTCCACGTCCACTCCCTCTTTGAATGGATCGAACCAGAGGTTTGAACCTTTAAAGCGAAAGGCAGAGTAGGTTGTACTCACAGTACGCCCGGCATGAGAATGCCAGCCAGCTGGACCTTCCTCTTGCGGCTCATCTTGAGGATCGACAGGATCGCGACGGGGATGCCAAACAGCATGACGTCGCACAGGAGCGACAGCGCCGACACGACGGCGTGCAGCACGCCCCAGTCCATGCACGCGTACTCGCCGTGGTCGGTCTCCCAGCGGTAAGGGAAAAGGCTCGTCACGGGCCAGCAGTGGAAGACGATGAGGCACAGCTGCGCGAGGAAGCTGGCGCCGAAGAGGGCGGCGAACCCGCGGATGGCGCGCAGGAAGCTCGGGTGCACGTCGACGACGCGGTGGTAGAAGGCCAGCCCGGAGAGCCGGCAGAGGAGGAGGCAGGTGACGTAGACGATGCCCGCGCTGAAGTCGAGCGTCTGGATGAGGCGGATGTCGGACCGGGGGGCCACGTAGAGGAGGTAGGCGTAGTGCCGCCCGGAGCCGTGGGCCATGAGGAGGATGCACAGGGCGGAGAAGGGGACCATGAGGATCTGTGGTTTCCGAAGGATTGTGAGTGAGGAGGCAAGTTGGAGAACAGGAGAGAAGAAGCATGATTGGGGTGAGGTAGGTCGGCTACACGTACTAGGGAGGCGATGGCCAAGCTGTCGTCCAGGCCGAACCTTCGGAGGATGAATAACCGTGAGGTGATCCGGAGAGAAACGACGACAAAGGTCACCACGGTGATGCAGATGATGCTGATTGCGTACTGGCGAGTGTGGTTCTGGCTCAGATATTCGAGACTGAGGCCCTTGGGAACTCGCCCTGCCGCGGCAGCAGCAGCCACGTCTGGCGCGATCATTGCTGTTGAAGATACATAATGAAGTCGGAGGCCCAGTGATCAAAGAGATAGAGTGTAGAGTGCACTTTTATCGTTGTGATGGCCAACGCATCCTTATTCTTTCTATGCAACGTCCCAACTTCCACCGCCCCCGTATCGACGACGACGACGAATCTTATTATATCTTCATTGAACCAAGTTCATTACCCGTCAAAGCTCTTAGCATACTCGATCAGACCACATTCTATTTGGCAGATGCCGCTGGCCTGGCACCCTCGCCACCCTGGACCCTTGACTTGCTGGCGTGTAGTGGTGTGAAGTGTCTGACTGCCGTTCACACTAAGGCAGTAGCATCGACGGTGCAAACCCTACCTTGCAGGTTATGCAGAGCAGTTCACTGTCAACGAACGGTCCTTTTTTCAGATACGCCAACACATCTTCACTCTCTCCCATCTGTTCGCCCCCAAGCCACACTCATATCACAGACCGGACGATATCGTGTTGAAAGGTGTGTGCCACTCCCCAAAACATGAAGCAGGCTTAACTATTAAGAGCTCGAAGAATGACGTGGAAGCTGGGGACTCCCTTCCTTGGACCCTAGAGAGCGGAACTACCCATCTACTAAGAAAGCCAAGATCACGGTTGACCACCCACCATGTCTGTAGATCGGGCCCCCGTTCGACTTGGGCCCGGCCCGACAACCAGGAAAAGTCAAAACCGTCCTTGCGTCAATTCGTAGTTTCACGGGACTTCCTCGCATCCAAGTATCCGACATCCCAACTCAGCCACCCGTTGCGCCCGGCTCTTTGCCTGCCGGTTTGCCTGCCGGACAAGACGAGCCCAACGAGGAGTGATGATGCTTCCTTCTCTTGCGATTAAGGGGAAAACGCGTACCCTTTAGCGAAAGAGGTTTGCCTTAGCACAAGAGGACATATTGATCATTTTGAAAACTGCAAAACAAGCATGTCCATTATTTAGTATCATACAAGAGATGACTAAACGATTCAGACAAGGCAGAAACAAAAGCAGAAAATAGAAAAACAACGCCACCATTTATCCTAATGGCTAGTTATTGATACACTGAAGAGAGGGAAGACAAGAAAATGCATCATAGGATCTCATGTATGCATGCAATGCAAACAAAAGGACCCCCCCTTTTACCAACGCCAACATCAGAACCAAAAGAACCATGTGACAAAAGCCCGGCTGTCCGACGAGGAGTCTAGTCTCCCCACAAATACGTACAGCAGACAGACCGACGGCTCCGGGATAACAAGATACAAAGAATCGAAAAGGCTTCTCTTCTCATCCCACCGCTAAAGCAACCCGAACTCATCTCCACGCCACGCTAGCCCTAGTCGGCGCCGCGCCCGATCCCGCCGGACCAGCAGAGGAAGCAGCATCCTTCCTCGCGCTTCCCGGCACGCCCTCGAGCCTACTGCCGATGGTGATCCTCCTAGCCCTGCCCTCAGCAGCAAGCAGCCTCTCCCGCGGCGACCCGCTATCGCCCCGCACGCTGCCCCCCATGTTCATCCTCCGCGCCTGGCCCGCCGTGAACGCGCCGCCGGGCCGCGCAGCGGGACCCAGGACGCCGCCGCCGCCGCCTCCTCCTCCCCCTTCGCTCGCAGGAGGCGGCGAGCACGTGATGGGCGGCGAGCGCCTGCGCTCCGCGGAGCCGCGGCGCCACTGCCGCGAGATGCCGTTGGTCGAGCTCGCGGGCGGCGGGCCCGAGTAAGAGGCCGAGGCGCGGTGGTGGTGGTGGCCACCGCCCACGGACCCGATGGACGAGGTGCGCTTCGCGTTGGACGCCGCCGTGCCCGTCATGGACGACAGGCGGTGCGACTTCTTGGCCGAGTGGAGCGCCGAGCGCAGCTTATGGTGGTCGATGGTCGAGGAGTTGTCGTCCGTGTCCGAGTTGCTCGCCGAGCCTGCCAGCAGCGATGACATCGCCGGCGGGTTGTTCTCGTCGAGCGAGGAGCGGTTCGCCGATGGGATGCGGGTTGCCGACGGCGGCGACAGGTGGTTCGAGGCCTGGCCGACGCTGAGGTCTCTCAGCGGCGTCGTGCGCTCCTCGCTGTCCGAAGAGTTGGCCAGGTTCAGAGACAGGGTCGGCGCGACAGGCGAGCCGTTGCCGGCCGACGGACCGCGAGACTTGGACAGGAAGCCGGCCTGGAACCTGTTAGGCTTGGAGGCAGGCAGGCTCGAGGTCTCGGGAACGGTAAGCGACGGGCTCGAGTCCGAGGCTGAGTCTTGCTGTTCGAGGTATGATGGTAGCGCGGGCATGGGTGGGATCATCGCCGGATCGCGCTTCTTCTTTAGCGGAGAGTCTTGCTCGGGAGTCGAGTCGAACTTCTGGGGAGTCTTCTCAAAGTCTGCCAGTGTGCCCTCTTCCGTCTCGTCGTCTCGCCACCTGACGCTGCGCTTGGAGGGAGTCGTCTTCTTGGGGCTGAAGGAAACGCCCTTCTTGCCGGCTGCGACCTTGCGCCGTCGAGGAGACGACTTCATCGGAGAGGCGAAGACCTGCTGCGCTGCTGGAGCCACAGCGACGAAAGCGGGTGCAGGAACAGGCCTCACTTTGACAGCCGCAGCTTTCTTTCGCTTCGGCGTGCCACGCTTGGTAGGAGGAAACAGCTCGACAGGCATGTTGGCGCCGTCGGGCTTGACGACATGCGATGCCGCAGTGTATCCGGTCTCCAGGAGCCTCTTGATGATGTCCTTGGCATGCGCGACAGCCTCTTCCTCATTCATGGCGAGCGTCTCGGACAGGGAGGAGAGGATGTCGAACTGAGCGGTCAGGAGAATCTGTACCGTAGCCGCATCACCGGCTTTTTCACTGTCCAGAACCTCCCTGTACGCTTCCCTGGTAAAGTTGGACTTCAGAAGCTCAGTCTCTCGTGTGAGGCTTGCAATTTCACCACCATCGCATGCACCGTCTGTAGGAAGCTGAGCGATGCTGTGCTGGAGAGCAGTATCGATCGCACGCTCCCAATTGGACTTCTCCAGCTTCTGGTGGAGGTGCTGACGGCTGTGCTCCAGTTCTGCTAGAATGCCCTGCGCAGTCTTGCGCATGGCCGTGAGGTTGGGCGGCATGGCATCCTCATCTTCCCGCGCGTCGCAGATGGTGTCAAAAGCCGCAATCCAGGCCGAGAGTAGACCAATCCGCCGCTCAAAGGCCTTGAGCTTCTTCATGTCGGCAATCTTCTGCTGCCTCTCTTCCGCCGAGTTGTCGTACGCCACCCTGATGCGTTGGATTCCTTCTCTCGCGATGCCGTCTCTCTTCTCCATCTGCTTGCGGAATTTGGCAAAGAAGGTCGCCTCGGCGTCCTTCTGCTGTGCCTTGAGCTCGTTGATGAGCGCCATCTGCTCGTCGATCTTGACGAGGAAGTCCTTGACGTGGCGGTTGACATTGAAGACGTTGCGCGTGACCTTGGTCTGGATGTTCTTGGCCCGATTCGCATATCGGAGCGTGTTTTGAGTCTCGTCGAAGTGCGCACTCGAGGGGCTGACGCAGACAATCATGACGGTCTTGCAGTTCCCGCCCAGCGAAAACTTGAGCAGACGCGTCAGCTTGCTGTTTCGGTATGGTACGTGGTTTCTCTTCCTAGGATCGCAGAGCGCGTTGATGCAGCTACCGAGCGCCAACAGCGACTTGTTGATGTTGGCACCCTCCAGCAGCCTCTCGCCTCGGTTCTTGGTAGCACTGGCGCGCTCGCTACCTGCGAGATCGATGATGCTGAGAGTAGCCATGGTGTGAGGTTCGTTGATATCGGCGTTGCGGTCTTTTTGAGCAATGTTGATTTGAAGTACGGCGTGCGACCGCGAGGACACGGCGTTGGCCTCTGTGGGCGAGACGGTACGGTATTCGTTGCCCTGCACGATCATATCCATGACCTCTTGCACATCTTTGGGATGGTGGCTCGTCAGGCCGGCGACGCTGACAGCTTGGTGTGAGTCTTCGCGCAGCATCAGCCCCTGCTTGCTGCCTCCCGGGACCAGGAGATCCCGGATGGTCTCGTTGTAGATCTCGAGGTATGACAATGATAGCTCGGTGACCTTCTCATCGCTGCGCTCGGCGATCTTTTCGAAGAGCTCCTGCATGGTCAGGAAGATGATACCGGGCTGCTGTGACGTGCCGGTGATGGTGTGAGTCTTGCCGCAGCCGGTGGCGCCGTATGCGAAGACTGTCGCATTGTAGCCGTCGAGCACGCTGTCGAGGAGGGGCTTGGTGGTGCCCTCGTAGACTTCTGTTTGTGAGACCTTGTCGTCAAAGATTCTGTCAAAGGCAAAGACCTGGTCCTTGACCTTTTTGCCGGTGGGCACAACGGATCTCGAGAACTTTTGCACGGGGTTGTCTTCAGGGGGGTCGAACACACTGCGAAAGACGGACGGTCAGCCGAATCATGAAAAGGGGGGGTTGTGGATCGAGAGAGTTGGGATTGCATACAGGCACCTGTCATCCACCACCTTGATCACTGATCTTAGGCCTCTCTGGTTGAGCTTCGGGGTCGGCGCAGCGGCGAGGGAGCCGTCGCCCAGGAAGAGCGTGCCTTCATCGGTTTTCGTTCTAAGCATCCCCTTGTCAGCGTCGACCTTGCCCAGCCAGTCGAGAATGGGTCATCGTCTTACAATTGCGCAGCTTCTCTGATTGTGAATGGGCGTACTCGGACTGCAGTGGCGCGAGTCAGTCTTGTTGTTGCTGTCGTCGCTGGTGTTGTCTGCAACGGGTGCGTGTGTCGCCTTACCTGCTACCGAGATGGATGACGCTCCTGGGTCCAAGGGCGCCATGATGTGTGTTGTCGGGTGTCTGGTGTTGTTTTCGTGATGCGCTCAGCCGTTTGCTCTGCGCCGCGTGCTGCGCTCGGGAAGCTGGGTATCGTCAAGCAGCGCAGACAGCTATCGCAGCTTTATGCGATGCGGCAAAGTAAACAAAAGCAAGCGAGACCCGGGGTGTTGTTTGATGACCTCGAGTTGGTATCGAGTAGACCGTCGTCCAAAGAGAAAGAGAGGAAGCCAGGCAGACAAGAACTCCAATCCAACAGCAATGACGTCCTCCCTGTGGGTGAAGAGTTGCAGTTTTGACACTCGTCGTGGTTGAATAGGCAGTGTCTCTCCCGTCATGTCCACCGTCGAGGAAAAAAGGGCGGCGTGATTGGACAGAGCTTCCCGGTTTGTTTAGGGTGGCCGTGGCTCGAATTGTTTACCGTAGCAACCGGGAGTCCCCTTTTAGTGGGGGCCCACCTCTTCACCCAGCAGGCCTTTAGCGCTGTAAACGGCAGTCAATACGTGGTAATTAGTGGGGTTGGCCCACTGGAGATCCCCTGTGGATGCTCGGTCGGCGCCCCACTGTTTCTCAGGGGAAAAGTGAAATGGATATCAATAAGTCACGTTGAAGAGGAAGTTTCAACTCCAAGAAAAAAATGCAAAAAAAGAATGTTTGAAGCTGGGTTCGAACGTCGCATCTGATCCTTAACATGTATCGCCCGGAGGAACTCCTCCAGGGGTAAGCATTTGATGTCATTGTTCGTATATCCCCCTGAACCAAATCCCCCTGAACCAACTACCCAGCTTCAATGTTGAGAGTGACCACCTCTAAACTTACTTATGTAGTCGACGCGCCCAAACACTGCGTCCAATGAAGCCGTTAAACGAGCGCATCATCGTTTCAAATCCTGTGGGGCTGGGAGATGACTCGCCCGGATTATTCTCTTGCTTGTTGTGGAAAGTAAATTGAGTATACAGGGAGTAAACCGGAAAGGACTGGAAGCGGAGCAACCCTTTCATCTCTACAAGTCTTCTTGCATTGTTCTTTTGCACCGATTTGTGGCTAGAAGCTTCGAGAATGGGATACGAGGCTTCCGAAGCTTTGAGATGCTCGCCATAAGGGCAGTGTATGCTGGCACAACAGTAGACGAGGTTGCGACTTATTGTAGCCAGATCTTGCTGGGTATTATAGATCACAGTTCGCTTTGGATGAGATACTGTTACAAAGTGCTGGCGGTGAAAGTAGGAGAACGCCGGTATTAACGGGGCTTCGGCATAGGTAGGTTTTAATGCGCCAAATTAGGTAGTTCTATGAATCGCTCAGGAGATTCAGATCGACTCAAGATATATCATATTCCAATTATCACCATCAGACTACACCAGCCACACCACCACCAATACAAACCCCATCACTGCCGTGGCGAGCCCACCAGCCCTCAGCGCCTCACCGGCATTCTTCTTCTCCCCCGTCGCCGCACCCCTCGTGACGTTTCCGCTGCCCACGCCGCCCACGACGCCGTACCCATTCGTAAACGCCGTCTGGTTCTGCTTGCCCACCTCGTCCCGCCCGACGAGGAAGCTCTCCGGAGGGCCGAGGTAGCTCGGCCGCACGCCGCCCGTGTCGACCACGACCTTCTGCACCAGGACGCTCGGCAGCAGGCACCAGATCCGCAGCTTGTACGCGCCCTCCTTGGTCACGTTGAAGCCGCGCGTGCTGTAGTTGCCGTACCGGCCCCACACGCCGTCGCCGACCGCCAGTCCCCACCCGTCGGGCAGGTTGCCGCCCACGGTGCGCCCGACGGGCCGCACCATCGTCGGCTTGGGGGGCTCGGCCGCGCCGCCGGCCGGGTACAGCGCGACGCCGTACTCGAGCGGCGTGCTGTCGCCGAGGTAGTTGTGGCTCGGCGAGATGAAGACGGTCACGTTGGCCACGCCCTGCGGCCCGGAGCTGTTGGTGAAGAGGTACATGTCGTACTCGAGCGCCGGCGCCTCCTCGACGCTCAGCTTGTCCGTGTCGAGCGGCCAGAGGCCCACGCCGCCCAGCGTGCGGCCGTAGTTCTTGAAGGTGTGGTACGTGACGTTCCTGCTGCTGATGCTGCTGTTTGCGGACTTCGACGGCGCGATGATGGACTGGTAGTGCGGGCCCTCGATGGATACGTGCCCGTCCGACTCGACGAAGCCGGCCTTGAAGCCCTCGGGCACCGAGCGCGTCACGATGGGCACCTGGATGGTGGGCTCCGAGTAGCCGTACTTGTCGAAGCCGCGGCACGGAGTGGTGACGTTGATGCTGACGGTCGCGTTCTGCGCCCGCGCCCAGTCGACCGAGATGTAGACGCGCGTGTCGGTGCCGTTGTCGCCGCCTACGGTGCCGTTGTACTGCGAGAGCTTGACCCACGGCTGCCACGGGGCCGCGTTCCAGACGCACGAGTTGGTGCCGCGCGAGAAGACGTCGAAGTAGCGCGTGACGGGCCCGTAGCGGTCCATGGGCGGCACGACGAGGGTGTTGCCCGAGTTGGTGTGCCACTTGTCGTCGCCCTGGATCGTCGCGTTCCGCCCTTCGACGCCGACGCCGACGTGGCCCGCCAGCGAGGCGAAGGCCGTCTGTACATAGGTCATGGCCGGCAGGCTGTTGCGCATGGGCTGCTGCCAGTAGCCATCGTATCCGAGGTGGGTTTCTGAAGAATTTTCGGGTCAGCGGCTCTCGGTTTCTTCTTCACGGACTACAATCGTCCTGAGAGGTATGCAGGTAGCACTCACGGTCCATCATGTGCGCCCACTTGCCGTCGAGCATCTTGTCCCACCGCACGGTAAGGTTCGCGTCGTCGTCCGACGACCGCAGCACCGCCTTGATCACCTCGTTGGCCGCGTTGCGCTTCTGCCCGGCGTACAGCGCGTTCTTGGCCGCGCCGACGTAGATCTTGTGCACGATCTCGCCGCCCAGGATCGGGTGCAGCACGAGCTGGAAGAAGGCGTCGCGCGCCTCCTTGGGCAGCCTGTCGTGCAGCGCCTGCGCGTCCTCGCGCAGCACCGCCCACTGCTCCAGCACGGCGTCGGCCTCGTTGTAGTTGATGACCGAGTACGTCTGCGGCTCGACGAGCTCGAACTTGCGCCGCGCGGCACACATGCCGAACCGGTTGACGACCTCGGCGATGTCGGCCGCGAGCTCCGGGCCGAACTCGCGCGCCGCCCACGCCCGGGTCCAGGCGTCGGTGCTGTCGACGTCCCAGCGGGCGGCGTCGTAGGCCATGTCGAAGAAGTGGCTGATGGGGATCTCGAGGGGCTTGAGGTCGCCGACGTTGACGATCCAGATGCGGTCCACGCCGCGGGAGTAGGCGAGGTGCATCTGTGTGTGGTGGTAGGAGAGATATCGATTAGCTTTGCACGCTCTTTCACCCTTTTGATCGGTAATCTTCTGCTTTTGATTTACCGACTCACCTGTTCAGCCGTGTGCGACAGCTGCACCGTGTTCACCCACTTGTAGTCGCGCGGGTCGCCCACGTAGTCAAAGTGGTAGTACACGCCCGCGCCGCCGGCCCGGCCCGTCTCGTTGGCCAGCGGCAGGCGCCGCACGTTGCCCCAGTTGTCGTCGGCCCACAGCAGCGTGATGTCCTCGGGCACCGTGAGCCCTTCAAAGGTGTACGACTGCACCTCCTTGTACAGGCACCACATCTGCGGCACGTCCGAGATGTTGACGCCGTCGAGCCCCTCGCTGATGATCTTCTGCTGCTTGCCGACGAGCGTCTCGAGCATGGTGACGATCTTGTCCACGCCGAGGCCCTCGATGGCCGTGTCGCCCGTGCCGCGCATGCCCATCGTCCACAGCGAGTTGCGCGCGTAGGGCTTGGCGCGCCGCACGCCGTACCGGAAGTAGCCGTCGATGGTCTCGTTGTTGAGGTTGTACGCCCAGGGCCCCTTGTAGAAGTGGCCGAACTCGTTCTGCGCGCGCATGAGCGGCTCCGTGTGCGAGCTGCCGAGCACGATCTCGAAGGCGTCGGCGAGCGGCTGGTTGCCCGGGTCGTCGACCTCGAACATGGTGCCCCAGAGCGCGGGCCACAGGTAGTTTGCGCGCAGGCGCAGCAGCACCTCGAAGACGAGCGCGTAGAACTGCGGGCCGTAGCCCGCGCCGTAGGGCGTGTCGGGCCAGCGCGAGGCCACCCAGTTGGTCAGGTCGGGCTGCTCGTCGTTGAGGAAGAAGCCGCGGTACTTGACCGAGGGCGACCCCTGCACCTTGCGCTCGGCGAGGGCGTGGATGTCCTTGTGCTTCTTGACGGGGACGTCGGCCCAGAAGTACCAGGGCGACACGCCGATCTGCTCGCTGACGTCGTAGATGCCAAAGATGGTACCGCGCGGGTCGCTGCCGGCAATAACGAGGGCCTGAGCACAGCCCGGGATGGGGTCCTTGACGAGCTGGCTGACGAAAGACTCCCACTTGCCCTTTACCTCGGAGACGTCGAGCGCCTTGGCGTCGACCAGCTTGTCGATGAGTGACGAGTGGCCGATAGTTCCAGCGATGATGACCGTCTTATCGGGCGCCGGGTCGGCGTACTTGGGCCCGGGAAAGCTTTGCTTCGCGGTGGTCGAGTACTGCCAGTCATCGTCAGCATCTTCCCTCGCCAGCCAGACTCTGTGTTTGACGAACGGTCCTCGGCTGTCCAACTTACCACAGTATTGTTCATATTGTTCACAGGGTCATACTCGTATGAAGCGGGTGTAGAACCCTTTTCGCCGTTGCTCAGGCTGTAGTTGGTGCCCGTGACCCGGCCAAAGTCGAGCGCCAGGTCGCCTGCCGCGCGGATCACGCCCCAGTACTCATTGCTCGATACGCGGATCTGGCCGGCCGAGACAGAGCCGCCGGCAATCTGCAAGGAGCCGGCGGAAGACTCGAAAGCAACAATGGGCTTCTGGCCCAGCGCCGCAACCAGGCCGGCCCCGCTCGCGAGGGCGGCGAGCAGGCGCGACTTGAGCTGCATTATGCCAATACGAAGAAAGGCCAATCGAGCAGACAAGCAAGCTATCTGTCTACCTTGATACGAAAGGAAGACAATTGGTTGACCAGACCTTGATCAAGGGGAGCTTGCGAACAGAGGTCAGGAGCAGACGCTCTGCAGGTGAAAGCCTGCATCCTGGACTTATATCGCCCGGGAGCTTACACAGACGGGCGTGGTTCACGCTCGCTCGAGGGGAGCAGAGCTACCTACCCTTGTCTGGACCTTACATGGCAAAATAGATTATCCAGGAACGAAGTCGCAGTCGCGGACCAAGACGGCATAGCGGCGTGGGTGCTGGTGAGTATGGTGCGAGCTCGCCCGGTGCGGGCGGCCCCGATATTGGAGCAAGGTGACATGGTGAGGTAATGGCGTCCTGGTCTGCCGGATAAAGTCAACGTGGGCTCGAAGGGATCAGCGAAGAGGCTGCTGCAGAGGCAGGCTGCTGAGCAGGCGGCAGCTGATGTTGGGGTGCTGTTCAGGCAGTGTGGGCTTGGTAGCCTTGGCCACTGATGGGAATAGTCCCGACGATCCATCTCACGAGGTGTTGTGTTGGTGTAAGACCTGGGATAACGGCGCCGGACAGCCTCGAGTCGCGAACCCGTTTCCCCGCACGATCGGGCAGTGGGGGATGCATATCACCAGGACATAACTCTTCGGTTGATCTGGCGTCGACTGCTGCTTGTGCTTGCCCGCATATCTTGCACTTATATCTTCGGGGTCGACGGTATGACAGGGTGATGATTGCGGCTCTGCTTCTGAAGCATGTCAATCTAAGTAGGTAGCATCCATCGTTAACGATCAAAGTCTAGGTATCAAGGTTAGCTGGTGAAAACACGGAAAAGCCCTTTCCAAGTTCCCTCTCACTGCACCCACCAGAGGGAGTGAGTTGTTGCGGGGAAGGTAGGCGGAGATGTGCATTTAGCCGCAAAGCAACCCCAGCATCAACCCTGGACCCCGTTCTGGATATTTGGTTCGGCGTCCCCGCCAAGCAGCCAACGAGCTCCGGAGGTTGAAAATAGCTTATTCGTGGGATTCTTGAGATCCGTGAGCTAATACAAACGGGCGGTCGGCACTCGGCTTGTGTGGCGAGGGAGCCATCGTATCGCGAGTTTGAACGAAGATGCCTGCCTTCTTGTGTTGACATCTGCTGCTGATTGATTTACTTCTCAGTCAGAACTTGACTCGGTCTGGGCGAATCCTCTTGCATCCCCATGCCAACCCAATCACCTTGCTAGTATATGTTAACTCGGCGCGTTGAACGGATGAGGCCACCCCTGAGAAGACAGCAGCTGGGAGCATGTTGAGACAGGCCCTGTGGTTTCTCAATGGCGCTGCTTTGCAGATTTTCTTTATGGCAATACAAGTACAACCTAAACACCAGATAGCATCCATCCCGTCCCTAGTATGCCCAAACGTGACAGACACCTACACCCTATCGGCATCCGGTCATGCTGCGGCCGAGGCGTATCTTGACATCTGCCCCAGCCTCTCCTCCAAGCTCACTTCCGTGTCCGCGTAGATCATCCTGATCGCCTTCTCCTTCTTGACCTTCTCGGCTGCAGGCGCCTCTGATACGCCCTCGGGCTTGGGAGCCTTGATGCCGGCCTCGGCCATGCGGATCATCTGGTCGATATCGTCGCCCTGTCGAGCGGCGCCAGAGACCAGCTCGTCGAGGGTGGACGCGCTGCCGCCCGGTGGGGGATACGCACCGGCGGGATAATTAGTCCCGTAAGGTGGTCGTTGCGGGAGACCGGACTGCGCGGGAGGGTTGCTGCCAGGCCGGGCGGGGAGGGCTCCGGGGGCGCCATACGGTGCAGCGCCGGGCGGGTAGCTGCCGAGGAATTGTTGAGGGGGGTATTGGCCGGCGGGAGGCTGTCCGTATTGCTGCTGCTGTTGGTACTCGAACCCGGCTTGGGGAGGGGGGAAGGGGCCGTTCTGCAAGGGAGAGAGAATCAGCGACTGGTCTAGAGAGGAAGGGACGTCACATGGGCATCCTACGTTTTGCGCGGGACTCTGCCCATTCGGAGGCGCCGGGCTTCCCGTTTCGCCGGCAGCTTTCCTTGCCGCCATCTTTGCGCGGTGCTCTGCTAGCCTCTTCTTGAGCTCGTCTGCCGTCTCTATCTTGATCTTCTTGGCTGGGCCCTGGCCTCCAGACTGGCCCGGCGGGGGGTTGCCGGTGGCGGCACGTCGCTCAGCCTGGGCCTGGTAGTAGTTCTGGATGATCCTCTGGTTGTGCTGCTGGACAATGTCGTCTGGCACGCCTTCCATTCCGAAGATCTCGACGTCGAGGCCCTGTCGGTTCGGGAGGGCATTTTCGACTTCGGCGAGCGACTCCTTGTGCACTTGGTTCATGTGCACGGAAAGTCCTGATCGCGCGTCCAGAGTCAGCATCCATTATCGCCAGAAAGATGTGCCAAAGATGTAGCATCACCACACGATTCGATCAACGTACCTCCCGCCGTGTTCAATCTCCTGCCGCATCGCTCGCACTTGAAGTGTTTCGCCTTCTGGTGGGAGATGAGGAGCTTCAGATCCTCAAAGTCACGCTCACCTAGACGAACGCAGTCAGTAAACACGTAACAGATTGTGTCTGCGCGATAGTGGCGTACAGTAATAGCACCATGGCCGAGCGAGGAGCTCCTCGACGTCGGGGTGGCTGCGCTTCTTCTTGCCCATGGTCCTGGCGCGACGGGGCGAATTGATGCTACCTTGGCGAGGTGTGCGGTCGGGCGATTGATCGCAGAAAGAGAGAAAGGCGATGCGACAAGGACGCTGGATTCGCGAGTCGGGAAGACGGTGTGGTCGAGATGGCGGATGCCGTTGATGGACGAGTATCGCGCCTTGGAGCTTCTGGCTCTGGATCTTGCTGCCTCAAAAAGTTCAGCCTCCTCAAAGGAAGGGCCACCTCCGCGATGAGGCAGCTAGCCTATTTGGGGTTAGCGCATTCTTTGCTGAAGGTATCATGTACCAAGGTACATCGCTCTCGACATGATGGAACTACGATGTCTGAAGGATACGAATAATCAAAATGCAATGCATTCAATCTAGGTAGCATCGCCCAAGTGCTTACTTCTTCAATATATGCCGATAACTTGGAGTTGGTGTTGTTGCAAAGCTTATCAGTTCGTCGTTGTTGCGTCAGGAGTCCACTGTGATACCTGCCATTCTTGGCCATAGCTTTGACGAGACGAGCAGCGCCAGATCAACACCGGATTCCGACATCCCCTCCTCTTCTTCCTTTCGTTTCCCGTTGCCATTTCACTGCAAGGAGGCCAGGGATGAAGTAAAAGAGGTACCGCAAAGACTCTCACCGCGATGGACCACGACAAGGGAGGGCTGCCTCCGTACAGCGCTGTCGGCGATAGCTCGTCGTCTCCCCGCTGGCGCGAGCTCCGACAACGCCGCATGCGCCGATCACGGGCTTTCAAGCTCGTCGGCCTAGGCGCGCTCCTCTTTATCGTCTACGCTCAATGGACCCAGCTCAGCCAGTCACGCATCCCTTCAACCAGACTGTCGCTTGCCAGGCTCCAACAGGATCTGGAAACATGCAAAACCCTCCGCCACAAGCCCCAGGATCCCATTGGTCTTGGCCGCGAGCGCAATGCTCGCTACGTCGAGGGCATCAAACCTACCCTGATCCAAAACGCGACCGTATGGGTCGGTGAGCCTGTTGAGGGTACCCCTGCGGATCAGGCCAGGAATGGCTCCGGCTACGCTTGGATCACTGCCGATGTATTTGTCCAGCAAGGCCTCATCATGAGGGTTGAGTCCAAGATCTCTCCTGCATCACTACCCAAGGATACAGTATGCTGGGATGCAAAGGGTCGCCAGCTCACAAGCGGTATTGTCGATATGCACAGTCACGCAGGAGTTGATCCTCTGCCCGGTCTTGTCGGTGACGACGACACCAACGAGATGTCTGCTGACACCACGCCCTATGTGCGTTCCATCGACGGCATCAAGCCCCTCGATCACCAAATCCAAGTCATCAAGTCTGGAGGCGTCACTACTAGCCTAGTGCTTCCGGGTTCTGGCAATAACATCGGTGGCGAGGCGTACGTGATCAAGCACGCAGTCGGCTCCCAAGATGGTCGTCCCGAACTCAGTGTTGCCGATATGCTAGCAGACCCGGATCGCAACTGGCGGTACATGAAAATGGCCTGCGGCGAAAATGCCAAGCGCGTTTACGGCAAGGTTGGCGAGCATGGCCCTGTCAGCCGCTTGGGCGAGTCTTGGGAGTTCCGCCACGCATTCGAGCAGGCCGCCGAGATTGTCCGGGCACAGGACGACTGGTGTGATGCAGCCGAGGCCCTGGGGGTGGACAAGATGGACACCTACTTACCACAGGAGATCAGATGGGAGTCGCTTGGTGCGGTGCTCCGAGGCCAAGTTCATGTCAACACGCACTGCTATACGATTCCTGACCTCGAGGCTTTTGTCGACCACACCAACGAGTTCAAGTTCCCCTTGCGGGCGTTTCATCATGCCCATCAGACCTTTTTAGTCCCAGAGATCCTCAAACGGACCTGGGGAGGTGCGCCAGCCTCGGCCCTCTTCGCTGACAACATGTACTACAAGGCCGAGGCCTACATTGGCTCCGAGTACGCCGGCAAGTTTCTCTGGGATGAAGGTCTGACACCCGTCTATGTGAGCGATAATCCTGTGCTCAACGCCCAGCATGTCGTGTTTGAAGCTGCCAAGGGGTATCGGTATGGCCTGCCATATCATGTGGCGCTTGCAAGCGTCACTACTGCACCAGCCGAACGACTAGGCCTTGGTCAACGCATCGGCAAGATCAAGCCTGGGTTCGATGCCGACATTGTTGTTTGGGACAGCGATCCGCTCAGTGTGGGTGCCGCGCCTGTCCAGGTGTGGATCGATGGAACTGCGCAGTTCGAGGACCCTGTCGAGTTGGATAAGCCTCTGACAGCGCCCATCGTGCCCAATGAGGATCTGAGTGATATTCCCGAAGAAGAACTCAAGCTAGAGAATGTCGTCTTCACGGGTGTGTCCAAAGTCCTCATCAATGGACAGAACATCGCTTCTGACAATGGCAACCTCAACGTTGCCATCTCCAACGGCCGCGTCACCTGTATTGGACCCTGCGGCGACGCACTCCTTGCCGCTTCCAAACCTGGCAGCGACAGCAGAGTCATTCTCCTGCGTGATGGCCACATCACCCCATCCTACACAGCATTTGGCTCCAGCCTCGGGCTGAACGAGATCGACATGGAGGCGGACACTGACAATGGCCCTTCCGGCGATGCATTCACCCGTGGGCTTGACGGGCTCGCCCTCGACGGGAAGAAGCTGCACGTCGCGCACAAATACGGCGTGACGCGCGCCATCTCTGCTCCCAAGCTGTCTGGCCAGATGACACACCGCGGCACGAGCGTGGGCTTCCTGACCGGCGCCGCCACAGCGCTCGACAAGGGCGCCGTGTTTGCCGACAATGCGGCCGTCCACTACACTCTCTCCCTGGACGCGAAGAGCGACAAGACGCCCTCCATATCCGGGCTCGTCGGCGCCCTGCGCCGCGCCCTCCTGGAAGCCGTGCGTAGCAACGAGACCACGGTAGCGGACCCATACTCCGAGGCAGCACAGCTCCGCAAGGTCGTCGCCGGCGAGAAAGCCCTCGTCCTGACGGTCCACAGCGCGGACGTCATCGCCGCCGCACTGCGCGTCAAGGCCGAGGTCGAGCGCGAGGCGGGAACCACGCTACGTGTTGTCATCCTCGGAGGCGCGGAGGCGCACCTCATGGCCGGGGAGCTCAAGGCAGCCGGCGTCGGCGTCGTGCTGGCGCCGGCGCAGTCGTACCGCGCTACGTGGGACCAGCGGCGGGCGCTGACGGGCGCACCGCTGACCAACGGCACGGCGGTGGACGCGCTGGTGCGCGAGGGTGTGGCAGTGTCGCTGGGGCTCGAGGAGGACTGGCTCGTGCGGGATATGGGTCTGCTCGCGGGCATCGCGTGGCGTAACGGCGAGGGGAGGCTGACTGAAGAGGAGGCTTTGGGGTTGGTGGCGGGGAATATCTACAAGATGCTCGGGCTGGAGAGGTCTGAGGAGGACGAGAGTGGGCATTTTGTTATTTCTGAAGGGAGTCCCTTGGATATCGCGTCGAGGGTGAAGGCGGTTGGTGGGGGGTTGGGGTATGTTAGTGTTTATATGTGAAGGAGGGATCGCCTTAGTTGAAGTTCAGCTTCTTGGACATGGCAGAACGTCTTTAACACGCTTTTTCTAGTATATGTGCTTTGAACTTTCGCTTTGTCACCTTGCTGAAAGTGAACCCTTTGACTGTATACCACACAAGACTTGGACTGGGCAATGCACCTGAAAGTACATGGTTGTAAGAATAATTACATGCTGTGTCAATCAGTACCCACACCACTAGACAACTCTCATATTTGCCGTTTACCTTCAAGTCAAGTCTGTTGGTTAGACAATGGCTATCAGCTTGAATGGCTCTAACAGTCGGATTCTCCTCGCTTATGATATTGCCAATTACGCCCTCACACCCTCTTCCCTTCATTAAGTAGCATTCTTTTACTCAACCTTGCTTCTTGGCTGCACGCAGATGCTCCAGCTGAACAATCATATGCTGTTCTCCCCCCGCTCTGCAACGCCGTTGCATATGACAAGGATTGCCGATTGGCTCGATAATCACTTCCTTGTATTCTTCTCCAGCGGGCCATACATTTGCCTCGTCTGCCTGCCACCATGAACGTATGCACCAGCAGGGCCTCAATAAGCAAGCCAATGACCGGGCGACATTTGTCCTACATGGCAGGGATGGTGCTTAGTGGAAAGCTGGTCTGTCGCCGAACCTGCGGCTCTGCGGCTCCTCTTTGATGCTTCTGCTGTCTGGGATAGATAGCCTTTTCTTGTTGAAAGATGCATAAAAGGCCCCTTCCACCCTTGCCGCCCAACTACACTTGCCAAAGTCTGCTTTTTGTAGTATTACTTGGAATAATTACTCTTCATAGTTAACACCTGATCCATTAGAATCAGTATTCAACTAGTCGTCCTACTAGTCTTTATGAGCTCGGCGTGCATTCGAGGCCCTCACCATGGCTTTTGTACTGCTTGCGTCCGTCATCGGTCTCGTCACAGTCTTGTATGGGCTGTGCACTATCGGCCGGCGGCCCTCGTCGTACCCTCCAGGCCCTCCAACGCTGCCGTTGATTGGCAATCTGCATCAGATGCCAAGTAAGAAAGCCCATCTCCAGCTCCAGAAATGGGCCGAAGAATACGGGTAAGTCATAACTTAAACCCTATATGATCTACCAGAGACAGTGCTAATGCTGACAAGCCCAATCTACTCTCTCATACTCGGCACCAAAGTCATGATTGTGTTGTCATCGGACAAGGCTGTCAAAGATCTGCTAGATAAGCGCAGCACCATCTACTCGTCCCGGCCAGAGATGTATCTCGGCCAGATTATCAGTGGTGGGTTGCGAATGCTTCTAATGGTAAGATAACTCAGCTCGGACCGCCTTGGGTCAGTTCCAAAATCTAGTCCTGACACTGTAGGCGTTTAAAGGAGTACGGCGAAACCTGGCGCATGATCCGGAAGATGGTGCACAACATTCTCAATATCAAGGCAGCCAGGTCTTACGTGCCTTATCAAGATCTGGAAAACAAGCAGATGCTCTGTGACCTTCTCGAGAAACCAGATGCGTTTATCGACCATATCCGACGGTACGCCAATTCACTTACAACTCAAATGGTGTTTGGCTTTCGCACCATCAGCACAGATGACCCCAAGTTTAAGCAGCTCTTTGAGGTATGATGAACTTTCAATCTTCAATATCTTGTGATACCAACTCCAACTTCCTGTAGGGATTCGAGAAATTCAGTCTCTTAACCTCGACGACAACTGCACAACTTGTCGATCTCTTCCCCCTGTTGAAGAAATTACCCGATGCTCTTCTGCCCTTGCGAAAGTACGCCAAGAAGCTGCACGAACGCGAGAAAGAGCTCTACGTCGGCCATTGGATGAACGTGAAGAAAGCCATCAAGAACGGCTCGGCAAAAGTCAATCCCCTAAAGAACCCTTGTGGCTCCAGTTCGCTGACATACAACTCTATAGCCCTGCTTCTGCGTCGACCTCGTCAAAGCCCAAGATCTCGAAGGCTTCTCCGACGACCTAGCCGGCTACGTCAGCGGCTCGCTGCTGGAAGCCGGCTCCGACACCACGTCCGCCACGCTCATCGGCTTCGTCCAGGCCATGGTCATCTCCCCGGACGTGCAGAAGAGAGCACAGGAGGAGATCGACCGCGTGTGCGGCGACCGCTTGCCAAGCATGGAGGACGAGCCGCGTCTGCAGTACATCCGCGGGTGCGTCAAGGAGAGCCTGCGGTGGATGCCGACCGACATCCTCGGCGTGCCGCACGCCGTCATCAGGGACGACGAGTACATGGGGTACCAGATCCCCAAGGGCGCCGGTGTGATGTGGAATGTCTGGTGAGCCATAGCTACTCTTTTGAGCACTGCTCTCCTGCCTGTTCCACACTCTATTAACCCCAAGAACAATCGAAAGGGCGATACATATGGACCCGAACCGACATCCCAACCCCCGCGCCTTCGACCCGTCGCGCTACGCAGACGACCTTCAGACCGCCGCCGAGGCAGCGCTCAACCCGGACCCGAGCAAGCGGGACCACTTCGTCTTTGGCGCCGGGCGGCGCAACTGCCAGGGCATGCACATCGCCGAGCGGTCGCTCTTCCTCGGCATATCGCGGATGCTGTGGGCGTTTGACTTTGGCAAAGCAGCCGACGCTGACGGCAGGGAGATCACGCCCGACATCGACAAGCTGACCGAGGGGCTCTTGGTGCAGCCCCAGCCGTTCAGGTGCAGGATCACGCCGCGCAGCGAGCGACATGTGCGGAGGATCCGCGAGGAGTGGGACGCCTGTCTGCCGCTGCTTGACAAGGATATGCAGTGGAGGGAAGTGCCCAAGGGCATGGCGTTTAGTACGTACACTCCAGATATGTGAGGTCTTGTCTATGAAATCAGCAGAATTGGTGTTTGGGGAGTAATATGCATGCAGGCCCACTCGCTCATTTAGGTACAGTCAAGAGAAAACACTATGATGTCTCACAGTTGAGGGTCTCGTCTGAATAGTTAGGTAGTAATGGTTCTTACGCATGCATCACAAAGGCACCTTGACGATAAATTCACATTGTGAAGCAGGAAAGGGGAAAATATTATGTTAATTTTCTCATCCGTCAATGCCGATATCTCGCACACATCAAGCAGCGATTACTGCCAGTACATCCGTAGGCATGACAAGGTCTCCATCCTGGACGTCCAGCGACACCACAACACCAGAGCATGGACTGCTGATCAGAATTTCCATCTTGTTGCTTTCCAGCCAGAGCAGAGGCTCTCCCTCCTCTACCCGGTCTCCCTCCGACACTGAACACTTGAAACAACGACCGGCGATGCCGGCATGGACCTGTTCGCCACCAAGCAGTTGCCTATCAGCAGTACTTCGCGCAACGAACTTTTGCTGCGGAGGCGGTGATAGCAATCTATTGAAGAATGGGGCGCTGGATATGGCATTGGCTCTCTGTGCCGCCGTCTCCGTAACCTCTTCTTGAATGCCAGCAATCCACGCTTCGTATTCGTCCATATCCAGCACCGCATCTGTGTCAACTTGGATCATGGCTGCCGGGTTGCTCCTATTTGCTTCGAGTTCCGCCTCGGTGACAGGGTAGAATGAAATCCTGTCGAACGAACGAAAGAGCCACGGCTTGTCTTGTCCCGGCTCAGAGAGCAACTTCATATCATCCCAGATGGGTAGTGTGCGACCGACAAGTTGGTACCCTCCAGGGCTCTCGCTACCGTAGATACACATGTACTGGCCACCAATCCCCACTGCTCCACGGGGAGTGAAACTGCGTGAAGGGTTGTACTTGGTCCCGAATAGGCGGTGTCTCGGGTCGAGCGGCACGGCGCAAGGGCTGCCTAGAAAGACGTCGCCGAGACCAAGGACCAGGAACTCGGCTTCGCTGAGGATCTTCTGGACGCCTCCCTCCTCGAGCCCGTTGAGCTGCTGCAGGAAGTCTGTGTTGTTGGGCAGATACGGGGCGTCAGAGCGGATCGTAGTGGCGTATCGCGATACGGCCTTGTCGCAGGCCGAGTCGTTAAACGCTATCGGGAGCCAGAAGCGGCGGGAGGGCACGCGACGGCAGATCTCAAAGCGATGCACAGAAAGCGCGCAGAGCATCGAGCTTGGCAGAATACCTTTGTCGTAGATGACGTGCAATGTGCGGACACCTGGCGTCAGCTCTGCCACGCCTGGAATGGGGCTCTTCTTGTGCGCCTCGATGAAGGAGAATATGGCGAGGCTCTGGTTGAGATCAAAGACGCTCTCGTTTCCAAACTCGAGGAGCATGGCACAGTCGCCGGCCTGGCGCACCGTGATCCCGCGGCCGATATCTGTGCGGCGGTCTGAAATAATCTCGCCTCTGGGAACATCGCTGTCGCTCTTGACAAGTTCGAAAGGTTCCGCGCTATTGATGGCCTGTGTCATTTGCGCAATCGCCTCGACGGCACTCGAGATGGGAATCGGCTGGAACTTGAGTCTATCTCCAGGCTTCACCTGGCCCAACTTCCACATCTCTGCGCTTGCAACCACGCAAAAGACAACGAACCCGCCGAGGCTGGGGCCGTCGCGCGTCAGCACTACGGCTTCGTCGCCAGTGAAGCTGACGCTTCCGACCGAATACGGCGCGTCGTGAATGTTGGACGGGTGCAGCCCGGCCTCGCCGCCCGTCTCCCGCGCCCAGCTGGGGTTCGGGCCGGTCAGGCGCACGCCCAGCCGGTTGCTGTTGTAGTGGACTGTCCATTCGTCCGAGAACAGTCTCTCTAGCCCCTCGGGAGTGAATAAGTCCGGTGCCCCGTGAGGCCCAGGGATTACGCCGATGTGCCAGAGCGGCGTCGGTGTAGTGGTTATAGGCGCCGCTGGAACAGCAGCTACAGGCTCCTGTGTCGGGTGTATCATGGATCCGATGCCGAGTATGTCGCCATTGTGCAGCTTGCGTCCGTTGTGACCGCCGAATCCGCCCAGTTCAAATGTCGACCGGCTTCCTAGCACGGAAGGGACGTCAAACCCACCACGAACGGCAATGTTGAAACGGTATCCCGAGCGAGCCTTGCCGACGCGGAGGACTTGACCACTTCGGGCAACGAAGGGCTTGCCAGATTGCTGAAGCTGCTCGTCTAGGTGAACATCGCCATGGGCACCGGTGACGACGGCGAGAGACTCGGTCTGGAAGCGTAGGGTTGGTCCCTGGAGAGTTGATTCGAGAGCTGGGGCATCTGGAGCATTGCCTACAGCCCGATTCGCGAGGCGAAATGAGTAGTCGTCCATGGGTCCGGATGGAGGAACACCGACGTGCCAGAGCCCTGTACGACCGGGGTAGTCTTGGACTGTTGTGGCAAGTCCTGCGTCTAGTATCTCGACAGCAGAAATTGGAATATCCAGTGAGTCGAGCATGTTGGTAGAGAAGTCGGCACTCTGAACAACCTCGGATGCTACGACCCCTCTCAGATACTTGACGTTGGTCTCGATTCCGACTATCCTAAGCTCTGATAGAGCTGATAAGAGCTGTTGGAGGGCGGTAGGTCTATCCTCTCCCATGGCGATCACCTTCGCAAGAAGAGGATCGTACAGAGGTGTGACAACAGTACCCTTCTCCACCCAAGTATCGACTCGAACATTCGAAGGGAAAGTAACATCCAGGATCCGGCCGGACTGAGGCCGAAATTCTTGTAGTGGGCTCTCAGCGTAGATGCGGACCTCGACAGACGCCCCAGCAGTCGGAACAACACCATTCGAAGCCGCAGCCAGACTCGCAATCTTATCGACGCGACCCTCCGCCACTCGAACCATCACTTCAACTAGGTCCAGACCAGTCACGGACTCAGTGACAGTGTGTTCAACCTGCAGCCGCGTGTTCACCTCGAGAAAGTAAAAGGCCTGCGCCTCCACATCATAGATGAACTCGACCGTGCCGACATTGCGGTACTGGACAGCGGCTGCGAGATCCATCGCAGCCTTCCTCATGCCCTCTCGCACAGCCTCCGGCAGGCCCGGCGCGGGCGACTCCTCCAGAACCTTCTGATGTCGCCTCTGCAGGGAGCAGTCGCGCTCGCCGGCCGCCCAGACGCGGCCGGCCCCGTCGCCAACGATCTGGACCTCGACGTGCCGCGCCCGCGACACGAAGCGCTCGACAAAGACGCCCCCGTCTCCAAAGTTGGCCGCGGCCAGGCGCTGCACCTTGTCGAAGACGCGCGCGAGCGCCTCGGGCCCGTCGCAGCGCTCGAGCCCGATGCCGCCGCCGCCCGCCGTGCTCTTGAGCATGACGGGGTAGCCCACGCGCTCGGCGGCCGCGAGCGCCTCGCCCAGGCCGGCCAGCAGCTCGCTGTCGCCGTCGCCGCCACTTCCCGGCACGACGGGCACGCCGGCGCCCGCGGCGATGGTGCGGGCTACGTGCTTGAGGCCGAGGCGGCGCATCTGGTCCGGCGTGGGGCCGATCCAGGTCATCCCCGCCGCCTCGACGGCGGTGGCAAAGTCGGCGTTCTCGGCGAGGAAGCCGTAGCCCGGGATGACGGCGTCGGCGGAGACGGAGGCGGCGAGGCGGAGGATCTTGGCACTGTCGAGGTACGTCTCGGCGACGCTGCCCGGGCCCAGCGAGAGGGCGGTGTCTGCTTGTCGGACGTGGAGGGCGGTGGAGTCGGCGTCGGAGTAGATGGCGACGGAGTGTAGGCCTAGTTTACGGAGGGTTCGGATGATGCGGACGGCAATCTCGCCGCGGTTGGCTATTAGAACCTTGGTGATTTGTTTTGCGGCAACCCTGCTGGGCATTATTATTGGTGACATGTCGGACGCATCTGCCTTGCTGGCAAAACTTGCCAAGTACGACTTCCACCCCCCAAACTCTGTGATGTCCTTGGCATCTTGAAGTCCCTTGGGCTCGCAGATAAAACCCAAGGTCCAAGTGCCGTCCTCGAGCTCGACGGAGCCAATGCCGAGGGGGTGCGGGATGGTTGACATGAAACTTCCGACGTTGGCTGCCGGCAGATCCCAGACCTCGACTTCAATCTTTGCTCCCGTTTCTTCGGCTGAGCACACGCGTTTCAAGCCCGGCCTCCTAACTCCGCCCTGGGGATTGAGTGCATACAGGCGATAGTTGTCGGATGTCTTTGAGGAATAATTGAGAGAGGCCCCTCGCTCAACAAGATCTTTGTTGAGAGGAAGGCCAGTGAGATGGGCACCGACCACCACAATCGGAACCTTCTCCTTTGCAGAGTTCCTGTTCGTGGAAATCGGGGTGAGACACGGTTCAAGCCGCAGAGACTTGGTGGCACCGAGCAACCTCGGCTCGCCGCTCAGCCATCTCGCCCCCAACTGCAGAAGGCAGTAGTCCTGCCACCGCCGAGCTATCAACGTGACTCCAAACGGCAGGCCGTCTGACCTGAAGCCTGCAGGGACCGACAGCGCCGTCCAGTCCAGGAAGTTGACAAAGTTGGTATATGTGCCCAGCTGCGAGTTCTCCTTGACCGGCTCGCGGGCCAAGTCATCCATGGTTGGGAACGCCGGGGCCGTGGGGACGAGCAGGAAGTCGTACGCGGCAAAGGCGAGCTCGATCCCTCTGGTGAGGTCTTGCCGCTGGTACTCGGCCTCGAAGGCGTCCGCGGCGCTGAACTCGCGTGCCTTGAGGATGATGCCGCGGACGACTGGATCCATGTCCTCGGGATTTGCGGTCTCGATGAAGTCGCGGATGGCCTGGTAGCGCTCGGCCACCCAGGGCCCCTCGTATAGGAGCTGAGCCAGCGCGAACAGCTTGGTGAAGTCAACTGGCACCAGCTTCCACCCCAGGCTGCGGGCTTTGTTAAGGGCAATCTCGTACGCTTCTTTTTGTTCCACCTTGCCGAACCACGGCGGGTCCGCACATATGGCCACCGTAGGTTCAGTCAACGGTACTTCTAGCACGTCATCGGGTCGCGATCTAGAGTAGGCGTCCTGCGAGTCGAATCCTTCTACCACGCTGAGAACAAGGCTTGCGTCCTCAGCAGTGAGGGAGAATATGGACACGCAGTCGAGGGTGCGGCAGGCCGGGAGCACCCGCCTCGCACTCAAGGCGCCTCGCGTCGGCTTGAGCCCGACTATGTTGTTTAGGCCGGCGGGTACCCTGCCAGAACCTGCCGTGTCGGTGCCCAAAGAGAAAGCCACGACTCCACGGGCAACGACGACCGCACTACCGGAGCTGGATCCGCCACTGACCCGGGAGGGATCGAACGAGTTGGGCACCGCGCCATATGGAGATCTGGTACCGACCAAGCCGGTGGCGAATTGGTCTAGGTTCGTCTTGCCGATCAGGATGGCTCCAGCTGCCTTGAGTCGCGCGACGACAGGAGAGTCTTCGGTGGCAGGTGTTGAGCAGAAGGACGGGCAGCCTGCGGTAGTCAGGAAGCCAGCGGCATCGATGTTGTCTTTGACAGCGAACGGAACACCAAAGAGTGGGAAGCTGTCAGGGGCGAATCCCTGAAGGCTATCCCACTGAGCCTGGATCTGATCCGGGGAAGCGAGGCTGATCCATGTCACCGATGCTGCGTTCTCCTCCCTCTCTATGACGGATAGGAGCCGGGCCAGACCATCTCCTTGTCGTTGGACTTCCACCCAGTCGGCGATGGTCAGGGGAGTGGAGGAGGACGTGGCGATTGGAGGCATTGTCGGCTCATCCAATCCTAAACTCTGTGTCTTGGGTAAACTGTTGAAAGTTGTAATATTGAGCTTGGCCAAGGTCAAAGTTTGCGTCGTCTGCCATCTTTATCGTCTTTTATGTTGCTGCTCGCTTCACCATCCTGTTGGCCGCAGTGACTTCTTGCAGCCATTCGTCTTCAGCGGCATTGATCAGCGCAAAGCCGTCGGGCCGTCGCAGAGTCAAAGTCGCAGCTCAGTGTACAAGGTGCTGCTTGGCAGATAATACCAAGAGAAGCAGTCATTGAAGCAGATAAGATCCCTGCGTTGACTGAGATAACGAGCAAGACTAGCGCCATTTCTGTTACCTCTCCCGCTTAGTGGTCAAAACCCCGAGGCTCCACCCCCAACTTCCATGTCAGTTCCGGCCGTCGGCCCGATGTATTGCCTTCATGTTGGAATCATTGATGCACTGTAAGCTGGACCAACATCAAGATACTCGATACAGTCAAACAAAGACGGCGGCTGCCGTCGGCGACGCAGAGGAAACTGTGCTGAGGCTCAACCACTTATCTTTGGCTTACATCCTTGATGGTCGGTTTACAGCATCAACAAGGAACTCGGAGTTGACTTCAAATCAACATGTTACACTGTAGGCAATGGAAGATGTGAAAGCTGAAATCGAATATAACTGTTCTTGCGGATATCATAAAAGTCATATATACGAAAAAGATGTTTCCTCACAAGGCCGTTTACGCCTGGCAAAAGCGTTCAAACCTCACCATGCCACGCCTTAGTAACAAACTCCTCCCTGCGTTCCCTTCAACTCCTGTGGCCCCAAGCGAACTCTCTCGCGCTTCACATATCCATCTCACCCGCCAACCGGCTCCCCAACGCTATCGAGCAGCCGCAGCGCCTCCCCCATAAACGACGCCGCCTGGCCCCTGACCCGCAGCGCCCAGCGCAGCTCGTCCACCCGCTCCGCGCACCACCGGACCTCCTCGCCGTCGTCGGTCGTGGCCCACAGCAGGCCCGCCAGGCCGCCCACGGACGCGACCTGGTGCGCCGCGGCGGCGGCCCAGAACCCGCCCGTGTGCTCCGGCCGCAGCTGCGTCAGCACCCCGACGGCTCAGTGCCCGCCGACACGGGGCGCGAGGCCTTCATCCGCCAGACCGAGCTCGCGCGCCTGCTGTCGCAGGTCCTATCGTGCTTCTACACCACCGCCGCGACCAAGCCGGGCGGCGCCCT